ATTATAATTACAACAACCTTGTCCACTAGTCTATAATAAACTACAAATTGTACCCTCAAGGAACTTAAATCACCTATGTGATCTGTCAAATCCACCATCCTTTCTCTCCACTTTGCTAAAGTACAAGGTTAAGCATCTGGGGCTGTGGAGCGTGGAGCAAGCCCACAACTCCATCGCGGGGAGCCACATCCCACCGTAACCCAAAAATGCGCTTAGATGGGTCGCTGGGTCCCAGATCGTAGAAAAGTGGCCCATTTCAAAAATGTCAGATTACCCCAGTTAATCCAAGACAATATTATGGGCTGTATAGTTGAGCGTTCGCTCGGCCACAATGCCCCCGCGGTACTTGTCGGCTAGACTCTACTAGTAGGTATCAGAAACCAAACCAGATTCGAGCAAGGATTATTAAACAGAACATCAGAAATACTGCACTTTACTCAGAAAATTATTGCTTATAAAAAACTAGTACATATGGTAGGGTGTTTCTGCAAATATAAGACACCCGGACTAAACTAAAATCCTGCGCCTACGCGCAAGCCTTTATTATATCCCGCCCTTGACCGACTTGCCTGGGACAACCGTCTCATCTGGCCCATGATTATCAGGCTCGATGCCCTCGCTGACTTCAGGCTCTAGTTCAACATGGTGAATGGCATGCTCGACATTCACTACAGGACCGGTAAACCAGCGTCGGGCATCGACCACCCACCAGATTAGCACAGCTAACATTGGACCCCCATAAACCAAACAAGTCCAGTTCATCAGGTCGAGCGTCAAGTCACTACCCGTCGCACTAGGCAGACACAAGATAGGAAACATGAGAACGACGAAGGAAACGCCGACTCCACCAATATACGGACCGTACGGACCTAGATTCCACGGACCCTTTCGAAAGCGGTTTCCAACGAAAAACACCCTGATGAAAATCGGTATGGCAAAGGCAACAAACTGCGCAATAGCACCGATGGAGAACAATGCACCGATAGCCACGCTGCCGGCCAGAATGAGTAGGCACATGAGGATGCCCAGGACAGCGTTCAGAATCACCGCGTTGACGGGAGTCTGCGTGCGGGTGTTGACCTTCTTCCAGATGTTGGAGAAGGGGAAACAATCATCGCGTGCATAGGCATATGTCACTCGTGACGCGGCGACCATACAGCCCTGGCCCATAGAGAAACCGCAGATAATGGTCAAGCCCAGGATGCCGAGGGCTGCTTTTTGCGGCATCACCTGCAGTAGGTACGAGGCCCAGGGTTGGCCGAGGTCTGAATCAATGACGGCTTCAATGTCCAGTACTGTATATGCGACGACCAGCTGCAGGAACCAGCCCATCAGTCCGCCGACACCGGATGTAAGGACGATGGCGCGTGGAGAGGCAACGCTCGCGTTTGAGCACTCCTCGCTCAGGTGGAACGGGGAGTCGTAGCCGGACATGGTCCAAATGACTCCGACAAAAGTCATCAGCACGGCGACGCCATCTGGGAAGTCTGTTTGATTCGTGATGTCGCCCCAGACCTTTTTGGAAGGGGTGAATTTCGGGCTGTTGCTTGTTCCGGCTGGGATGGCGATGAGGACGGCTATGAGTGCGAAGAAGTTGAAGGTTGAGCCCCAGGAGTTGAATTGGGCAACACGTTTGGTTGGCATACTGCTGATGCCTGCGTGGATGATCATTATGAAGGTTGTGAGGAGGAAGGTCTGCCAGTCTGTTGGCACATAGTCTGGGTTGCTTATGGAGACTGCGGCGAGGATCATCGCGGACAGCGCGTAGTCGACTGATGGTGCTGCTGTGATCTGTCCGATCCAGTTGGACCATCCAGTAATCCATGCAGCTAGAGGTCCATACCCAGGAGGTGCAAGAACGGCTGCAGCATAATAGAGACCGCCACTAAATTGAGATATACTGCGTCAGTCTGAAGTCGGTTGTGATACTGGCCGATGGACGTCATCTTACCTTGTTGGCATAGCTGAACAAAGCTCTGCCATTGACATCGCAATGCATTGGATGAATATCATGGCGATGATCCACCCCCACACCATGCCAGCTGTTCCTGCATATCCCATCCCTTGGACCGAGTCAGCAACGGCTCTGAGTGGAGAAATGGGGTGCATTGGATACCATAGTAGAGGGTACTTGCAAACGAAGGCAGGAGACCCAGAACGGCAAAACTGACACAAAACGTCGTCCACAGGGAGAACTCGCGCTTGAATTCCTGTTTGTAACCAAGGGCCATAATCACCCGTTCATCGGCATCCATCTCATGGTCTGTATATGGCACATCACCATCCGGCAACACGGACGTGACTTGCGCATGATTGGTATCATTATAGACCGGATGAGGCTTGGAGGTGCCCGAAGAGGACTTTCTGATATCCATCATTCTGTTCCAACACCCATTCGCGGATATAGAGGCGAAGGAGGTTGGCTGTCGGAAGAAGCAAAAACTTGATATCGAAAGCCGCAAAGTTTAGGCGTCACGATGTTACAATCAGTGGATATTACCGTGAGTAGAGTATCGCTGTATTATGCATGAGCAGAGTGCCAACGATTGCGAGGGAGATTCGATGGTCTTAAATGAGCCGCGGTCGACCTACAAAGCTAGGGGGGCCCGGCTATGGTTATCTATGCAGGCTTGCCCCCGCGCTCATGACGATTCGTTGGCGCCATCGCTAACACTTCGATAGAATCAAGCCTGACAAGCATTGGTTCTATCAGATGTAGCGGGCCCGCCGAAAGACACTAGAAGAACGCCAGAGGAGGGGAGCTCTGAGACGCGGGCCGTCCGAGGCCTGCAGGAAGAGGTGATATGCTTTTCTCCGCAAGAAATGCTTGATAACGGGGTTTAATGAACACGAGAGTTCCCGGAACTAGCCCATGGATAATATTATTCGTATGATCAGCTGCTCTCATTCGACGGTTCGATCAGGACGCTTGGGCGCCTCCCTCCCAGCTTCTCCGCACACAGGTCTTGTGATTCGCAGTCCATTGAAGCGTGAACGCTATGCCATTTGATCAAACGCGAACAGTGCTACCCCGGCGAGCTTGGCAAATGGCTTAAACCCAAGAGGGAAGCTGTAGGCGTCGGGGGCGGCGATGTTTTGTCTAGTAGATCTGGAAAGCATTGTTATCAGTGGGAGATAGCAGGGAGGAGATAAGTCGCTTCCATGAGTCATGACAAAGTACCATTTGAACGCACGCTGCCACAGATCAGCCTTAGCAGCCACAGCTTATCAAATGGCTGCTTGGACTTGCCAATACGGGAAATAGATGCTATAATTTGAAACTTTCTTCACTCTAAGAGAAGGGTGCAAATGAACAAGAGTGCACAAGGAGCCCCATGAGTTGAGCTGTACATAAGAGATCACCCTGACGGGTTTGATAATAGTTGCCTCTATGTGCTATTCGAAACATAAAAAGACTTTCATCGCTATTCTACACAAAGGTCGCTGCCCCTGACCTGTATACCCACACTATTCTAAGTGCATGACCGGCACTCCCGGAACCATAGCGAGATAATTTAGAAGGGCTGAAGTCATATTAGTATTAGTGTCAAAGACAAGCAAGAGTGGTGCGAAGCTTACGTTGTCCTCGGGGGCAATGGGGCGGTCGTAGTAGGTGTCCAGGAAGGGGAACTGCTGGAGGATATCACGACGGACACGGGGGACCTCGCCGAGCATGAAGAGAGCAGCAGCGCCGGCGAAGACACCGAAGCTACCGGCAAGGGTACCACTGATATCAAAGGTCAGCATAATTCGAGACAAAAGAAGCCTTCGTCCAGGACAAAGCTCAATTCCGGGTGGGAGTATATGCTTACGCTTTGATGGCACTGGGCAGGGTGAAGCCAGCAACGGTACGCTGAGTGGCGAAGCTGTAAATGTTCGTTAGCTTATATTCGAGGTGCTCAAAGCACGTAGATCATGATTGGACGACAGGCGATTGGCAATGTTGCGAAGGTCTATTCCGCGGAATCCACAGATATTGCATGTCAAGCTGTGCCAGGGCTATAAGGTACGCAGATCCACGAAGCATATCACACTGACAAGCCGACTCCATATGCACAAGCATTTAAAGCACGGAATCGACCTTGGGCGCTTGAGGCGCAGCCACACATGCCATGTTGTCCCAAATTGAAGATCGGGGTTCGGGGGAAGTCTCACTTGGACGCAAAAGCGGAGGTGGGGGCAGCGGCCGCAGCGCGGCGGAGAGTGGGAGCGAAAACCTATCAAGCAGGAAAGAGCGCAGGTTAGCCATCAATTGCTTTCAGAATAGTTGAATACAGCCCGCAGTCATCCCGCATGGGTCCGTGATGGGCGCATCAGGGATGCGGTCACCCCGTTGGGATGACTGATACCAGCGGATCAAGACCCGGACGACACGGTTGAGGATTTGAGATTATATCTGGTGTCGGGTTTGAGGCGAACGTACCATTGTTGTGAGGGTGTGCAGGTCGTGGGACAATCAAAAGAAGGAGTTGAGCTCAGAGCGACCTTCGACGAAAACCGGATAATCACGTGACCATAAACCAGCACCAATCAGAAGGGAGGTAATTGGTATCTAGAGACTTCCTTGAATAGATTAACCATCCATGTAGGCCAAACCATCGTGAATTGTATTCTTGATGTTAAAATCTAGTATCTACGCGGATAAATCTTTAATGTCCATAAATAATTCTATTGCATGCGGCCTTGGTTTGTGGTAACCGGAGCAGGTTATGGCTTCTCTTTCTTGACTTCTGATTTGTGATATTTGCGAGTGGTTTACATCCAGGGAATTCATGAAGAATTAGAACAATATCTTTCTTGACTTTAAGTGATCCAGACAGGAAATTAGAAACAAGATAAGAAAAGGGGAAATGTGTGCTTCAACACCTGTATTCGAACATGCAAAAATTGGAAATCAAGAACTAGACGGTCTGCAATCAATGAAGTACAGTCGAAAAGGAAATTATAGATAAGAAAAATTGAACCGTGCTACCAAACACCGGTGCTGTACATGCGTCTCATTAGTCGACTTTTCCTGTCGAGCCTCCGTTCAAGATACCCTCTTTGCCGTCCAGGTGGAAGAAGCCACCGCCATTGGAGTTGCCAATAATGCCACCACGAGCAAGCCCGCTACGGCGTAGCAGGCGTCCGCGACCGAAGATGGCAGCAACCGCAACTGTGATACCCAACAGAATGAAGAAGAGAATAGGGTGGCTGCTGAGGAAAGAGCGGGTGTAGAAGAAGAATGTCTCAAAGGTACCAATGGTGGACTTGGCGGCCAGCTTGGGAGGGGAGGAGATGACAAGAGGAATGGTCTCGAGGATCGAAGTACGGGAGGCCATGACCGGAGCACCACTGGAAGCAGTATCCCAGTATCGGCGATTCTATCAGAAATTAGCTTAGAATGATCGGAAGGGGAGTCAAAACTTGGAACTTACATCTTCGTCGTTAACAATGACGCGGTCACTATTTTCGACATCGATGCCGTAGGTAGTACGAATCCAGCGCTCCCAGAAATCGCCATCGACCCAGGCAAAGGCAACTGCCTTCTTGTCATCCTCGCGAATAGTGATACGCATGTTCTTAGCAGCCCGCAGAGCACGCTGGTCATCGCGATCATCGGCTTCTTCGATGCGGAGCTGCTTGGCGTCACGAAGCTCTGACCTTTCAAGCCGGAAGAGCTGCACTTGCTTATCCATCCACTCAAGAGCGGCCTCCTTCAGTTCCCGCTTGGACTGCTTGAAATCGTCGGAACGGCGGCGGCTAAGAATACCAAGCACGACGTACTTGCCATCCATAATCTCACGGGCATTGGATGCTGTCAGCTCGGGGACAATGGGCAGCCAGACGGTTTGCATCCAGGCTAGAACTGCACGGAAGTCTCTCATGTCCTTGGGGGCAAGAGCATTGTAGTAGCTGGCCCGTTCATCACGGACTACCAAGAGACGAGGCCAAGTCGAGATCTTGAACCGCCCTGCCAAGGCAGCACTGCTAGTCTTAACAATGCGAGCATGTCCCACGAGGCTGAGAGTCAGACGGTCCATAGCGCGGAAGTCCTCAGACGTAGTGGCGTCATCGTAGAAGTAGAGGAACAAGACTTCCTCAGTCTGCTCGAGTTCCTTGAAAGTAGCCGCATCAACGTCCTCAATACTAGAACCGGGTCCAACAGCCTTCTTTGTATAGGAAAGCAGGTCACCGAGACCACGAAGGCCCGTGTATTCCACACGCTGACCACCCCGGAAGAAATACATGGCGGGAAAGCGCTTACGCGAGCATCTTCACACAATCGAGATTCCACTTCGCAGTTCACCTCACCCACGTTCAGGATATCCTTCATTTCCTTGGCCATCTCCTTCCAGCTGGGAGCCAAGGCCTGGCAATGACCGCACCAAGGGGCGTAAAACTTGACAAACCAGGGATCCTGGGTGGAAGTGACCAGCTTCTGGAAGCTCTCAGCGGTGAGAGGAACAGAGAGACCCTGGGGATTGGGAGGTGCCGGTTCAGGTTTCCTCTTGGTCTCGATCGTGTCGACCGCCTTGGAGTCCGAAGAAGTACCGGATTCTTTCTTTGAAGCCAGCTCGTTTTGCTTCTCACCAGCCTGTACACCAGCTGCAGGATTCTTATCCTTGGCCAGTGGGGAATCGGGTTCCGCGCTCGAATCCACGCTTGAGGCACCAACCTCAGGCAACTTGATCCCCTGGGGAGGACGGGAACCAGGCTTGGCTGCCTCAAGCTTCTCTTCGATGAGTGGGCTCAGATCCTTGATCACATTCTTAACAATGTGCTTGTCCTTCTGCTCACCCTGGTCGTAGAACGCAAAGGTGGGCCAGGCCGAGATTCCGAGCTTCTCGCAAAGGTCTCCGTGGGCTAGACAGTTCATAGAGCCGAAATGGAAGTTGAAGTAGGTGGTGAAGCCATTGAGAGACTTGGGATCGGGCGACTTCCCTGAGGTTGGAGAGACGGGGTTGGAGGTCTATGTCAGATATCATGATTAGTCTTGGAATTCTAAATTTAGCATCCAGGTGCATCTCACGTAGTAGTATTCATAAATCGTCTGGTATGGCGGTGCGGCCTGTCGACAGTGGCCGCATGAGGGCGAATAATGTTTAATGAGCCTTTTGATAGTCAGGAACCTCTATTGTTCTTTGTTATAGTAACAGGATGCACGAAGTACTCACCACTGGCCATCTTTGATGAGTTCCTCGAAGTTATCCGGAGTAAGTTGGGTCAATGGAGGAACATCCAGCCCATTGAAGACTGTAGGTTGATCGGAGTCGACTCCACGGTTTGATCTCTTTTCTAGTTTCGCAGACGCGGCCACTGTCGAGCCGGTCAACAAAGAGAGCAGGGACCACCCTAACCAGGAAGTCTTCATTTTGGAAATCGAGACGGAGTGACCTCAATAACGGGGCGCAAAGGGAGAGTATTCGCAAGCCTCACAAGGCTTAGATAAGTTGAAACGAGAGACGGTGGTCGAAGGGGGGGGAGGGGATTGACAGATGTCACAGGTGGCACATTGGATATTGGGGCGGCAAAAACTGGCTTAAAGGGCGCTAGCCTTCAATCGTCGAGGCAAGAAACAGGGGTTGGAACAACCAAGTCCCAAGCCGTGAAGAGTCAAATAGGACAGCACTCGGAAAGGATCGAGGCTCTGCGCGCGCGTGTGTGTTGTAGATAGCGGAAAGAAAAGGTGGCTCTGGCCCCCTGCCCGTTGGAGAGAGTGGAAGATCAAGTTTATCCGTTCCGGCCCGACTGGACTCAACTTCCAGTCACCCCGTCACATCAAAGTACGCCCGCAACCACTCCATTCCTCACTTCACACTCGCCAAAATGAGGGCTACACTCCGGCTGTTGGCCAATGTCAAGCCCCGGTATCTGGAGGCTTTCACTCCAACCGGATTGACCGGCCTGTCTACCCACCCGAGCCCCCGCCCGACTTTGATCTACCTTTATTACCAGACCCTGCAGAAGCTCCAGTCCTTCCCTGAGTCGTCCGCATACCGTCAATCTGTCGAGGCGACCACTCGTCACCGCCTGAAGGTCATCGAATCGAAGATCCCCGCCGGGTTTGAGGCCTGGAAGGCGCGCGTGGACAAGATTATCGCCGCCGAGCCCGAGCGTTTCGCTACTCTCAAGCAGTCTGCCGGTCCCTTTGGCTATGTCGGCGTCCGGGTTAAGGACGGCTCAGACAACCCCCATGGTCTGGCCTGGGATGGCGAGACTTTCTCCGAGCCATGCACTGAGGGATCAACCCGTACGGCGGAGGAAGAGGCCGAAGTCGATAGGCTGCTTGAAGAGGGCACCAAGAGAACCGAAACTGCCGACCACTACATGGAGGAGATGAAGTGGGAGAACGAACCCGCTCTTGACGTTGACCAGTATGCCAATTGATTCTACATCAAGGTTTTCCAGCATGCTAACGCGCGTTACAGAATCTCCCAGATTGAGAAGGAAATCGGCCACGGCCTCCTTGAGGAGATTATTGAGGTTGCCGAGGCTGAGTTGAAGCTTGCTAGCGAGATGCACGAGGCGAAGGTGTAAGTAAAGCCCGAAATTTATTCACGATTTCCTGGCCAGACTACTCACACGATTCTAGGTGGGAGGAACTCGAGGAGAAGCCCGCCGCGGGCCAGTGGACCTACTTCGAACGTCATTAAGGCAATATTGGAAGACGACGTTAGAGAACGCACGGTTCCTGTATTTATTAGAGGGGTTGTTCGAATACACTTGTTTCACGATTTCAATTCTTCAATTCTCGGCCTCCAACATACACGGCCTGATCACCCGAGAGGGATTTCCTGTACGCAAACCCATAATCAGTACCGGAAGTTAGAGGGAAACTAGCTGTACAGGGTCTTCCTCAACTGCAATGGAATGCGTTTAAACAGTGTTTCCTGATAGCAGATATCTGGTTGTGGTCATCACGGAGCCCTCAGAGGCGGCTGTTATTCGCTTATTCTTTCCATTTATATCTAGTCAAATTAGAAAACGTATATTCAACTAACATCGCAATTCCCGTAGATCCAATTGGGATAATATGCTCCATCGACTATAGTTTGTTCGTATATAGTAGACATAGGTAGTCCACCTTGGCTGCGTTGGCTGGACCCGCCCACGGAAGGCGGTGAGCCCGGCGGGAATCCTCCTTGTGGACACATACATTGTCCCTGAACGACCTTCAGCTCTCCTCCAGCAGGGATATCTTGCTGGTTTTTGAAAGATTATCCCGAGGATCGACTCTTTTGCACCCCTTGGGCTGTCTGAGCGGCTCGTGGAATTGCCCCTCTCGCACGCCCTATCGCCGCTTCACACAAACATTCGTCCATCCCCCACACAACATGCGGCTCGACGTTAAGGTACGTAAACCTGAATATCGAGGGGATATCTGCTCGCGCCGAGAATTGAGACATACCCGAAGATAAGAACGAGTGGAATTGACAAATTTACTAACGAGATTGGTATCGTGCAGAGGCAGCTCTTTGCCCGCTCGGAGCGGGTGAAAGGCATTGATTTCCACCCCACGGAGCCATGGGTAAGTTCGAGCGACGACGATCGAAGAGCTTTGGTTTTACTGACACTTATTAGATTTTGACGACTCTCTACAGCGGTCATGTCTATATTTGGTCGTACGAGACGCAGGTAAGTCCAAATGCCCATGTATCCCGCAAAAGCGCGGCTGACCCTCCATCTCCTAGTCCATCATCAAAACATTCGAGCTTACCGATGTTCCTGTTCGTGCCGGTCGATTCATTGCGCGCAAGAACTGGATTGTTTGCGGCTCTGACGACTTCCAACTCCGTGTCTACAACTACAATACCTCCGAGAAGATCACCTCCTTCGAAGCTCACCCTGATTATATTCGCTCGATCTCCGTCCACCCAACACTACCCATCGTCTTGACTGCGTCAGATGATATGACAATTCGCGCCTGGGATTGGGAGAAGGGTTGGAAGTGTATTCAGGTCTTTGAGGGCCACAGCCACTATGTTATGGGGATGTCCATCAACCCGAAGGACACCAATACGTTCGCCTCCGCCTGTTTGGATCGCACTGTGAAGATCTGGAACCTCGGCTCCCCCCCATGCCAACTTCACACTGGAAGCCCACGAGACCAAGGGTGTCAACCACGTCGATTATTACCCCGGTTCCGACAAGCCATACCTTCTCACAACATCGGACGACAAGACAGTGAAGATTTGGGATTACACAACTAAGGCGCTCATTGCTACCCTGGAGGGCCACACCAGCAATGTTTCCTTTGCTTGCTACCATCCCCAACTGCCTGTCATTGTTTCAGGCTCTGAAGATGGAACTGTCAAGATTTGGCACGCCAACACCTATCGCCTCGAGCAGTCGCTAAGCTATGGACTGGAGCGAGCGTGGTGTGTGAGCACACAAAAGAGTGGAAACGCGTTGGCCATGGGTTTCGATGACGGTGCGGTTGTCGTTAAGATGGGTCGGGAAGAGCCTGCTGTTTCTATGGATGGCTCAGGTAAGCTGATCTGGGCCCGACAGAACGAGGTTGTTTCTGCTGTGATCAAGGGTGGCGATTTAAGCATAAAGGACGGCGAACCTCTGTCACTGCCTACGAAAGACCTGGGCTCGAGCGAGATCTACCCTCAGATCCTCTCTCACTCTCCAAATGGGAGGTTTGTCGCATGCTGTGGCGACGGTGAATGTTAGTCTTGAGAACCCCTTGCTTGAAATTACCCTGAGATGATGCTAATTTTTGACTTATAGGGATTATTTATGTGGGTGCTCATTTGCTGCGGAATTGATATCGGTGGACTAACCTTTTATTTTCATCTTAGACTGCTCTAGCGTGGCGTAATAAGGCATTCGGCTCTGCTCTCGACTTCGCGTGGGGATCCAAAGACAACAGCAACGATTTCGCTGTTCGTGAATCCACGACTAGTGTCAAGATCTTCAAGAACTTCAAGGAGCAAAGCGGTGGCCTCGATGTCGGCTTCCAGGCCGAGGGCCTCGCAAGCGGTGTTTTGCTCGGTGTCAAGGGACAGGGTGGTATCGGTCTCTTCGACTGGGAGAGCGGCAACTTGGTCCGCAGAATCGAAGTTGACCCCATTAATGTGAGTTTCATTGCGAGGGCGTTTTGTGCCACTTACTGACTTTATTGCAGGTCTACTGGTCCGAGAACGGTGATCTTGTCGTCCTTGCTTGCGAAGACTCTTTCTTTGTCCTTCGCTACTCACGAGAGGAGTACATCAATGGCATGAACAATGGCGAGGCTGATGAGGATGGTGTTGAGGCTGCTATTGAGCACGTTGCTACCATTAACGAGACTGTCCGCACCGGAGAATGGGTTGGCGATTCTTTCATCTACACCAACTCTACGAACCGCCTTAACTATCTGGTTGGTGACCAAACATACACCATCTCGCACTTCGACCAGCCTATGTACCTGCTTGGATACCTCGCCAGAGATTCTAAGCTATACCTGGCCGATAAGGATGTCAATGTTGTTTCTTTCAGCTTGTCTCTCAGCATGGTCGAGTACCAGACTCTCGTCCTTCGTAACGAGATGGATGCTGCGGCCGATATCTTGAGTGATATCCCTCAAGATCAGATGAACAAGGTTGCGCGATTCCTTGAAGGTCAAGGCTACAAGGAGATGGCTCTTGAGGTTGCAACTGATCCAGAACACCGTTTCGACCTGGCTTTGGCTCTCAACGACCTCCAGACTGCTCTCGAGATCGCTCGCCAGACCAACACCGACCACAGATACAAGCTGGTTGGTGATGCCGCCCTTGCCGCTTGGAACCTCTCCCTAGCCCAAGAATGCTTCACCCACGCCAAGGACGTTGGCTCCCTCCTGCTACTGCACACAGCTAGCAACAACCGTCCCGAGCTTCGGAAGCTGGCCACCCAGGCTTCCGAGTCAGGTCTTCACAACGTTGCCTTCTCAACCCTCTGGTCTCTGGGTGATGTCGATGGCTGCATCGAACTCCTTGTCCAGACTAACCGCATCGGCGAGGCAGTTCTCTTCGCTCAGACTTACAAGCCTAGCCGCGCCGCTACTCTCGTAGTCCAATGGAAGGAGTCTCTTGAATCATCGAATAAGACTAAGACTGCCCGTCTTATCGGTGTTCCTCCCGGTGCTCCGGATGTCTCGACCGATGATGACCTCTTCCCGGAGTGGGATCAATACATCCGCCTCGAGAAAGAGGGTATCGCCCCAGAGCCTGTTTCCGAGTCACTCATTGACATCAATGGTGACGAGGAAACAGAGCCCGTGGCCGCAACCAACGGCACCCCGGAGGCCGAAGTTGAAGCTGAAGCCGAAGCCGAAGTTGAGGCCGAGGCTGAGGAGGAGAAGTCAGAGTAAAAAAAGGCTCGATGTCGGGTTGTGTTTCCTTCTGGCTCGAGAGATACGTTGATAGAGAGCATCCCATATTTTCCATTCCCGATACTATTGAGTCGGATTATTTTGAACTGCGAGCGGCGTCTTAACGTGTGTCCGACTTCCTATTTGTTGTTTTCTATTATTTTATTTGTTCGCTTTTGTTTTCCTATTGCTGTAATTCTGCTGCAATATGTCACGGTCTCGGCGGGTTGCTTGAGACTGCATGGATAGATACAATGACAAAGGCCCTCCCCAGAAACTATTACCTCGTGTTGTCGCTGGCATCGTACTGGTACTATTAGCACCAAGGTACCTAGGTAGTATTCATGAACGTATGCGAGTTTGAAGAATATGAAGAGCAGTATAACATTGGGTACTAGCTACCTAAAGTATGAATAGTCATAGTAGGGAACTTGTTCATCCTTGTACCTCCTACCTACCAGTATGTATTCTGAAATATCCCTAGGACATCCCCATGGAGCTCAATAGAAGCTACGACGACCGAGAGAGATAATCTAAGTTCAGTGGATCGGCATTGTCAATTGCAATTCTGTGAAGAATACAGAGAAAAGAAAATCTCGCACCCGAGAGGTAGGAGACAAGGAGACAACAAAAAATGACAGGTAATGACCGCTTGAGACCATCAGACGAAAACAAGGGTTTGGAAAAGGGACCTGCCTGGGAGAGTGTGAGGGTGAGGGTGTGGATGACGCTGAGATGGGATGACCAGAAACAAACCAGAGCGCTCAATGGGAGGAGGGGGCTGGGATACGAAAAGATGACGAGGAAAAGACACGATGAAAGGGGGGGTAAAACTGTTGTCTCGGGGTTGCGCAGAGCCTCCGAAATCAAGATGCCACGGACTCCTTGAAGAGAAAATGAAACAAGAAATAAGATAAAGACAAAGACGAGCACGAGGAGCACGAGACAAGGAAAATTGGATGGTCCAAGATGGGTGAGTTATATGTGGATCAAGACGGAAAGCATGGGACAGTACAAATGAAGAATCATGTCTATGAACCTGTATTCGCACACCGGTCTTTCTTGACCTAATCATTGACCTTGTATGAAGCTCAGCGTTAAATCTGGCCCTTACTCCGGGATGCTACCGAAGGATGGGTCCTTGACACTACCACCGGCATCCCCGAGTCCGGCCACGGGTCGGTTATAGGACCAGCCGGCAAACTGCTGTTGCACAGTCGATGACAACGCAGGACCGTCAACAAATGAGTCTTGTGGGGCCTCCTCAGTGAACTCGCGATCGAAGTTATCAGTGTCACGAGCATCCAGCTGTAAAGGCGAGTCGAATTAAAATCTGTAAGATCAAAAGAAAAGGGTAGGGGAAATCATGACATACCACGTTGGGGCGGAAGCTGGGCTCATACTTCCGCTGAAGAAGCTTGCGCCAGTCAATGTTGGCGAAAAAGTGGTGAGACTTGATTTCAACGGCGCCGTTGGCACCAAGACGGCGTTGAGGGTCGCGATCCAGCAGGCGGGTGAGAAGATCCCGAGCAGCGGGAGGCACGATGTCACTGCTGGGGAAAGTCAAGGGCTCTTGCAAAATCTTGCGGTACATCTCGTTGGTGTTCTCATCGTAGAATGGTGGCAGGCCAGTCAACATCTCGTACAACAAGACACCAAGAGTCCACCAATCAACAGACTTGCTATATCCATTACCAAGAAGCAGTTCGGGAGCAAGATATTCAGGTGTTCCGCAGAATGCTGTGATTTGATTAGAAAGAGAAAGAGTGTAAGTTATAGGTGCAAAAGTGCGATCTTACTGTTGGTTCGGTCCTCATCCTTCATGTCCAGCTTGCAAAGACCGAAATCGCACAGCGCAATATGGCCGGTGTAATCAAGCAAGATATTCTCGGGTTTGAGATCGCGGTAGATGACCTTGAATCCGTGAAGGCACTCCAGGGCACAAAGAAGTTCGGCAGTGTAAAAGCGGGCCCTGTTGATATCAAATCGTTGCTCTCTTTGAAGGTGGTGGAAGAGCTCTCCGCCATTGACAAAAGCGAGAACAAAATATAACTTTTCGGGCGACTGGAAAGAAAACTTCAGAGGAACGATGAAAGGATTGTTGATTTGCGCGAGGACCGATCGCTCTGCCAAGGTATGTGTGACCTCTGATCGAGAAATAATGTGAGCCTTGCGGATCGTCTTCAGGGCGTAGATTCGGCCGGTATCTTTCTTCCTGTTGTTCAACCAGAGTAAGTATCCGAAAGGGTCAAAAAACCGACTTGGATGTTCAACAACTTACATGACCTGCATGACCTTGCCGAAACTTCCCTTACCAACGACCTTCAACAAATCGAAGTCCTCCATCTTCAGACTGCGCTGTCTGTTCTCAACGAATGAGACGCCGACCTTGATCGAACCATTGCCGAATTGCAGATCCAGCCACTCGGCACCTTGTTGACCAGAGGCCCGTTCTTGCTCAGCATGAGCAGCGGCGGCCTTTTGGTTGTCCTTCTTGCTGAGTTTTGGGTCCTCCACATAAGGCTGAGATGCCTCCTCGAAGCGCGGGGTGACCTTGGTCGCGCCAAGGAAGATATCTTCACTACGACCGGCACCCTGACGGGCGGCAGGATTGCGCAGATAAAGCTGCACGTTCAACTCTGTCTTCCGAGACACATCGAACTTGAAAGCAGTGTTGTCACCAGCCCACAGTGGGTTTTCAGGAGTTCCAGACACTGCATCCACGAAAACCTGATTCTTTTCGAAATCGAGCAGAGCATATGGGAGATATTTAGTCGAATAACGGCCGTGGATTGTAGGGGCAGAGTTCATGCCACCACTAGTGGACTGTGGGCGGTTGTTTTGCACGAAAGAACCAGCTTGTCCGTGTGTAGAGTGTGACGAGGAAGAGGTGCTCGGACGCAAAGAGGAGGGAGCGTAAGAGTTGTTTTGGAAATGAGAGTTAAAAATCTGCTGAAAATGAGGAGACAAAGCAAACCCTCGGCCTTCGTGGAGGGTGACAATCAGGATACCCGGGTTGACCGGGTTCACAGGGGGGGATACGAGAAACTCTGAATTGGCTATAGTTGCGGCATCAAGCACGCAGTTAGTGAATGATATTTCCTCGGAATTCGAAATAGATCATAAGATCCTGGCATAACATACCAATGCCATTTGAAGTATCCGTGGGAGTAGCGGCGATGTTGGGGGCCTGGGGGGGTAACGGGTGTTTCATCACCGCCACCACCGTTCGAATCGCCCTTGATCGTGGAGGTGGATGACGATCGGCCAAACCCTTGGGTGAGAGGAGACAGATGCGTCTCCTTCAGTTCTATAAGAACGGACAATTAGCAATTTGGACCGAGACAGTCCGGCCCCTCTCAAGTGCCGCGGGGGGGGAGCGACGGCTTAAATTTGAGAGGGGAGGGGGAGGACGAAGAGGGGGAGAGAAGAGGAGATAGGGAGACCAACTGAACATACTTTTGGTGAGTTTCCAGGACATGATGGCGGTCTCAAGGCCGGGGTATCAAGAGGGAGAAGAAAAAAGAGTCGAGTGTCCAAGAGAAACCGACCACGATACGTTGTGCAAACTGCCTGGAAGCATCAAGGGGAGTCAACATCGAAGTTCCCAAAATAAAGCCGGGGACCACACAAGATCAGCGCCACGCAGCCCCGATCAGATCGTCGGGAAAGGGGAGGGGGTAAGATGGGGATAATGATTGAAACCCCGAGATAGAGGTATCACTGCTTACCTTCTCAACACCAGAAGAGATTGAAGACTGAAGCACAACTGTGTAGAGAGAAAGATCAAAGGTGTGGACGTAGGCGTGGCGGGGAGGGGAAAGCCAGCGTGCCTAGAAGTATTGTCTATACGTAATTTACACTCTGATGATGGGGGGGTGGCTGTGTTGGTTTCATAAGGCTATACCGTAATTACCGTATTTGAGGGGGTCCAAGTTCGAAGGGTGCTGATATAAGCGGGAGTGACAGCCACAAAATGGGGCAGTGCAGAAGCAGTGATTGTGGCGCAACTATCAAAGGGACCTGCCTGGGAACCACGGGAGACACCACCACACGCGTTATCCAGCTTCCACTCTGTTCCAGCTCGACAATAAATTCATATCGTCAATCCAATATTCACAACTCCATTCGACACGTGACTCTTTTACCTGCAAGTCGAGATTCTGCAGCTAGTACTCGGCCCTTTATTTCCCGATCTGCGGAGATCCATCCTTCCCCAGGATCTCACCTTAACTTGGCACACACTCCCACCTGCATCCATCCCCTCCCCCCTCCCACCCATCCCGACACTTCGCATTGCCCTCGGAGACCTCTCGAGGGTAAGGTTGGGACCTCGCGACAACGTTGGATTCAGTGGAGGATGAACGGGACCAAAAACCGATGGGTGTAATACGCAAGAAGACCGCCTCGCGCGGCACCGAGGCAGGCACAAAGTTCCACTGCGATGTGTGCTCTGTCGATGTGACTTCAACTGTGAGAATCTACCTACCACAATCGTCCGACAAACACTGACCTTTCCTTTTCTTTTCACCTCATAGGTCCGAATCTCCTGTGCACACCCCTCCTGCCCTGAATACGACCTCTGTGTTCCCTGCTTCGCAGCCGGGGAGCTATCAAAGAACCATGACCCAGCTACCCATCCCTTCCAAGTCATTGAGCAAAATTCCGTCCCCATCTTTCAAGAAGATTGGGGCGCCGATGAGGAATTACTTCTGCTCGAGGGCGCCGAGATCTACGGCCTGGGCTCTTGGGCCGACATCGCCGACCATATCGGTGGTTACCGCTCGAAGGATGAGGTGCGCGATCACTACGTTGAGACATTCGTATATGGAGGTCACTTTCCTCTCCCCGATCGGGCCGACCCGGAGGATAGCAGCCTTCAAAAATCCATCTCCAAGGAAGAGTTCCAAACACGTAAGAAGCGTCGCATCGAGGAGCGCAAGGATGCTGCCAAGGCCGCTCCCCCTACAACCCCCAAGCAAAAGCCAACAGCCAGTGTACCCGCATGCCATGAGGTACAAGGCTACATGCCTGGTCGATTGGAGTTTGAGACCGAATTCCTTAACGAGGCCGAGGAAGCCGTTCAGCACATGGCTTTCGAACCCGGGGCGGGAATCGGACCCAATGGTGAGGTCGATGCGGAGACAGAGCTGAAGATGACTGTGGTAGACATCTACAATTCGCGACTCACTGCGCGAACAGAGCGCAAGAAGATCCTCTTCGAACACAATCTCCTGGAATATCGGAAAAACACCGCCCACGAGAAGAAGCGTTCAAAAGAGGAACGCGACTTGCTGAACAAGGCCAAACCTCTGGCCCGGATGATGAACCGGAAAGATTTTGACGATCTGAACAGAGGATTAGAGTACGAGCATAATCTGCGCCTCGCCATCTCACAACTCCAGGAATGGCGACAAATGGGTATCGGTGACCTGAAGGCGGGCGAGAAATACGAGCAGGATAAGCAAAATCGCGTACAGAGGATGCTACCGCAAGGCTCCTTCGACCGCTTCGCCAGTGCCCGTCCTAAGCAAACCCAACCGCCCGAGACGTCAACAGGAGCGATTCAACTGACGACGCCTGAACTTCCGCTGCGGTTTCAGAAACCTAGCAAACCATCTGAACCGGAGCCAGAGAATGACTTCGACCGGATGTTCGCTATCGACGGCGACTCTGCACCTCCTCAGCCAGCCAAGACCAAATATGTGGTTCAACCGCTGAGTGGGGTATCGGCATGGAAATTGGATAATGAAGGTGCTGCCGACCTCCACCTTCTTACAGCCGAGGAGGTAGATGTATGTAATGCACTCCATCTTATGCCGAAGCCGTATCTGGTTGTCAAAGAGACACTGTTGAAGGAAGCAATGAAACAAGGCGGTACTCTGAAGAAGAAGGATGCACGAACGATCTGCAAGGTTAGTAGCTCCCCTTCATCTCTGCTCGATGGCACAGCCTAATTTCTAACATCATCTAGATCGAAAGCACCAAAACCAGCCGCATTTACGATTTTATGGTGCACAGTGGATGGATCAACAAAGGGTAGTCCTGGCGCGATCATGCTTGTTGTTCTCTGCATTCGACTTGATATCTATTCTACAATTTGCTCTGGGAGCGTTTGGTTTCTGGCGTTCACAATGGGAAAGACGGGGTGTTGACCTGACGTTGTTCATATACTGAGAGGTTACCGGGCGGTGGTAATGCACAATACCCTTTTTATTCGAATGACATTCTATGTAGAAATAGGGTTTGATCATACTACTCTTCCATATATTATCAATGCAGTAGTATAGACCGATGAGACTCGGAGTCTGATCGGCACAGACATCGTGGAATGTAATATCTGATTTTTAGTCCGCAGTACACTGCCGAGCTACCCCCGCATCGGCCCTCGGCATCTCCATTCTGCTCTCCGCATTTTAAACAGCCAGACCCAAACCCCAAACCAAACAATCATCTGGTCCTCTGAGATTTAAACTTATTCTGAACTTAAATCACGACACATTGATTTTATCTCCATCAAGGTCCTCACAATGCCCGGGTTCGCAACACCTCCCCCAAACCCGCAGCACGCCCTCCTCTCCTTTCCGGCACCGCACGTCCTCCTCGTCACACTCAACAGACCACGCGACCTCAACTGCATCAATGCGCAAGGCCATGCCGATCTGCACGAAGTATGGGAGTGGATGGACGAAGAGCCCAGCCTCCGCGTTGGCGTTCTGACCGGCAAAGGAAGGGCCTTCTGCGCTGGCGCTGACCTGAAAGGTAAATTCATTTCTTACTCCGTGTGAATCCCATACCCTCACCACAACGATAGATGATATCTACTTGAACCCATGTTGTCACTCTTCATATTAAGGAAACTTCCTACTCGTTCACCTTCTATCCTTCCCCCATCATCCACAGAGAAAAAACACATTAAATCATACCCAAGAAAGAAAAAGGCTAACCTGTAACTACCAGAATGGAACACCCAAGCCAGCAGCACCACCCAGAAAAAAGCCCCCCAACCCCCTTCAGGCTTCGGCGGCGTCTCCCGCCGAAAAGGCAAAAAGCCACTCATCTGCGCCGTCAACGGCCTCTGCTTCGGCGGCGGCACTGAAATGATCATCAACGTGGACATCGTAATCGCCGCCTCACGGGCTGTCATCGGTTTACCAGAAGTAAAGCGCGGCGTGGTTGCGCTCGCGGGGGCCCTACCGCGTCTCGTGCGGACTGTGGGCAGGCAGCGGGCGATGGAGATGGCTTTGACGGGGCGGGCGTTATCGGCTGTCGAGGCTGAGCGGTGGGGACTGGTGAATTCAGTGGTTGAGGTTCCTGATATCAGTCGGGGTAAGGATGAGGGGGAGAATGAGGAGGCTTCGAGACTTGTGTTAGATAGGGCTTTAGGGCTTGCGGTGGAGATTGCGGGGAATAGTCCTGATGCGGTGCTGGTTACTCGGGAGGGGGTTAAGTTGGGGTGGGAGGGGATTGGGGCGGATGAGGCGACGGGGATGTTGGGGGAGACTTGGGGGAAGAGGCTTGCTGAGGGTGAGAATATTAAGGAAGGGTTGCGGGCGTTTGTGGAGAAGAGGGCGCCTGTTTGGAAGGATAGCAAGTTGTAGATTCTCCTTTTGATTGTGTCTACACTCAGTTTGAGGGCTACTAGTATACAACGAAGGAATGCGAAAGGAGTTGCGTTTCAGTGGATAATCTTATTGTGTCAGTTTGTAGCTAATCATACTACACCTTGGATACTACAGGTCGTAAAGTCATATCGAAAGAGTCCGTTTCCCAGTCACGCCGTGTGTTCGCCCATTCCCATGCGGTTTGAAATTATTCAGAGTGAAATTATTTCACTTAGATGCGCGGTTGACCGGCTTCCCTATAAGATGATTAGCATGGGAAAAGGAAGAAGTGAGACCGAGGATATCTTACTTGGAGTCACCTTGCACACGTTCCACAACCTTCACCACGGCGGAGAACAGCGGGTGGTCTCGATCCAGGCTGGTCAGTTGAACAGCGGCATCAGCAGGCGAGTTCTCCTTGAGAACATCGGCTAGCTTCACGCTTTCCTCGTCTCCTTCGACATTCTGGAACCGCAAGGCCATCTCCACAGAGCCCAATAATGAGTCGTACTTGGCGTTTCGCTCTGCAAGTTGCGCCGCAGGACCAATGAACCGCTCCTTACGGCCCAATTTGCGGATCGGGGCACGGCCAACACGCTCCACGCTATCTTCCAAGTAAGGGTTGGAGATTCGGCTGATGATGGTCTCGACGTAATCTTGTTGTTCCTGAGCAGGGATCTCGTGCTTATCCACGATGAGAGAGGAGGTTTCTTGAAGCACATCTCGGACAGTGTTGCGAATGAAGTCATCCTTCATCGCTTCGGCGATTGTCTTCTTGCCGGCAAACCTGCCGTAGTAGGCGGCGGTAGCATGACTGGTGTTGACGGTGAACAACTTGCGCTCGATGTAGGGTTCGAGATGCTCGACCCAGTGGATTGCGGGAATATCGGGGTGACCAAACTCGCCAAAGGGGAGCTTCTCAACGACCCATTCGTAGAACTTCTCGATGCGGACATTCAGGCCGGAATCCGGGGCTTGCGCTGGAACAATGCGGTCGATGGCAGAGTTGGCGAAGGCGGCCCGTTCGCCGAGTGTGCTCAGTCGTGATTTATCAGTGTTCTCCTTGATGAATTCGTGCAGGGCGTCAGTTCCGCCAATCATGTTCTCACAGGCAATAACGGCCAGGGGGACAGGAGCGGTGCGGCGTTCGATGCCCTTGGCGATGACTGGGGCAATCCATTTGAGAATGTTTGGACCGACAGCACAGGTGACGACATCGGCAGTGGAGATCTCCTGCACAACATCATCCTCGTGGGTCTTGGAGTTGATAGCCCGATAGTTGGTGATGGTCTTGGTGTTTTCACCATCCTCGCTGACTTCGGTCACCTGGTAGGACTTTGTGTTCTGGAGGGATTCAATGATGTTTGCCATGACATCTACAAAAACGACTTCATAGCCAGCAGTATGGAGGAACTCGGCGACAAAGCCGCGGCCAATGTTACCACCGCCGAAGTGAACAGCCTTTTTCGACATGATGGAGCAAGTAAATTAAGATGAAGGTGGGGAAAGAGGAAGAGCGGAAGAGTGTGTGCGAGAGAGAAGAAGGGGAGAGAGAGGAGTGAGGTTTAAAAGAAGGTTAAGTCGGGAAGGAAGTAATTGCGGGTGGCTGATGAGGGAAAGAGCGATGCGGATGTGGGGATGGGAAGGAAGTATTTATAAGAAAGGCAACTATGATATGAGAGGAATGAGAGGATAAGAAATGAGAGGGGTTTATGGTTATGCGGTTTGTATTGTGGCCTGGCCCAGTTTATACTTTCTGGCAGGTTCGTGCTCTTTCTGGTTTGGTGGTTGGCTTTGGTGGTGGCATCTGTGAATGACTTCATCGATATTTGGGGGGGGAAAGCCGGAACTGGGCTCCGCCTTGTTTCCTGCCGATGAGGACATCATGAGCTTTGTTTTTCTTTCTTCTTTCTCTGCCTTGAATTCTGGAGTTTAAACAAACTGTCTCAAATTGATTCTATCATTCAAAAACAAATATACAATTCCATTCAAGTTGGCCTGCCCAGTGTAACCCCCCCCGCTTTGCCGTGTGCAACCTGCAACCCTCTATAGCCAACCAACCCTGGTCAAAAGTAGAAAATGAGTGTATACCTCTTCCCTCCAGTCTCCAGTCGAATAGAATTAAATCGCGCCGGGAACTAGTCTCCTTTCTGACTTGCCTACCCTCTAAACCCCTTTCGATCATTAGAACCCTTCCTCCTTTTCGTCGGGCATCATTTTCATTTGATACTCCGGTCTTCATATGCATATTGCCCTCTTCCTGAAACATCTCACCGGAGTGGTTCTGTAAATCGGTCTCCGGTATCACCCGTATGATTTCCAGCTGTCCGGAGTGTCAACGGAAGACAGAAAGAACGTAACTTCCTTGACCAGAATTGGGATGGGCGGGAAAGCCAGCCGACACCCCGGACTCGGAGAACTTAAGCCATCCGGAGTACAGTGTTCCTAGATGAAGGGCTGACGACTCACAGCTGACGCTGACAAGTCATACTATTTGGAGGTATAGCCACGGCTATGGCTTACAGTCATCTTCCGCCAATATGGCGCATCTGATACGCGATAATCGCAGCGTTCAGACAACCTACGTGATCGACCGGTTCTCTTCTCCACTATTGGTGACGTCGGATGAACGGACAACGGCCAGACCCAGTTTTTTTCATACCTATCCGTACGTAGTTGTTGCTTCGATATTCAACTGCCGAGGTGTATTCGTATCTCATCCATTTTCTTCCATCCCTTTCCAACGTGCCCAGCGCCCTCATGCTGAATGGTTCCCCCCCTGACTGCCTAATCTGTGTTCCCGCTCAGCATCGGCCTCATCATTCGATTGGTCCCTGCGCCGACCCCAGTCTACTAAAACTCGCCGGGGTTCTGGTAGGTTCTAGTGAAATCACGCTCGGATAACAACTACGCTTGGTCTTGGATCTTGCTTGCATGCATCTGTCTTTATTGGTATGTATGTAGTTCATTTAGGTGGCATTGCCGGTCATATACTCCGTACCAGAAGGAATCGAAAAATAAAAATCACTGGCACGGGTTTCCCCGATGTCTGTCCGTGCCGCGCTCAAGCGTTTTTGGGCCCAGCGCAGTCCCTCTCAACCCCTCCTTTGTTCAGTCCGAATCTGTTCAATGCCGAAAGTTGCCCCTCCTTTCTCCCTCCCCTTTTCTAGTCCGAGTCCCCCTCTTCCTCGTCCTTCGAAGCAGGCACCGGCTCAGGTTGCATGCCTCGGACAAATACGTTGATGAAACTGCTGATACTGCCAACCAATAGCAACCCGGCTGATGCCCAAGTCATGCCAAGGAATTTGTCGCCATATTTGGCTGACACGTTGGATCCATCGCCGTGCGCGTTGATAAGGTCGACAAATTCAAATGCGATCACCGTCGCAATGATCGAGGCGATGCTGATACTTAGAGCCCCAAACTGATCGACAGGGTATTAGCGGATTGCTTATTTGCTTGTGCTGTGCTTATCCTTCCCAGGAGAAGGGAAGGATCGGCGGTCAAGCAGCAGCATGGACTAGATGTACTTACCACCAGGAATCCGAATTCAAACAGTCCTTGTTGTCTCCTCGGGGCGATGAGTGAGACAACTCGCGCGACCAGTGCAGACCCAATCGCCCCAACGCCAATCATGTACATCACTGCCATCGATCGAGTCGTCATACGGAAAGCGTGGAAGTCGTCGCTGATCACTCGGGGCCATTCTAGATTCGGGCCATGTGAAACCCCATGGTCCCATTCTTCTGTAGGATCAAAGGCGAACAAGAGCTTGCGGTTCGAGCACTCTGTCACATTGCGTGCGCTGCCAGAGCTCCCCGGCTCGAGTATCTCCAAGGTGCCTTGGCAAAATGACATAACGTGAACGGAATAGAAGGAATTGGCTTTGCTATCGGTGCCGCCTTCGGGGGTATAGAGCTACAACACAAATTGAAGGATTAGCACTACGCAACACAAAGTCTTGTGATGGGCCAGTAGACGTACCGTAAGAAGGTCGGCGCCATCGAGAAGGTTTTGCTGTGTCCCGGCAAATAGACAGCACAATGTGAGGATGAATGCGATGAATGCCGTCAATGCGGGGAAGATTTTCTTAAAGTCGACCTTCATAGTAGCTAGTATATCCGACGAGAAGTCGGGTAATCGAAGCAATCGAGACGTTATCCACAGTGGATCGGTTGTATACAGCCGATGGATCGATCAGGTCGATTCCAAAACGGATGGATCTAATCATGAGAAAAGAAATCGATTAGTCTTGAGCCGATCATCGTAGTAGCAAAGTGAAATGAAGCCCGGATCCTCACCAGATTAAGATTAAGAAACTTCTTATCCACATAGTCATTTTCCGAGAGCCGATCTCAGCTTCCCAGTCTAATTACTTATATACGCCAGCAAACGGTCGGAGATTTTTCACCTTGAAGCCCTCATTCCGATCGAGGGCTGATCGGAACTCACTGGCAAGGGCGGCATCCAGGCACACTTCTCGACCAAGCCTGTCACGAGGGGAAAATCCCCGATGGCATGTACGACCGCCTGGGCAAATGGTCTAAATCAAGAGTCAAGACCCTTATCTTGCTTATCTTGCAAGGATCGGCACTCGTCAATGCCTATTGTAGGGGAGATCGGATGCTTGGGCGTGTCGACTTTTTACCCGCCGCTCTCAGGAATGCTGGCCCAGCCACGCCAAATTTCGCGGGTCTAGCTCGGGAATTGAAGTGGATGTTCACTATCTGCAAAAGATCAAAGATAATTATTTTGTAGCCTTATAAATGGAATTAGGACTGGATTAGACAGTTATGGCTTATGATTTGAGGCATTGGTAGTAGTTCGCGCCAGTCATTTTACCCGATGTTGGTTACAGCATCATGAAATTACTAGTGTTCTTTACAACACTCTGCCATCCCCTCAGCGAAGTTATTCTACCTATAAAGATCTATTGATTCTAACAATTCAGAGCATGTCTCATATGATTTTGTTCCTCATCAAACCCAAGATAATAGGACATACACTGTACGACCCCTGTGTTGCTTGAGACCGGTATGATCAAAATGTAGTAGCTAGTAACCGCTATCAACCTTGATACCGCTACCGGTCTCTTCTCTGTTACAGCCGAGTTTGAGGATCCTAGTTACTGCATCATGCTGCCTGACATTGAAATTTGTTTTTGGCGGCAAAAGAACGCATATGATAAACTAAAGTGGAGTACTTTCACCGAGAGAGTCCCTCTGGAATAGCCATGAACACACCTAAGTAGAATTAGAGTTGTCAGCGCAAGACCAGGAGCCCCCTCCTTGATAAGAATCAATAAACCCAAGAATTGAACCATAAGTCCCCGCTATCACTAGAAATGTGCCAGAAACAGGTACAAACGCGCACCACAAAACCATCAAACGCCAATTGTACGTTTGCTTAGATTCGCCTGTCTTCCAATTATCGTATAACCACATGCAGGCCATAGGATGGAAAGAAAGGAATGTATCAAGCATGGCGCCAATAAGAGACACAAGGCTATCAAATACCGGAATCCTACTAGCGATCACGGACGCAACAATGGAGACACTGAAAGTAGAACCGAGCCACGCAATCCAATGCACAAGTGAATTTTTAGTAAGATGGGCTGAGCCTCGCAAAATCCGAATGAAAATATACTTGCTCGGAACCTTTTATTTATTAGCTTAGTAGAGATCGAAGATAACAATGTCCAAATAATGGTTTTGCGTTGAGCTTACATGGGTCAGAAGAATTGCACTCACGCATAGACCAGGGAGGGCAATCCCATATCCTGTCCTTTTCACAACTCATTCGGTGAATAAAAATGTGAGCGGGACAAATGCGGCCAGTCAATTTAGCAGTACCTCAAATGAATACTTGGCGAACGGTGGGAAAAATTGATGTGGTAGTGCGGATACTGGCGATATCTTTTGGTAAGAAAAAACTACGAAACATGGCATGCACCAATCGATTATTCCCTGTTTTCTCGGTGTCTACCTAGGTACAAGGCTAGAGCTCGAAGAGTCGATCCCTCAACATTGAATTGTACAGCATCTTCTGGGTGGTTGCGAAGAAGGGACGCTGTGAGTACTGTAAAATCGCACCTTTTCCAGTCCTGGTAGCGTCTTTTAGTTCGGTGAGTTTAGGCAAGTCGGAGCTGAGCCAGGAGTTGAGCCCTGCCGCCCGCGGAGTTGAGCCCCGTCCTCGGGCGTGTTTGAGTGGGTAAAACAAGGTCACCTCATCACACAGCCTTCAGTTTCTAAAAGATGACCCTTTTCGTTCACTCGCGTCTCTAAAAGAGCTGATGCTACCATGGATGCTACCTGCCAGTTCCTAAAAGCGTCTGCTGCCATATGCCAGGCGGCATGGGCGATTCACGGCGAGGATGCTCGACAGCAGTCTGCAGACAAAGGTTATCTTACCGCAATGTCAACAGAGCTCCACCATACCGTCCAGTCGCTACTAAACACGAGAGTGGTCTTAAAAGATGAAGTTTCAGCTCTTAATAATGCTTGTTTGAAAGTGGGACGCGATCTTGTGATTCGTCTTGATCGTGCCAAGGAGTTTGTCGATCCCCGTGAAATATGGACACAAGATGCCATCGAAGCTCTTGCAATACGGCTTGTCGCCTTGATGCGCCGATACAAGGCCATTAATCCCGGATCCGAGTAAGTTGATTCTCCAGCGTGGAAATTCTCATACTTACTCGCATCCTGCAGCGTCCTCCGAGATGAACGAGCTTTCCCGTGCTTCAGGTCCACCACGCCCCGAAAACATCAACTATTCAGGGATGACAAGCGTCAATTTGAGAAACAAATCTCCTGCGAGTCGCAATCTTCCACGAGTACTTTCAGCCCTGTCCCAGAGAGCTTAGCCATAGATGTGAGGGTGCTTGTGTCCAGTTCAGAGCCTAAAAGTGCTCCAGTGGACCTCCTAAACGAATTCATTCTCGAAAATTTGGCGTTCAAAGACATGCATGACAGGGAGAAAAACGTCGCTAAATCACACGGGAAGACGTTCGAATGGATTTTCGGTGCGGACGGCCGTCAGGGGAAGGTCGAAAATGAGTTTCGTCACGACTTTTCTGCATGGCTCGAAACTAACAACTACGGTCCCATATTCTGGATGACAGGCAAGCCGGGGTCAGGAAAGTCGACACTCATGAAATATCTATACGAACATCCAGCCACACATGCATTATCTCGAAAGTGGGCAGGTGCCTTGCCCCTTTCAACCGCAGGATTTTTCTCATGGGCTAGTGGGAGCAAAGAGCAGCGGTCAAAGAGCGGACTCCTCAGATCTCTTTTGTATCAGTTTCTCTCGGTCAATCCACATCTCATCCCTCGCACGTTCCCTAATCTTTGGACCAAAATCCGTACCATGACCTCCAAGGAGAGAATCGCGCTCCATCTCGAATTGGATATAGATGAGCTTTTGGAGGCCTTCCAACTGTTCATGGGTGCAGCACTTTCGGAAATGAAAATCTGTATTTTCATTGATGGCCTCGATGAATTTGAGGAAGATCACCAGGAACTCACAAATTTCTTCAAGAAATACAGCCTTGATGGCAGCGTCAAAATTTGTCTCTCTTCGCGCCCCTGGAACACGTTTGAAGCAGCCTTCCAAACCACGGGGCCTAGTGTCAAACTACAAGAAATCACACAACCTGATCTCCACCAATACGCAATCGACAGGCTAAGAGAAAATGCTGTTGTTCGTCGTATTCTTAGAAATAAGGCACAAGAGACGGAGGCATTGTGTCAGGCGATAGTTGACAGGGCAGACGGAGTTTTCCTATGGATCAAGCTGGCTTTGAATGATATCTTGAAAGGTTTTGACCCTAAAAAATATCTACCTGGGTTGCGAGACCGGTTGGATCAACTTCCAGCAGAGTTGGACGGTTTGTACGAAAAGTTTTTGCTTCAAGATCAAACCGATACCCAAATCGCTGGGACGGCAACTTTTCTCCTGCTCATTGAAGCGCGAGAGACTGTGGCAGAATTTGTCAATGATACATCAGCGAGCTCTCTCACGGTGTGGGAGCTGACCTTTGCTTTGGAACGAGGTGATGACGACTATGCCACGGACGGGGACTTGGCGCAGGTGCCCGACGCCTTTATCCGTGAACGCTGCAATGATACAATAGAGTGCATGCATCAACGATTTGCTGGACTATTGAGTCTTCAAGGGAGGCAGAGTCAAAATCACCGGCCTACTCTCAAATTTTCGGACAATGTCGAACTTGAAGGGGACAGTGCATCTATACGCCAACTGGCGGACACAAAAGTCACCTTCATCCATCGTACAGTACGCGATTGGCTGCGAGTCGGCCATGTTCGTAGACGACTTGAGCAGAGAATATCAGCTGGCTTCGATCCTCATTTGCGGCTTTTACGATCACATGTGCTCCGGTTCAAGAGACCGATGGAAGAAATTGAGCATCACCGACGGTTTAATGAGTGGTGGCCAGACGTGACTCTCGCAATGACTCATTCCAGATACATCATTGATGACACTGAGAAGATGCAACGCTGCTTTTTGAATCAACTCAACAAAACTCTCTCGTGGCTGTGGGATACTAATGCGGATCCGAACGACCATTGGGCTGCCAAAGCGTTTGGATTCTTTCACGTTCGAAAAAAGGCACCACCAATATGGCATCCTTTCTTATGCTTAGCCACGAAATTCGGTTTAACTACCTACGTTTCCGAAGAATTAGACGCATGGATTTCGCAGGGCAACCACGACGTTCCCGGCAACAGGATGCCGACCTTTGACGAAAAAGCCACTCCTCTTCTCACGTATGCGACCGAATTTCTATGCTCACGAGAGAGATCCATTTACCCGCTGTCAGATCCCAACATGATACACAATCTTCTCGAACGGCGTCATCCTATTAACCCGGGCCCAAACCACGGGTACATTGATTTCGAAACCAAGGCTCCTATGACCTCGTGGGTGAGCCTTTTGCGGCATCTCCGAGATGCGCACCGACGGCGCCTGATAGGATACTTTGACACCGACCCAAACGGCATTACGCGTTGGGCGGAGATCGTGCGGCTTTTTGTGAGAGGCAGTGCGGATATTGATGCTGTTGTTGCGGCAGATCCCTGGGACCCGGAAGTAACGACGGTTGTCATTATGGAGGTGTTGGCCGACACATATTTTGCGGTGGAGCTGGAAGAACTTAAGCGCCTTATTTGTAAGAAATAGAACAGAGCTTCAGGGCTTAACTGACTAGGTAGTAGTATACAGAAGAATAGTACCTAGTGAAAGATGGGGATCGCACGCTGGCTGTCTGCGTGAGCAGACGGGTCGATCGCAGGAAACAAAACCACTACACCCGTAGGGTGCTTGGAGTGATTAATGAGTTGTATTGGCCAGGCAGATAAGCTTGTTCCCAGTACTGAACTAATGGAGCTTCATCTCTCAGTAGATCAGATAGCAGTCCTTGTACGAAGCAGGGGTTGATTCATGAATAGGAAGAGATTGGTAATTTCTCAAAACTAGAACTGCGCGCGCTACATATCTCACCACCAGAGTGGGCATATTATTGCTGAGGTGCTACGTCACGGGATCTCTGCCTGTTGAAGAGCGAGAATCCCCATTACACTAGGTATTACCTCGCGTGGTGGGGCGGGACTGCAGAGAGAGAATACAAAGCGAAACCTTGGAATGTGATATATTGTCTATCAAGCGGGACTATATGACCTGGAAATGTATTCCGTATATAATGCCCGTTTACCATGATGAGAGCAACCCAGACACCTTCAAGTTCTTCTTTATAACCTCTGTCTCCTCTCTGTGTGTGGCTCCTACGCTCCAAAGTAACCTGTATGGAGTAAAGTCCCACTTCCCCACTTCATTAGGTAGTCAAACACTCAAGACGTTAATGGTGACTTTACGGAGTATGATTCTCCCAGGTCGCGCGACACTGAAGCGGCGCTTACCCCTCTTATGTTTCTATATATACCCCTACGCTGCAATATCTAGTACATACGACCATAGGGTGTGGAGAACAGGGCTTCCCGTCCGCTCAGCCGTACTTAAGCCACACGCCGGCAGGTTAGTAGTATGGTGGGTGACCACATGCGAATCCCTGCTGTTGTATGTTTTGCTTTTTTTTTTCCCTTGTATTTCTTTTACTGCTGAGAACCCGAAATAAAACACCATAGTCAAGCAAAATGCTAAATATTAGACTGTGGGACGAGGATTCTGGGAGACATTTACGGTAGTCGCGGGGAAACGAACATAGTACTAGTATGTAGACCACTACTACTAACTAACTAATACTAGTAACATTCTTGTAAGTGGCATTTGCAAATAGCCACCGTATGTAATGAAAGAATCACGAGTCTTTCCGAGTCCTAGAGCGCGACACATTCACTAAAAAGGAAGCCCTGAATCATCTTCAGCTGGCTCTGCAGATTAAGCACATACGGCGGGCATTTTGCAGTACATCATATTGCCCCATTTCCGCGCCTCAAAGGTCTGGCACTGATGGAGGCATTAGCCTTTTAGTGTATTGCGAGTTTACTAGAACCCGAAGTAATAACATTCACTCGCGACCAGTATACAATGTCTTGCATTTAAATAACTAGTACTATGCACTTATGAAATATCCTATCCCTAATAGGTATCGCCTGAATTGATCTTGTTGTACATAGGTAGGTGTCTCATGATGAATGAGAGAATGAGTGAGGCATTTTGAGCTAGGGCCAGGCTCGGATATGGAACCACATGGGCACTAATGAGACATATTCATTCTGCTAGTATGGAGTACCAATTTATGACAACTCCTAGCTCAAGCACAAATTCAAGTTATTGGTGCATGCCAGTGGCCAGAAGCCTAATATTGATAAAGAAGCAAAGCTAAAGAGCGTGAACCGGAGTGTTAACTTTTTTTTAATATTCATTATAGCCGAACTTTAGAACAGCTTTTGAAAATGAGATACCATTCCGCTGCCTCTATTGGCTGTATAATGAAATATTTATCGGCTATTTGTCTACAACTGGTGGGCTTGACCGCTGGGAAGAGTTCGAATGATCCGCAATTTCTACTCATGGGGTAGAAGAAGCCTTCGACATCATCACATCTGGAAAGGGATTGGGATTGCCAGCTCGGGAACGCCGGTTCGATAGCGCGCCAAGTCTAGTCTTGGCCCCGAGTTACCAGTCACCGGAATCGGATTATACACTAAAAAAATACAAGGGATACTACGGAGGAGTGTACATGGATTTGAAATAGAAAAGGGCTAGGGGCTGAATAGGATCGTCGGCTCTAGCCTCGTGCTCATCAGCGAAGCAAGGCTCACAGGTCGATTCCATCGCGAATGGTCCAGACTTACCGTCATATGCGAACGGTTCGTGAGTCCAGCTGAGACATTCCAGACAAGGCAGCCTTCTAGAAGCCCAATGTCCTTCTGGAAGGCGCCCAGCCTCTGCCGCTGGCGCATCCCTCGGGCTGAGCTGGCAAGTTTCAAGAACGAGACAAACTGGGCATGGCGCCGCTCCTTTGCATCAATTGGCCGGCAGATCGCTGCACCATCGTCGACGGAGGATCGGGAAGGCGCAGATGTGGCTCTCGGGCTGATCGTCCTAGCTCTCCACGGTATGCCCCTTAAATGACGGCGTAAAGTCAATGCAACGGGAGGCGTGTCATGCGCCGGTGCCCTGCAGCAGTTCCCTCGGTGGATACGAGAGCTCGTTCAAGACGTGTCGAAGGTAGAGGATCGGCTGTGTGGTAAGATGAGATGGGATGATCCTGTTGTTAGTTTCGTGTTAGCATCCCAATTGCCGGAGCCTGGTCGCCTCGCCTCGAATCCCGGTTGGATCCAAGCATTGCGGCGATGCCAGGATGCTGCCAGATGTTTTCTTGGAAATGCTTGACGGTCTTGGGAGTTCCTAGCGAGAGAGGCAAGCACTGACAAGCACTGTCAAGCAATGTGCATGCAATGACAAGCAATGGCAAGCATCACATTGAATCATCGACTATAGGGCAACCGGGGCAGCCACCCGAAGTATGCAGCGATTATGCAGCATCCGCAGCATGCGACAAGACCGGGTGAACCAATATGATGGACACGTGCTTCCGACAGACCTCGTGTTTCGTGTTTGACCCATGCGAGCCAGACTGATCGATGGTGAATTCCAAGGAACTTTTGGGTTCGGGGTTGACAAGGGCGGACGACGTCAGGTCCGGACAGAGCCATGTGCTCTCAGCGGGGCCTGTGGTTGGTCCATGGGCGATATAGATGGTGTCCAATCATCGGGGCGCTGACCCCGGATATCAGTTAGCGCCGAGTTAAACCGTCATCCCCCACTCTGCTCGCGTGCATTGATCCAAAAGAGGATGCATTGACACCGCAAGGTGATGATTTCCATATGGAGGATAGTCTTGGTGATTGAAAGGCTGTCCATAGTTTATAGCGGGGACCGGAGGTGGTACGTCAAACTTGAGATTGGGCCACACGACTGGCACGGCTTGAATCTGGACTTGGACCCCTCTGGCCCTCGGGGCAAAGACGTTGATAGACGGGCGATAAACGTATGATTCCCCGGGCGATACCCATTTGGATGAGGTAGAAGGGCGATCCATGATGTCTGGTCTTGGCAAAGCTGCGTGAGGATGCTAGTGTCAGTCAGTAGAAGACTCTATAGTGTGTGCTGTGTGCTGTACTCCGTAATGAGCTCTGAATTGGACGAGAGTTGGCAGTTGCCTTGGCAGATGTCCTCAATGCTGGGCAGGGCATCAGTACAAGGACCTAAGACCGGACCGGCTATAGCGCACGCGACAGCAGGATGTGAAGGTGGGATTAGCGGGGGCACCTTGACGCAGGTTGGGTTTGTGTGAGCGAAAGGATCCACACCCGCAGATCTGGGCGGTCCCCAATTGGGCAGGCGGTAAGAAGGCGGGAGGGAATACACACAGATTTATGCAGAGTCTACGCAGAGTGAAGGAGGCTGCTAGCAATTCTGCCACCACGTGCAAAAGTCATTGGCTGGCGGTCGCCCCATAATTTCCATCGGATCCATCTTTACTTTTCCATTTTTCTCGTTTCGCCCCACTCCGCCGCTGCTGTTTTCGTCTTCGTTCCCCGACTCTCGTGCTCATGCTGCGAAAGTCTCGTCTAAAATGGAAAAGGGAAAAAGAAAAAAAAGTCCGGTGGAGCTTGCCACTCCTGCTTAACACCGATATTTCTCGGCGCAAGTCCTCGCTCGCCCCCGGCCCTCCCGGTCTTTCCTCTTTCTACTTTATATAAAAAAAAGTCCACTCCCACCTTCCCAACCTTTTCGTCCCGATAGCTACGCCTCACACACCTTCGTGGTCTCGCGACCTTACCTTCCTCCTCTCCCCTCCCTTCGTGAGATCTTCACTCGACCTTCCTCCACACAGCCAGCTTCCCCGGAAGTCAATTCGTCATGGCTGACTTCAGTCCTCTTGCCCCTCATGGGCCTGATTTGTCCGCCACACCTCGACACAACCCGCTGATGGATCTGGATATGGATGTCAATGAAAAGGGTGCTTTCGACAGCTTGATTCGTCCCGAGGACAGCTACAGTCCCGAGGGTGTCTACTGGGCCGATATGCCCTTAGGCCAGAAGATCAAGTTTGTCAGCTCATATGATGCTGGCGAAGCCCGTCGCGAGCTGAGCGGCATCTGGGACATGATGAAGGAGGACCCTCTCTCCCCCATTTCTTACTACTTCCGCAACATGGTTATCCCCGGTGCCGGTCTTGGTCTCGAGGGTTACGTGCTGTTCTCCATCGGTAATATCAAGCCGCTCTTCCAAAAGACTTTTCCCGAGTGCTGGAAAGACAACTTGATCTGCGATAAGCAATGGTTGAATGCTGTCGACTATTTGGAAATCATTGGTATCATCGTTGGCCAGATTTTGGTTGGCTTCATTGGTGACTGGTAAGTTTCTACTGCAGAGCCGGAGAACCAGAATGGAAGGATTCCCATGCTAATTTCAATACAGGATTGGCCGTCGTTGGGGTCTGATTCAGGATGCGACCATCATGTTTATCGGTTTGATCATGTTGACCGCCGCCTGGGGTGTCACCCAGAACGGCTGGGTAATTTGCTATGCCTGGTCCCTCTTCTTCTACAGTGTCGGCGTTGGTACGTTCTATTCTTTCCCAACCTTCCAGAAGGTAGCCACATGGCGAGCTGCGAAGTTAACATTACATAGGCGGCGAGTACCCCATGACTGCCACCAGCGGTATGGAAAACGCTGTTGGCTCTGGAAAGATCTCAACCAAGGATGATCGCCTCCATCGTGGCCGCAAGGTTACCAGTGCTTTCCTCATGCAGGGCTGGGGCCAATTCTTCAACCAGGTCCTTCTGATTATCCTGTTGCTTTGCTTCCACCACGGCAGTGGCAACAACCCTTATTCGGCCGTTTCCACCCAGTGGACCTACCGTATCTCCTTTGCTCTCCCCGCCGTCGGAACCCTGTGGCTTGTTTACTACCGTGCCTACCACATGAAGGCCGCTAGCAAGCAACTTGCTGCTGCTAAGAAGAAGGCATCTGTTACTGGATACGATGTCGACTCTCTGCGTCTCACTTTCAAGTACTTCGGTCCTCGTCTTATCGCCACTGCCGGTGGTTGGTTCGCCAACGATGTCTTCTTCTACGGAAACAAGCTCTTCCAGAGTGAGTTTATCGGAGTTCTTAGCCCTGGCTCTAGCTCCGTGATGCCCACTTGGTTGTGGAATTTGGTCAATGTTGGTGTTTCTCTGGTTGGCTATTATATGGCTTCCTTCTTCATTGACAACAAGCTGTACGGCCGTAAGTGGATGCAAACTGTTGGTTTCTTGATGTGTTTCATTCTCTTCGTTGTTCCTGGCTTCCACTACGAGTACTACACTCGCCCTGAGAACATCAAGTCTTTCCAGGCTATGTACTTCCTCAGCTCCTTTTTCAACCAGTTTGGCCCCAACTGCGTGTCGTTCCTGGTTGCCGCCGAGGTCTTCCCGACTCCTATTCGTGCCACCGCCCACGGTCTCTCCGCTGCGGCCGGTAAGAGCGGCGCCCTCCTGGCCTCCGTGCTCTACAACTACATCGACACTCAGACCAAGTTCTACGTCGTTCCCTGGTTCGGTCTGGCCGGTGTTGTTCTGACTCTGGCTTTCCTGCCTGATACCACTGGTCTGGATCTCAAGGAGCAAGAACGCCGCTGGCAATTCCTCCGTCAAGGTCGCGAAGAGGACTACCACGGGGCGGCTGTGCACCCCAAGCATCTATCCTGGTACGAGCGCTTCATTTTGCGCAAGGGCCGTTTCTACGACGCCGAGCTGGACTACCAGCAAAAGGTCGAGGAATACCGAGCTGAGTGGGAGGCTGCTATGGCCCAGAAGGTTACCGAGAACGAGAAGAATGACGGGGCCAACTTCGATGACACTGATGACTCTCTGCTCGAGGGCCATGTCCACACATATTTCCACCGCACTAGCCCCATGTTTAAGGGTATGGAGAAGTCGGCTAAGCACGACAACTTCGTTCTGCCCCCGGCTGCGGAATCGGACGAGGAGCGAGAGCACAATCTCTCTGGTGGAAGGATGGATACCAGCGAGCGGACGGAGGAGCACTTCTCCAGCTCGAATGAGAAATCTGCCCCACAATAAATGGGCTGATATATTTGCATGGCGTTTTGTTTCTTATGGGTTTGGGTCTTTGCTCTCTTTTGAGACTTGCAAAATTTTTGGGATATCCCCAGTGACCGAGCGTTGTCGCTGTTCCGTTTTGGACATTGCATGGATTGCATGATGATGCGGGCCGTCGTCGCCTGCTTGTAATTAGATGTTGATACCTACATATTCATGGCTGAATGATCATTGCTTTGGCTTGATAATTATCGCTTAAGATTTTACCTGTTCCTCTCTTTAAATTGTAGACAGAACCTGAACGCAGTACACTTGGGCAGCAGAGCACAAGTGACCAAGGCGGCCACCAAGGCGGTCAAATAGATCCGGCCAAACTATCACCGCCATCGATATCAAACACGAACAAGTACATACAGTACGCATTCCAAGCAAAGCGGTCCCAGAAGTGAAGATGAGAGTATTCGCCTTTGGATCCAACGGATCAGGCCAATTAGCCATCGGCCACACCGAAGACGTCTCCGCACCAACAGAATGTCTCTTCACCTCCCCCGCACCAACCGACAAAATCACAAAGATCGCCGCGGGGGGAAATCATACTCTCCTCCTCACGGACTCAGGACATGTCCATGCTACAGGATGCAACACGGACAAAAGATGCGGACCATCCCAGATCCAAAACCCACAGGATAAGGATAAAGATCAAGATCAAGACGCGCGCGAATCGCAAATCGAAGAAAACATCCTCCGTTTTCGCCGGCTGATTCTCACGGACCCTGTTACTACCGAGAATGTCGATACATTCAAATGTATCTCCACAACGTGGGAGGGAAGTATCCTCGTTTCATCCGCGGGAGATAAAGTTTTTGTCCTGGGCTCGACGCCAAAGGGTGAATTGGGATTAGGCAACGATCTTGTCGCAACGAATCCGAGCCCGACCCAGATCTTTGTTGAACCGGGGCTCTCGATTCCGGATTTCCCCCCTTCCCGTACGACGGTTGTCTCGGTAGCGAGTGGGATGGGTCATACTGTGGCTATCCTTTCGAGTGGCGAGGTTTATGGCTGGGGCGGATCAAGGAAGGGGCAATTGGGCGAGTCGCTGAAGAAGGAGAAGATTGTTTGGAGGCCTGCTAAGGTCGAGGGCATTCCGTTCCTCGCTACGGGTGCTGTTTGTGGGCGCGAATTTACTGTTATTCTTGGGCGGAGAAGTGCGGGTGAGTTTGTTATTCTTGGTGATGAGGGGAATCGGTGGGGGATTATGCGGATTCCTGAGTCTTTACGCTTTGCTGCTGAGGGGAGTGGAGGTGGCTGGAGTGAGTATATTGATATCGGGGCTAGCTGGCATGATATTTATGTACATGCTTCCTCCAGCCATTCTGATTCTGATATTGGGTTCGATTCGCTGAATGCCCGCGCTGCGGGTTCCCTTATTGCTTGGGGCCGCAATGATCGTGGCCAACTTCCTCCGCCAGATTTGCCGCCTCTGAGTGAGATTGGCGTTGGTAGTGAGCATGTTCTTGCGCTCTTGGAGAATGGTGATGTGGCTACGTTTGGCTGGGGCGAGCATGGGAATTGTGGACCAGACACAGATGCCCGAGGGAATGTCGCGGGGAAGTATAACTTGATCCCTCTTCCTGGTGATGTGTCAGGTGCGAGAGTTGTTGGGGTTGGTGCTGGATGTGCGACAAGTTGGGTGATCGTGGAGTGATTTCATCTGCAAGCCGCAGCGCACAGGGCATATTTTGGATAACTTGCTTGTGTCCACCAACACTGTCCTTCAGTCGAAGAGACCAAAGCCGCGGACCTATTCTGCATTAGCACGAGGCTGAAACCAAACACGGAATCGAACCATACCTGGGACATGCGCTGTGTCGGCGGGAGACCCATTTCATCATTATTATTACGACTTTCCTTACGGGAAGCAGCCGGCTTCGAGAAATCGGGCTCGATATCTCGCAACACAGGCTCAAACGTCTCCTGGCCTGATGCATCCCACCCAAGGATGTCTTGAGGTTCCTCTTCATCCTCGTCATTCATCTCATCCCACTGCCTATCATCATCCTGCGGCACGAAAAGACTGTCAAAGTCCATCGACGCAGAAGCCAACGGCCGATCCATCGTCGACCTAGGCGTAAGATTTTCCTGCGTCGAGCCCCCCTTCAACGGACGAATGGACCGCGCCCGCGCAGGCGGAGGGGGCATTTCAGTACTCGGCGCTACCCGCGGCGTCTCATTCCTTCTGAGAGAAATTGGCGCTGGCGTGGCCGCTTGTGCCGTCGCTGGACGCTGTGACAATTGCGGAATGACCGCCCTCGCTGACGATACTTCCTCCCCGTCAACTTCGCCGCGAGTCATGACCGTGAATTCAGCACGGATGCCCTCGAACTCATATGCGAGTTGCATTGGCTTGCAAGGGAGGGTGTAGCGTGCTGTGACGGTAGCATTGGCCGTTTCAGCGTGCGCGACAACTGCTTTAAAATCTTTGAGGTTTATGGCAATGTGCATGTTCTCTTCGATGAGGAATTCCTCGAAATCTTTTCTGTCGCAGGCTACTGATGTGTGGACGGGATATTTGAGAACCTCTGTGATGTTATTAGCTCTTGATAGAACGAATATACTCCCCGGTATCACTTAGCGAACGCTTGCCGTACCTTTGCCTTCCGTGATCTTCGTTGTAAAACTTGTGAATGTGGCTTTACCGGCTTCGGCGCAGATATCCAGTTGCTCAGCTGACATGCTGAAGTGGTCGATGATTTGCTTCAAGAATCGGGGATCGGCAGTCCATTGATTTGTTGTCTTGCTTCTGTCAAACACGGCGTGTTGAATCGCCGCCGGCTCGTAGGTGAGCTTATATGATTTTATTACGCCTAAAATATTTAGTTTTCGTTGGACTCGAGAGGTCTGGGAGAGCTCACCCAAGCCGCAGATCATCTTCACAGTCAATCTGCACTCTGCTTGATTAGAATCTTCGTGAATTTCCATCTCACAGCGCTCAACGGCCGTGTCCTTATTTCGATCGACCCGGCCACGGAAGATAGAAAGAAGTGCCTGTACCGGGATGAGTATCGGTGCGGAATAGCCAGCCTGGATGTGTCTCACTAACTCACCCTGATTAAAATCTGGCAAAAGAACCGCTCCGGACCCTGACTTTGAGTCTGATACGGTCCCCGTCCATCTACGCGCGTCTGAAACGAGTAGCTCTCAAAGAAAGAATCCTTCTCACAGACAAACGATGCAAATGCCGTTTTCGTACTGTTCAAAACACTGAGTCGAAGCTTCAAAATGCCGCTATATGTCAGTAAGCCATTCGTTAATTCGGAGATTGTTCCAAACATACCACACTATGCTCTGCCTCGATGGCAACGGTGTCGCTAAACTTGGAAAGGCATGTGAGGGCATCGTGGAGTTTGACCAGAGCCGGTGGGCCCAAGGATAACGTTAAGCTCGTCATTGCCGATGCAATATGTCCCACGAAAGGTACTGGAGATATTGGAACACTCCTGCTGGTTTGGTTCGTCACCGCGTCTCGTCGCGTCTGGACGCGGTTATTACTAAGCGGTGCACTCTTGCCTAAAAAGGGATACATCGAAATTAGCCTCACATCCATTAAGGACGAATCAAAGACTTAACTGTCTTTTCTTATCCTTCTCATCTATCTGGATTATTTGATTTTTGACATAAATCGATTATCAACAACTTTAATAATTTGAAGTGCTGGAGCTGCCCATTGTTGGGGATTCTCAATCGCAAATGCAACTTCGGCCGCTGAAACATAGATGAATGTTCATCGCAAGGATCTGGCGCGAGTTCTGCTACCTGGGCAGTGTCTTCGCACTGTAAATATTTTAAGAAAAGCTGATATATGTACCCACAACACACCCACTGGAATGAATCGTCGATATGACGGGGAAGATATTTGAGTTGAAATCGTAATCAAGATCAGTCTATATACAATGCCCTTCCAGAGGGTCTCAGATCCTAAAATGCAGTGCTCATTTCGAGTTGATGGTACTTGTGTGAAGAATGGTAATAATCATCCTCATCATCCATCAGGTCAACAGCGAATGATAGAATGTATCCCGTAAATATAAAAGCAGTGGCTGGTATCCAGTTAGCCGAGTCAAGACATAAGCAGATTTAGTGATGGCATACTCCATTCGAGAATCGCGGCTGCATTCTTTTCTGCGTGGTGCATCCCCGCCATAATGCGAAATGGTAAGATGAAAGCGAGCTCGATGATAATGAAGGAAATTTTGATGAAGAAGCTGGCGAACAATATGCGCCGTTCGGCCCCATACAGGGTCATTAAGTAGAAATAATCTATGCAGATTGTAGCCGCACCGATCAAGTACCCAACTCTGATAATCGTTAATGACGGCAATATTACCCCATCGAAAGAGATCTCACATGAATACAGTGACAAAAACATCATGAAGATGTTTGAAATCAATATTGTCGAAGACGCCTATCATGAGTAATGAGAGACCTCCAATGATAGTGATAATGAAAGAGAAGTAGATGCAGATATTGCTGTGGTGTTCCTTCCTTCGAACGAATTGATAGAAGGACATATTAAAGAACAATGTTGTGATGAAACAGCCGGTCAGGAAAAACGGCCATAGTTTTTGTGCTGCTAGATCAGAAATGAATCTGGCAATCCATTGTCAATGACTTGAAGATCTTCCTATATTATAGTTCGCTCTGTCAAAGAAGAACTTACGGAACGGCTTGGTCAAACTCCATTCGGCCATATCTTGGTTGGCCGACCAGGAACCAATGGCCCAGTAGCCCGACGAGCGTCACTGGGGAACAATTAGTAAGTTTCTTACGGGCTCAATATCAAGCAAAGACTGTGTACCTAGCCACGTGGATGCCGAGACAAGGGGAAATGCCCAGAAGGGTGGTTTTGACATCTTGCAACGTGTGGTTAGAGGCTCATCGGACTGGACTCCGTTGGGTGGGTGGTGTTGGATTCGACGTCGCGAGTCAGAGCATTTGAGCAGGGCACATCAACAACAAGGTGGGCACAGCGTGACACATATGAATAAGCAAAGAATGTAAGGCGAAGCCCTTGCATCCCAAACAGGCTGAACGTGTCGATCTTAATGTTGGCGGCTTAAATGCTGTTGTTGCCCTGTCTCCTCCTGATTTATCCCATTGCCATAAAGGTGAAACTCCAGTGAAAATCAGACCAATGATCATGATTACGCCCTTTCCACTCAGGGGAAAGGCCACGAAATAGTCGAAACTCCAAACTCAACAAGGTGGATGTCTGACATATTTGAAGACCCACATCTCTAAAACAAGACTCATTCTTACTCCTTGGACGGAGATTGCAAAACAGTATCAGCTTGTTGAAGCATTGACAGCTCAAACTAAGACCAACGGAAGACTTGCCGGCTTTTTAGGTGCATTCTAGAATCATCTTGAGGTATATCAACAAATGTTCATGTTCAACCCTTGAACCCCTGTATTGGTTGGTGACTGACGTAGAGATCTACATAAAGTGACGAATATATGAACCGCCCCTTTTATTGGTCCCATTGGTGGGCCCAAACTCCACTGTACTGCCCCAACTTGAAGCGCCCCGACTTTGGAAGAGCATTTTTATCGGCAGTTTCCCGCAGATTTCGTTGCTCGTGTGCCCCGGTCCCGCATTGGGACTCAACCCGCAGTGCTTGCAAACATCCTTCACGAGTCCATCGGGAGTCCTCTTTTTATGAAATCATGAAACGTGAGCAGTAGAGAAATTGTTTGGCAATAATATTCGAACTCAGGACGTGCAAGGCTGGTCGCAAAACTTCCGTGGGTACATAACAGGGTCCTTCAAGCGACTAGTTGGCGACTAGTACTTATGAACTGGCCAAGCTAACCAAATCCCGTAGAACTCAAGATGAGGAACACGATTACGAGGGGGTAGCCTGTGGAGTCTATACATTTAATCTGACCAATTCCTTCATTAGACAAATTGATTACTTGAGAAAGCTATTGATGTCGCGTGCCTTAATTTTCTGGAAATGTTCCATATAAATACAGCTCTGGGCGTTATTAGCGGGCGGAGGGTATTGACCCCTTCCCATTACCCGCACGCTCGCATGCACAATTACCTACTAGTAGACTACCCATACTCTATATTAAAATTCAACCAAGCAAACCACTATATCAAGTTATTAATCTCACTGCGCACTAGCTTATCAAGTTCCTTATAACTCACAAAGATTTTAATAAGATCAGCAAACTGACAACTATTCTAAGCTTGTTGCAACAGTATGAGATAACATACTTATCCCATATTCAAATTGAAACTGCCGCTAACTTCCTAAGGCTTCTTTGCAGCGATGAGATTGGAGTGACCATGTAGAGACCTGACCTGGGTTGTGTCAGCAAATCGTATCACTCCGGGTCAAGGCTGGGAAATAGGGGTCACTTACATGTATAGGTTGCGGTTGACGCGTTGAAGTCATGATGCCGAAGATGTATAGTAAGGATGGATTCAAGGGGGTCAAGGTATACTAGACAACGGATTGCGTACTAGGCTCTGAAGACATTACAGTTGACCACATTCAAATCACGTTTGCTGTGTTCGAGCTTTCTTCCTATATTTGCGTAGACTAATTGACATGACCAAAGTAGCCCCGATGCACGTTGCTTATGCACGGATCATGTAATACCTAGCTAGATAGTAAGCTGCGCGGATGATTGTATTGGACTTTTCCGGTATAATCGTCTACCAAAGGCAAAGGCTCATTCTCGTGCCCGTTGTGCATCGATGCAAGGGTTTCAGCAATGGTGGCATCCAACCCCTCTTGTCTGAAAATGCTGACTTCCCTCTTCGAGAAGCGCAGAACATAAACAGGTATTGGTCTCATGTCGCTATGTGCCGTCGCCTAGACATAATGAATATTGTTGAGGTTTACCACAAAGTAAGAGTGCTTCATCTTAGCTGGAGGGTATATGTTCACAGCAAGAAAATGAGTTTGAGCACTGAGACTACTCGTATGGACTGAACTTTCGAGTTCAAGTGCGAACTGGCTTATGCAACCAATTTATCGTCGGTGGTGAGAACGCTATTGGAGGTGTCTCCGAGTATTCGTATCGCTCCTGAACCAGCCGTTTCGAGCAAGGAACTTATAGTCTTCGGGATTTGACCCATGATATTATCTCGAACATTTTCCAAGTTGCTTTCCTCTTTCCTCTTCCATCTCCAAACTTGAAGCCATGGGAATTGGTGCGGAAAAAAAGTTGACTTGTTTACGAAGCACGCTTTGGAACCGAGTCCTCGTTATGTAGTGTAGTAAAGCCCACACCGCCAGATTTCCACCATACCGAAGAGGAAAAGTGGAAAACAATCGGTGGCGTTGTGCCACCTGTGTATCGGATATGGCTTTGTCATAGTGATACACACTCCTCATGCAAGACACCTGGCAACGGAACTAAAATTCGGAGATTTAGGTAAAATAGGCGGCGATATTTGCAGACCCGCCGGGACAGTAACCTTGACCTCCCAAGGGACAAGTATTTTCAACATTAGAATAAAATAAACAGATAGAGTCGCTTGTAGGGAATCAAATCAAACGTATGTCGTTATGTAGAAGGGGTGTGGTGATTGAGGTAAATATCACCCGGAATTTGAATGCTTTGGATCCCACAATCCAACACAACCGGGTGCCCTCTCCTGTATTTTAAGAATCATCATCTACAGATCCATCATTGCTCTCCATTTAAACCGCGATCACGCTGGGGCAAAGGCTGAGGAAATTGCAACTCGAGCGCTCGTCTCCGTCGGCGTCCCCTCCGCACGACCTGGAGGAAATTCACGCCCACGTGGGCGAGGAAAATCGCCAAGAACGTCCCTATGACCAAAGTCTGGGGTATATAGGTCTCCCTGCTTTCTTCCACGTGACTGGGGGGGTTGATCATGATGGCTGGGGAGCTGGTGGTTGCTATCTCGGAAAGTAGGTTGCGCACCGCCGAATGAAACCGATATTGAGAACGAGAATGGCGTGAAGGACGTTAGAACGTTTGGAGCCAATGAAGTCAAGATACTGTAGAAAGGCTTGAATGACAGGGCCAGGGGGATGATGCAAAATACGAGGAGAGGGACGGCTAGTCATAAGACAGAATTGAGTGACGAGCGGGCGGACCTAATGCTGGTTGTTAGATGAATCTTGACGTCTTAGTAGGTTGGACGTACCAGTCACGAGCCTCCAGCTCTCTTGCCCAACGTGCTGAGATCTTTAGTCGCTCCCTAACACTCCTAGCAGATAGTATAGGGTACTTCTCCTCCTCGGAGATGGGCAGGATACTGGCAAACCACCACGGAAATCGAACTGCATCTGTTGGCACAGGCCCATATGCTAGCATGACCCGTGGGTGGAGCCAAGGCGCACCTGCTTGGCGCTGCTTGCGAATAAAATCCCGTGCTAGGGCAAGGAGCTCCTGAGTTGACAGGGAGTCCAAGGGTGGCTCCGCATTTGGCCCTAGAGATGGATCTGGAATCGCAGCTGCCGCTGTTTCGGTTGCTTCGAGTCTTTCTTCATCTGCTAGATTTAGATCATCAACACGCTCCGTACGAGCGATATGGTAACCATCCAATTCACCCGCCTCGAGTACCCTAAAGCGGGATATACCGGTTGCAATCACAAGGCTGCGTCCGTCTGGAAGAAGTTCATATCGCTCAACCATCAGCAGCGTTCCATACTGCATAAATGGCACACTCCCGAGCTCTTCTCCTTGTGGTCGGCCGCGCCGGTTGTACATGACCATACCGAACTTACCATCTCCATTCTCGACGACTCGTCGAATCATGAGACGATATCGAGGTTCAAATATATGCAAGAACGTCGGCATCGTTGGAAATGACATAGTGCAGACAAATAGCGGCAGATTTTTTTCCTGGTCGGTTCCAATTTCATCCTGAGCAAGGGCTTCTCGCCGAGAAGCGACCTGATCCGGGAAAAAATGATCGATCAAATGAAGCAGGGTGCTATTCAATGGCTCGGATTGAATAGTTGACGGCATACCGACCTTACGCCGGCAAACAGGGCACAAATCGGTATGGTCCAATACTCGCGCAACACATTTCCGGCAGAAGGTGTGACCGCAGGGTGTCGTTAGAGGGTCCAGGATGAGAGAATAGCATACTTGGCAGTCAAGTTCCCCGCGAAGCCGGTCTCTCAGCTTCTGGATATGAGAGATATCTTGCGGGCTATAGTCTTGCCCAGTCCGCTCCTCGTAGGTCACTTGGGATACATGATAGGGAAATCGGCCTTCCCAGGCTAGTAAATAGATCCCTTGTAGCCACGGAAGCCTTCCCACGTGTGCTGTGTGAGTCTCTGGTTTTGCGTCCTCTCTGCGATCAACCACCCAACGAATAGCCCGGCCTTGATTGTTCTCCTCCTGGACCTCGGCATCTTCCGTGCTTGGGAACGCGAGCTCTTCTTGGAACAAGATAGCGATATTGGATAAGATCACATCAGTACCACAATCTCCGACGCAGTGGTCTCCGGAACATTTGCTCGTTCCTTCCCAGTAGCAGGTAAATTCTTCCTCGCGACCCTCCGCCACCGGGTAAGTGATGCCCGTCCTGGGTCTGGCTGGCGGGAGACATGATCGGCATATGGAGTTGCCGCATGGCAGTCGCAAGGGTGTATTCAACGGGCGCGAACAATGCTGGCATTGTATCAATCGGACCGCGAGGTGGGCGAGGTCTACTTCACGAGGCGGACGCGGTTCAGACCCGGAGACATCTGAGCTCTCCACGGTCGGAATATCAGCATTGGCAGGCTGCGAGGGCCCTATAGACACGGCTTCAGTGTGATCCATGGCCGAATCCAGGGCTGCTGAATGGAAGGTTGCTGAGTCGAAGAAAGGAAAATGGTGGGGAGGTGGCGCCCCAGGTGTTGGATGACATCGGGAGAAAGCTCCCCGGTGGGTTGATCGGCGATCGGCGGGTCAACTTTAGATAATCTACTGCCCCGTTAGATTCCGAACTTGAAACTCACATTTGAGTGGACCACATAGTCAATAAGGGGAAACGAGTGAAAATATAGATAATTGTACAATATCAGGTATATACTTCCTCAAGACCCCCGTGAGGTAGGAGTATAATGTCGAGTTCTACACGCCCCTAGCGCCCTGCCTTGGCACAGAGGTATTGTTTCTTACGCGCATGTAGGGGTTGTATTCGTTTGTACTTTCTTTAACTAACTACGACCGACTGAGGATTTTGGACTAAAACGAGACACTAATTTGTCCCAAAAACCTGTCCCCAGTCGCAAAAAAGGTGTCCGCCATCGTTTTCGAGGTCCCGTGACACCTGAAGAATGTTCCTCCTGAATGCTCGACTCAGCAATAATGTGAATGGGCCTTACGACTTGGCTGGGCTCATTAGCCTGTCTTGAAAAACGTTAAGTGCCCGCTGAGATCTTCGTGAACGTGTATCGTGTACGTACCGTATATCCTGGTTTGTCAAAGCTCCAGAAGCAGTATGAAGATTTCTTTGGCTATCGTCATGTGTCTCTGGTAATGAAGACAGTGAGTTTCCACCAGTGCCATGATTGTTTCGACCGTTGCCTCCATTTCGACCGTTGCCTCCATTTCGACCGTTGCCTCCATTTCGACCGTTGCCTCCATTTCGACCATTTCCTCCATTTCGACCGTTTCCTCCATTTCGACCATTTCCTCCATTTCGACCGTTTCCTCCATTTCGACCGTTTCCTCCATTTCGACCGTTTCCTCCATTTCGACCGTTTCCTCCGTTCCGGATGTTTCGATCCCCAGTCGAGCGTACGCTCTGAATAAATGGCAACAGTGCGCTGTCTGTGAGTAGCTGATGAGCGTAGCTTATAGCAGGGTCTAATACGGTTGGACTGGGTGGTGAGACCATAACGTTAACATGATCAAGCAGCCTGATACGGATGTGCTCTGGGATATTGAGCTCATCCGGAGCTCCCGACATGATGTATGTGCTCATTAAAATCTTCCATTGCTTCCCCAAACGCCGCGAGTCCGATGTCATCTTCGTGGGGCAAAGATCAGGGGCTGAAGCACGATAGGCGTCAATATAGTTCTTCGTGTCCGAAAGGAAGTCCAATAATTCAATGCAATGGTTCTGGGACAGATAGTCGACGAAGGACTCGAGGGTAAACGGTTCCGCGGCATTCCCGGATATTATTTGGTTGAAGTTGAGATATGGGGCGGGCGAGATTTGCCTGGAGGCGGTTGAATCTCTGTCTCCGCTTGTAGTACTGGATGCCATGATTTGGTGCTTTGGCTAATGGAATAATTGGCCTAGCAATTTAACAGGCACCTGGGCATAATAATAACATTGTGATAATGAGTGCCAGTAACCAGCTATTAGGCAGAAGGAGGTTTTAAATGAGAATTCATCATGATGCAATATATTTGTTATCTTCAGCACTCTTGTTTTTGATCAAAGCGGTTGTTTAGTAAGTGGCTTAATTCATAATTAATTTTAATAGGCCGGATGTGTTTCCCGGACACAATTGAAGTCTTGCTCGAATCACATGGCTAAGAAAATTTGACCGTTCTCGACCATGGAACGGGTTTGGAGAACATACAACCACCAGGAACTTTATTAGGGCAGAAGGTGATGGAAGAAGATATGAAGGGATAAGATACGTGGTCCAGCATTATTTAAAACTTGGGACCGATGGAATGTAGTCTAATTGTGAGTTGGGTGCCTCCACTTATGATTCTAGTGGCTATTGGGTCCTTTGTAGTTGCGTTCAGCTCTTCGGCCATTGCTGATTAGGAAATACTCGATGACCACTAAGTAAACAGTCTGTATATCTGCCGCAATTACTTGATATTAACCAGGCATTGTGATAGTGGTACTGGTTGAAGATAATGAAAAAGAAGTTGCGCCGACAAGCAAAGTGCATTGACGTCCGGCTGACCCAGGGGGGTAGGTCAGCCTTCGGTGTAGGGCATCTCCGCATGCCGCCTACGGTGACTATTAATAGGAAATTATTTGGATAAACACAATAGCGAAGACGATGAGCTACACAAACTACCACATATTGTTGCTAAGTGTTGGAATTAAGATTACGCAGAACATGCAGTTGATATCATTTCGTGTGTCTCATCCAAGGCCAAATTCACCGCCATGCCAGTAAAGTAGATGCACAGAACAGTGAAACAAAAGAATAGAAACAGATCCCAGCGCGTTATCATTTGCTTATAACACAGCAGATTCAAGCCTCTTCAGACGACCATATATTTCCGAATCGATCAAAGGCTATGCGGTATGGTGGCCGCGAGCAGTTTTGCAGTGCAGGAGTATTCCGAAAGGGTAGCAACCTTGGAAGGTAGTTTTGCAATGTGGATTGGGGGGTGGGCGGATATAAAATTGATCTATCATCTGAATAATGTCCTCGATCTCTATGAAGACGAATCAGAATCCGTTCCAGAAGAATCTTCGTCAAGAACGATTCGGCGCATGACGGTCTTGTCGAACAAATCAATCGCAAACCGCCGAGCTGGGAGTCGGAAATGATGACTCTCGAGGATACAGAGGGTTTTGCGGAAAAGATGAACCTGATGGAATCTTTCAGGTTGTTTGGATTTGATGCTATTGACCATGTATGATTAGTAGTTACTTGCAGAGGCATGAAGGGGAGAGACGATACCTATGCAGGTCTGTGGCTGCTCGCTTCGAAAGCACCGTGTTACCCATATCGACAATCAACTTCAGAATCTTTTGGTTGGTTACGTCCGGGTCTGTCGTTGCCTCCTTGAGTTTGTTTTGGGATGTACGTTTGGCGGCATCCGAATTATAACCGGGGAACGAGATCTATCTTAATTAGTCATTGAACCATATTAGTAGATAGAAGTGGACTTACTAGGAATAGTTTGCGATGGTCTGTCGGTAGGCAAAAGCCTAGATATTGCCCATTTTGGTCAATGGCAGAGTCCCATCCAAAACCTCGCAATACCTGTAACCCGTGCTTGCTGCGGGAGATGAGCCCTAAGACGAAGAAAGCAGTGCCTCGCATCGTCAAAACACCTGCGCTCTCAGCTATCGTTACAATGCGTTGTACAATCTCTGGTTCAAGGAACGGAGCGCCAAGCTCCATTGACCCGACATTGCCTACGGCCCAGAGACATCCCTTAACCTTAAGGAGTACTTCGTAATCCTCTTCCTCGAGTCTGAAATCTCGGATTGTCCATGCGAATTCGCTAAAATGGCCAGATTGCTCGAGAAGCTTGCAGCCTTCAGCAGTTCGGGCAAGCTCTCGGTAAAAGTGTGGAGGCACGACACCCACATCTTGCATGTCAACCAGGTCTTCGGGTGCATAGCTACTGCGTCGTGGTTGATCAACGTAGGCCCTTGACAATGCTGCTTCCACGAGGGCCACATATGAGTCGTTTCGACCGAGGAACCAGTCATCCATTTCTTGCGTGATGTAGTCCAGACCGTCCAGATAATGGTAGCCAACCGAAGTTGACAAGAAGCGTAGGAGCAGTGGCGCACCAATCTCACCCAAATGGTCAAGAGAAGGTCGACACTTGACCACGTACTCGAGATAATCACGCTGGTTGCACGCTTCTTCGAGGATCTTCACAGCAATCTGGCAAACAGTGACGTCCGGGTCGTATAGCTGAGTCACAAGAAGCTTAACAACCCATTCCGCATTTCCAATTGCCACGTGCGTTGGCACATTATCACCGCCGACGGCATACTTGCGAAGAAGCTTGGTTGCAAATATGCGGATTTCTTTGGATCCAATTGTGAGGGCTTTGGAAAGCATGACGCGCAGGTGACTATCTCGGCTGTAGTCCATGTTGCCTAGAAGGGTTTGGATGAGATCATTGCGTCCTTGCAACTCGATAATGTGATAGAACATATTGAGCATATGCCATCTCTCCATCATGAGAAGCCCCTTCACGTCACCACTCAACGTCCCTAGCATTGCAAAATAACCTCCACTCATTGTGTTGGTCATTTGCTCTCGCGAGAAGAGTGGCGACGCAGAAGTCAACCCACTCATTCGATCCAATTGTGCCAAGCATTCGGCAACCTGCCGGAGAAACTTGTTCTCGGCGAGGTACTTCGTGCCCTCGGAAGTCTGAACAAGGGTTCGCATCAAGGCGCAACCTGTCCGAACGTAGCGCTGATTTGGTTTTGTGTTTGGGACAAGAGCGAAGCGGTATTTGAATGGTCTGTAGAACCCAATGAGTCGCTTCATAAATTTAGAGCCTTTGATGGCCTCATCCATGCGCTTAGGGTTCGTGAGCGGACCCTCGACGAGACGGTGAATAAGATCCCACTTCCATTTGATGTAATTGGAAGTGTTTAACACGTGAGTTTCCATAATGGCATTTCGGAATGTTTGTTCATCCATCGTCGGGCTCAACTTGTCCTTTGATTGCTCACCCGGCAGCAAAGAGGCCGTGAAATCAACGTCCATATTGTAACGACCTGAGCCTGAATAGGCCCCGGAGCGAGCCAACGTCCGATTGATACTTTCAATCTGGAAAATAGTCGACGTTGAAACGTCATGGTTGTCGGTGTCGAATTGGATTGCGGGGGGAATCAGGTTTGGAAGGACTTGGAGTTTGGCACTGGTTGCCGATGGTAGGGAGTGATGAGCAAGTTTTAGCACTTCAGTCAGGAGAAGAGTGGCTTTCCGTCGGAGCGAGGGATCTGTCTCATCTTCGATCAGATCCGAAAGGGCCTATACCGAGTTAGCATCTTCTGTGGCTTCCGTCACAAGAGTGTTCCTACTTTGGGCAGACCAGCCTCGATCAAAGCCGCCAGGATAAGGGTTGAAAAATGCGCCGTCAGATCGAATTTGTTGCTGGTATTCTCGGTGAATGAAGGCGTGTGTCTCGATTCGGTATCAGAACGTAGATTGGAAACCCTGCCATATGTTGTGAGTCGCCTGCCAGCGAGAAAAGAGGACGACCACGACGGGGGTTTTATTCGCAGCGCATCGAATAACAGTTCCATGATAAGATCACGGGCCTGAGGGTCAGGATAATGCAATGACTCTAAGAGGGAATGCAATGGTTTGGCATTGTTCCTAGCGAGAATCACAAGGCCGGGCCACGTCTTGAGCATGGCGGAGATCGCGCGAGCAGCAGATTTTAACCGGCCGTTGCGAAGAGAGTCTGCTAAAGAATCGGTGAAAGGCGTCAAAACAGCTTCTAGTTCGCCTCCTTGCAGATATTTCCGGCTGCGTGGGGTGTCGAGGATATGCAAAAAGCTAGAGATCAAACTCTCCGAGGCACCAAATGTGCCTTCTGCCAAGGCATCGTGCAAAGCAGAGAAGCCACCGGAAGAGGCAACGAGTTCTGGATCTTTGATCAACATTTCCGCTAGGGTCATAATGGATATGTTCCGTAGCCGATCCTCATTGTGCTCCGCCACGGAGACGATTGTGCGAACCACAGCACGCGATATCTCCTTCACACCATCTTTGACATCAAGGAAGGCTCGCACGAACTTCAGAGCCTGTTCTCTTTCAATGCTGGATTTGCTCTCTTTGACGAGAGATAAGATGACAAGTTCATCTGTGTGCAGCGCACGAATGGTTTGAATGGACTTCCGATCTGCTATGGCATAGCGAGTCAGCCGGTAGCCCGCGGCAACCACTTCTTTGCTGTCACTGAGGAGCATGATCTGAACACGCAAGCCAAATACAGGCCATGCAAGGTCATACTTGAGGGCCGGATGCCGTTTAAATAACTCGACCAGATTGTTCGCGCGCTCCACATAGAAGTCGGGCGACATCCCCTCGATCTCTAATGCCTGAAGTGTCTCGGACAGCACATATGTCGGGGATTCCATGTTTCCATCTTCGTCAGCTTCTTGGTATCCGTCCAGTGATCCTCCACCGGCATGATTGCGGGAGGGTGAGCGCATGGGACTCCCTCGAAAAAGGCTGGAAAGTCGACTGCGTGGGGGAGTTGTGGCCGGCGCCTGCGCGCGCAGCAGCTCTTCTTCAAGCTCGTGTTGTAACTCGGCCAGTTTGCGATTCGATGTGCTCAGCTCGGATTCTACCTTTAGGCGCTGTTCTTTCGTTTGCTTCGGAGGCTTTGCCAGCAGTGCCTCGAGCATATTCTCTGTTCCGGTCTTGATCTTTGTTTCCTTGGCGATCTTTCCTCGAAGAAAAGCCACGCGCTCTTCTGTAGTATTGAGGTCTTCCTCGCCTATCGATTTACTGGCTCGTCGTGTATAGGTTCCATCGGCTCGTGGTGTCGTACTCCGTGAGGTCATGCTCTTGAGCTCCGCGCTGAAGCTACCGGGTCCGCCAAACGACGGGGCCAGCGACGAAGGCCCTCGGGTTCCGGTAGTAGCGCTACCACCTGATCCAGACCGTCCATTCCGCCCCGACCTGGGGACTGCATCATTCCAGCTGCCGTTCTCTGAACCGGCATCGTGGCTCATAGAAGACCGCCCGTCACCCAAGGCGCGGTGCTGGGTGGACGCAGAGAACGCTGATTGGTGTCCGGAAGCCATGGAGCTCCATCTAGCCACGGAGGCTGTCTATGACCAGTCGCAGGTATTCGGAGTGCCGAAGGGCCGCATTGGGGTCCGGGGAGAGTAAAGGTCACGTCGCGGAGCAAGGGCTCGAGTATGGGGAAGCGCAGGGGCGGAGGGGGTGGGCAACTCCGCAGTCACGGGCACGGGTTACAGGCTGGATGATCTAAGAGCAGCAGCTGCCACCACGACTGGGCAAGACTGGGGTTTAGCGAAAGAGCGGCATGCAGAGAAGCGATCTGCACGGGTAGGCGATTGTCCCACTCGGTTGACCTTTGGGGGAGCCTGATCGCAACCAACAACGGATGACTAAGGCATCGCCCCCATGGACAATCAGCTTCCAGATAGGTATGTTGTAGCGTAAAACAAGACTACCTATATAGTCGAAGCAATCATCTGTTGGTATTTTAAGATATACCTAAGTACTGTTCGGTTAGATATTCCAGGAGGATGAGAGTACTGCTACACAATTGGAAGAACCACTTACAGCCCATTAGTGAACTTTGTATACATACTACTCTTTTCAGCCATCGCCGAACAGGCAATCTGCCGTAGAACTTTACTGCAGTACTTTACTGCAGTGATTCTTTAGAAGAGGGGGTATTATTCGTATCAAAATCCACACTACAGTCATAAATAAACAAAGTTGAATGATACACGGGACTAGTTGCCTTACTAGACACCCAAGTCCCTCGAAACGCCCCACGAAATGCCCTAGTCCCCGCCTGTTATCATACAAGGCATAGCACATATTAGACCGAAAGACCGCGTATTCTTGTCATATTGGCAAATCATTTCTCAAGGATTGCTGGTTGTCTTCTCCAGGATCGTTTTCATCATCTCGTTACCAAGCTGTGAAGCCTCGGGGAACCGAGGGGCAAAGTACGAGGCAATCCGCTCAAAGCGATCACGGTAGGATTCAAAATCTCCGAAAGACACACAGTCTGACCAAGCCTGTAGGAAAAAAAAGAATCATGATTAGCCCAAAGAAGGAAATGAGATAGTGTTATCATGCGATTGGCATTACTGACCCGGGCCGCAAATGTGAATTCCAGATCATCTGAACGGAATGTATTGTCATCAATCGCAGTGTCTAGAGCTTCCTCAAGAAGTTCGGGGTTGCGGAACAGGTACTCAGTAACGCCAAGCCATAGACGGAAGAGCTGGGGAGAGATTAGCATATTGAAGATTTGACGGCGACCAACTCCTATCAACTGAGACATACCGGGGTCGAGCAAATCATATGATCATAGGGAACAATGCCGAGTTTGGACCAACAGTCAACGATGGCGAGGAGACTGAGATGGCTGTTGGGAGGTGATTTCTCCCGAGACCGGTTGGAAAGAGAGAACCGGTCTAGGACTTCGTCCTTCAACAAGAGGTCTTGTGCCTCCTGGCCCTCCTTGAACACAGCAGCTCCGGCCGCCTTAACTCGTTGCTTGAGCTCCTCGCGATGTCCACCAAGCATGAGTTTATAGAGCTCCGTGACTGACTCGGCATACTGGCGAATCTGCTGCTTCGCAGCCGGGTTGAGGATAGCGAGACCGGCGTAAACATGCCACTTGTTTGCATAGATGCGCAGTGTGATGTTGATCTTCACGTTCTCGATACCACCCACCCATCGGTTGATTTCCCAAGGGAATTGGTTGTTGGCCTGCCATGCGGTCCCCATGCTCAGGAAGGCGGCATGGGTAACGGCCTGGGTATCGGCGGTAATTCGATCATGCATCTCGCCGGTGATGTAAACATGTTTGGATCCAAAGGAGGACAGGATGTGATCGACGAATTGAAGACTTTCGTCCGAGGCTCGATGTTGGATTAGAACCTAGACGAGGGGGTGGACATTAGTTCATGTTGAACCAGGCTGGAATTAAATTAGACATTGGTGCGATGCCCTACCAGAGGCTGACCCTTCGGATTGACTTTGGGTCCATGCAGCGAGTGGCATGATACGATCTCTACATCGGACGGTAGGTGCTTTTCAAAGGCTGCAAGCTCCGGGGCCTTGCATGAGGTCTGACCACCAACAATCGCCCCGACCTTGGTTGCTTGAAGTAGAAGCCTTGAGTCAGATGGATTGATCCATGCAGGGGGGGGCATTGGTTCAAAAATCAATTGGGGACATACAGGGCCCGTACTGTGCCACGACTCGGTCGATGACACCAGCCTCTACGCTGTAAAGAATGAAATCGCTAAGTCTCGAAACGAGATGTCCATTCGGGAAAATGGTGATTCTTTGCTATATACGATGAGCCTCTGGGCGTATTGGCCCGGCGGGGGACGTACTTGAGAAGCGAACTCTTGGGTCAAAGATTCATAATTCTCAGGTCTATCACAAGCGTTTATCCTTTTAATGAAAAATATCAAGTCCATGTTAGTATTAAGATTCTTGTAACCAGGTAACGCGCAAGAGAAGGAAGACGCAATCTGTTTTAGAAATCTATTCGAAACATTCTGTTAGCATCGTGTGATGAGAAATAGTAGGAGTGAATCGAAAGAACAAGGCAGCTTCAAGAAGCTTCTCAGACAAGAAAAATTAAGGTAGCGAGTATTTTACATCATCGACGACTCAGCAATTGACCGGGACCAGAATGGTTTGCCGGCTATCACCGAGTCATGCTCGAGCCAAATGCACTCAAGTCATCATTGGATTGGGGGATAGGGAAGTGGAAGTAGAGTAGGAGAGATCAGGATGAGCTTACCATTCAAGTATTGCTGGATGCTTGGATTGCGAACAACCAGGAAAAAAACAAGGCGGAGAAAAATTACCTCCATCCGGCGGCACTGAGACGCTGGGCATACATTTTACCCATGTCACCCATGCCGATGATGCCAATAGAGGCATCCTCCATGGTTCGTCCCATTCTGGCAACGAGTCACACTTGACTGATTCTGCAGATAGATGTGGTATTGTAACGTCTGTGGTTAGTAAAACAGTGATTTGTAGCGCTTGAATCGAAGCACCGGTTTTTCCACCGGGTCAGACGAGTTCGCGATGTCAATTGGAATGCAGAAGAAATGTCATGTCTTGCGGAAGAGAAAGAAAATTTAAATAGGCAAGCTCAGCTCGGGTGACTCACCGCCCGCCGGGCCGACTGCACGACCGGTGAGACACGTGACTAGTAGTCGCTTGAGCCGGGACCAGCAGAGTTTGAGGACCAATCAGAAGTGGTAAATTTGCTAGGGCACACACCCACTTTTTGGCAATCTCATCCTCCTCAATCTCAATCTCCCGCTTCTTCTTTTCTTTCCCTCCATATTCCATCCACGACAAATCCCATCCACAATGGCCCCCAAGACTGCCCCCAAGGCTAAGGAGAACGTCTCCCTCGGCCCCCTTTCCGGCGACGGTACGTGAAACCCAATTTTACTCTGATATCCTTTTTAACGCGAGATTGCTGACTCGATTTTCGCATGGAACAGGAAAGCTCGTTTTCGGTGTTGCCCGCATCTTCGCCAGCTTCAACGACACCTTCGTTCACGTCACCGATCTTTCGTACGTTTCTCCCTCATAATTTCCGCTGGAAGGAATTGCCGCATATCCCTCTTCAAGAATGCTGGATTACGTTAGCTGACACATTTCTGTTCTACAGCGGCCGTGAAACCATCGTCCGTGTCACTGGTGGTATGAAGGTCAAGGCTGATCGTGACGAGTCCTCCCCCTACGCTGCCATGCTTGCTGCCCAGGACGTCGCCGCCCGCTGCAAGGAGCTCGGCATCAACGCCCTGCACATCAAGATCCGTGCCACTGGTGGTAACGGCACCAAGACCCCCGGTCCTGGTGCTCAGTCTGCCCTCCGTGCTCTTGCCCGTGCTGGTATGCGCATTGGCCGTATCGAGGATGTCACCCCCACCCCCTCCGACAGCACTCGTCGCAAGGGTGGTCGCCGTGGTCGCCGTCTTTAGAGGTATGCAGGAGTGTTTTTCATATCCTACTACGTCTTTGCGTTGTTGGATTGGGAACAACCTGCAGGCCCTACCTGCAATTGTGGATGGAATAAACGCGAGGAACGGCCTATGTCGCCTGGTCTTCACCTTCTATCACGCCCTAAAAGTTCGAACTCAGCTGTCGCTGTTGAGTTAGGTAGTCTGATAAGACTACTGAATCAATTGAACTGGTTTGAGTTACCTTGGTCTTTCTCGTAAATCCAAAATTGTAAATCTAAAGTGTAGTGTATTTTTTTGTAGTGGGGTCCGACTGAGCAGTTGTTCCCATGGCTCCCATCATGTGCTGGTCATCTTTACGTAGAGTGGCCCGCTCACCGCGGGGAGCTTCACGTTATCGCGGGGCCGATAAAAAGGCGAGCTTCACCAACGCAACCTTCAACTCAACACACGACAACCACCGAAGTCCAGCGACCTACACACTATTGGAGATCTACATAAAGTTTTTCTGCCATATGCGCTGGAACATGTCACCAGTCTGAGACCGTATTTTCTGCCAGGAACTGATGGCAGTTCCCTGTTTTCCAGGATCCCAACATCGAACAATCTTTTTTTTTTCAAGTTGGACAAGGCCAGCACGCGAATGACCTGATCAGACCCAATAACGATTCCTCCACAAGTTCCAAACCACCATAAATCCGAACCGCCGCGATGTCTTCCTCGCTGCAACCGTCACCAACCATCCTCCTCCCCCACCTCCCTCCCAAGACCCTTGTCGGTATCGATCTAATCACCTTCACGTCAACGCCCAAGTTCCACGGAATTCGCGATCTACCGAGAGGATGGCACTTCCTGTACACCGGAACCACGGAGAGTCTTTCTCTCCGGTGCGGCGCATGGTTCTACGTGGGTGACATCAGCACAGCAGGCCATGGACAGAATGACTCCGCGATCGTGGTACGAGATCAAAATACCGGGCCAGAGATCTTCATCTGGAAATGGAACACGGATACAGAATCGCTCTCATCGCTCCGAAATGATCACGACTCCGATCGACAAGAGGCCATGCGCTTCAAGGCGAATCTGGGAGGCATCTGGCAGACTGGGGGACTATTTCGATATCGAAGCCGGGTGTCACCAGCTATGCTTTCGAACCAACCAGGCTCGACCCTGGAATCGACACCAAATCCGCCACAGGCGCCACAGGCGGAAGAAGACGAGGAAACCGAGGAAAGTGGCCGCAGAGACTGGCAACAGCTTACCGACTGGATATCGCCCAGTCTGCTCACGCGCATTATTGGCAGCCCTGAAATAGACGTGGATGATCACCCACGGTGGGACTTGACATCTGCCGGTACAGCTGATCGTGATGCGGATCATATTCCCGGGCTTGATAAGCTCAAGGAGAAGCCAAGCGAAGACCCAGAAACCCCAGAAAACCGCGCTGAAGAGGAGAAAGAACTTGGGTTTCTTCCCATCGACCTCAAGCAAACATGGCGAGAAGGCGCCATTGGCCGGGAGAGAACAGACGCCGCTCAAGATCGGTCCTGGGCATTGGGTGATTTGATTATTCGAAATTCGGCTTCGGTATCCGGTGAAATCACTGTTGACGAACGAACTGGAGAGATCCAGTTGCTCGGAGAATTGCAATTCACATTCATTATGGTGATTACCATGATGAATTTCTCGTGTCTCCAGCAGTGGAAGCGATTGCTGGGGCTTATATTAACTTGTCAACAAGCAATCGTTGATCGCGAAACCTTTATGAGCGACGTTGTCCGGTTATTGTTGTGTCAGCTCCAGCGATGTGATGATGTTGAGGGTGGCCTTTTTGAGATTGATGGAGATGAAGGTGGAAAGTTCTTGCTAGACCTGCTCAAGAAACTCAGACGTGCTGTGGATCAAGTTGTTGAGAAAGGAACACAATCAAAGGTTAAGACAGAGCTGGAGAAATTGGAAGCCTGGGTCAAGGAAGAATATGACTGGGAACTGACCCACGAGGACATTTTGAAACGGGGTACGATACAACTGGAAGATGGTGAGGAAATCGAGGTGGAAATGGAGGACAATGACGAATACGAGGAAACGGGCGAATATGCTCCTGTAATCGTTGATTTGGACGAAAGCAGTGCTGTATCTGATGTCCTTTCTGATGATGGAGAGATGTCAGATCTAGAGGACATGAGATATTGAAAAATACCCGTCTAAATCTTTTCTCCCCTCAGATCATTCTTAATTGCGACAATGCATATGGAATCGGCTACGTGAATAATCTTAAATTGAATATCTTTGGTTGATTCTTCCAAAAATCCCCAGAGGTTGGATTTGTTCTATGTACATCAAATAATCCCGTAAATCATGAAGATGCAGATTCTCTGATAAAACCCATCAGAACGCAACTGCTTATGCATCTCTAAAAAAGAAGTTGTCGTCTATTTCTCCTCGTCCTCGATAACGTAGGACCACTCGTGCTCCTCCTTGCCGAACATGATGACCTCGAGCCACGACTTGATCTGGGCAGTGTAGCCGGCAGGTTCGCCCTTGGGGCCGAGGGTGCTGATGTCGGTGTCGTTGTTGCGGATCATAGCAACAGGGGTGATGAAGTATGCGGTTCCAGACACAAAGGACTCAACAATGCGGCCCTCGTTTGCGGCCTTCTCAACCTCGGCAATGGTGATGGTACGCTCAACAGCCTCGAGAGGTGCTAGGTTACCGACAGAGTTCTTGGAAAGACGATCACGGACAAGCTCGAGGACACTGCGGCGAGTCACACCAGGCAGAATCAGCTGGCTATCGAGAGGAGCGGTGACAAGCTCCAGCTTGCCGGTGTCGCCATTGTGCCAGATAATGAAGAAGTTGCTGGCACCGGCCTCAGTGACCTGACGGTCCTCACCAAATAGCCAAAGGATCTGGTCGAAGCCCATGGCCTGGGACTTGCCGTGGGCCTGCAGAGAAGGACCGTAGTTAGCACCGAGCTTGGCCCAGCCGAAACCACCGGGCCAGGCGCGGATGGTGTCGGGGCTGGAGCCGAAAAGCTTCAATCCCTTGGAGGGCTCGGTTTGGCCTTCCTTCTTCAGCTTGCTAACGTCGGGCCAGGGGACGGCAATGATGAAGAGGAGAGCCTCCTTGGGGACCTGGACACCCAGGTGAGGACCGTTACCAATGACGGTAGGGCGGAGATAAAGGAAAGAACCAGGTCGCTCCTTGGGCAACCAGCCTGTTGGAAGTTAGTAACAATTTCATAGATATTGAATGAGGGGGGGGGGGGTTGGCACGTACGAGGGCCATCGATCTGCATTAGCTTGGCAACCAGCTTCTTGAGCTCATCATACTTGAAGCCAGGCAGAGAGGAGCGCTGGGCACTGGTGTTGAGACGCTCGCCATTGCAGTCAGGGCGGAACAGACGCATCTTGCCATCGTAGCCACGGTAGACCTTCATGCCCTCAAAGCACTCGGTGGCATAGTGGAGAACGGAGGCAGTGGGAGGAATGCTGAGGTTTCCGTAAGGCTTCACCTCAGGTGTCTCCCAACCATTAGCAGCAGTCCATCGCACAGAGACCATGTGGTCAGTGCAGTAGGAGTGGCTCAACTCCTCGGGAGAACCAGGCAGGGGAACATCTCGCAGGTTTGTGGAGCGAGTGATATTGAACTTGGAGCCGTCAAGCTCGGCGACGTGGGGTGCAACGGAGCCCATGGTTGATTTTGATCGATAGCTGCTGTGTCGTTTTTTGTGAAAGAAGAGTAGATAATATCCGATTTGAGAAGATTTAGATTATTCGTTCCAATGTGAGTCACTCTGCGGGTCAATCAATTTCCCAAATTGGAGTCAATTGGAGCACAGTGAAATAATAATGTAATTGAAAGGGAAGTAATAGGATTTAAAAGAATAAAAAAAAAATTGGACTTGAACCTGCCGGCACAAAGGAAGTATTATATGGCTAGCGGTTTGCCCCGGCTCTGGCTGCTATCAGACCGGTCCGAAGAAGATTTTTTTCGCCGAGCGGGATGGAGTTTGGAACTTCGCCATCGAAAAACCAATTGAACCAATGACATAAAGCGGAACGGGAATTCCCCATTTTTGAACTACAGATAGAGATAGCCGCATGTTACACTAGGTGTAGCGATAGCACTCACGTCTTCTTGTACAACGAACGCTAGGGTGCGGCGGCTTTGTTGTGCCGCACGCCTTACGCCCTGCGAATGACAGCCAAGGGGCGGGATCAAATGGAGGGGCTAATCGTCTTTATCAAGCGGGTCCACTTTTCTGGTTATTGCCCCGACGGTAGCCGTGCAGATGGGGTTGCCAAAATGAGCGAGTCTGTTCCCAAAGAGGTGGGAGATACGGTGATGTGGTGTATGGGGATTCCATACAAGGGAGGAACTCGTGGGTAAATTCGATGATGGTAGAGGATATCGGCAAATCGTAACTAACTTTGTTGGTCACGTTTTTCACTGCCGAAGTATAAAGCGAAGATCAAGGGCATGGCATGCATGCTACGGTCAACATGACGAAGTTGACAAAAGTTTATTGGGGCACTATACTGCATAAAGAATTAGTGACTGTGGGTTAATAGTCCCGACAATCTGGTTTTCTACTGGCAGCAAGAGTTCCAAGGTTGGTCGACGTAGTTTGTGCTACAAAGATACATTGGGTCCAACACATGCTATAATAGATCTGCAGCCCCGACCATACACGGGGAAAGAATCCATCCCTTGACTCCTGGGCTCATCATAAAATATGCATGCTAGCTATTTCAGCAGAACTTCCGAGCAGAATTTCCAAGGTTGTGGCGGCTTGGGTAGCACAACCTGAACAAAATAGGACCTCGAATCCGTCTCTCTTCACTGGCAATACTTTCAATATCCTGAGTCCTAAGCGGGCTATACCCAAAGCAATATCCCAATGTTAATTAAACTCACTCTGAGTCTATAGGCTAATATTTGTTGCTTCGGAGGGCTCGCAGTCTTTCCTCCTACAACGAGCGAATCAGATAGTGCCTTAGTTGATGCCAGGAAGTTTGTGTCTGAACCGGAACATCAAATTGGGAACATACTATTCCATGGATGGTAGCTTTTTATGGAGAATTAAGACTAATAGTAGCCACTTGTAGCCAGAAAAGCCTGTCAGTCGTAGTGGAGCCGCTTATAATGTTCTTGACCAAGATATGATTGACACTACCTACTAGGTACTGTTGCTGAAGTGTCCTTTGCAAAATTCTCTATATCATGCTTTATGATATGGGCGTTTCTCACATCCCGGGAGATCCCGAATACCACCAGTGCCTAAGCAATGGAGTGGTTTGAGTAATTTATAGAAGTAACTTGTTTGGTTACTGGGTTACTGATACAAGAAAGGTCTCGCACAATTAAAGCAGGTTTATTGAACAAATTACCCAACAGAAAGATTGGAAAAGAGAAATTTTCACATCTCTATCCGTACATAAAGAAGTTATGTTAGAAATGTCCATTCTGAAACAACGGCTAGAACGGAACGTGGATGATTCCCCTGCCGGTTGAGGTTCTCTGGCTCTCACTCTGTAATCTCAACCGAAAGTTTTTATTGAGTAGCTTGTTTACATTTTGTCTTTTTTTTGTTTTTGTAGTATTTCGTTTTATTTTACCTAATCTTTACTCCGAATTTTACCAAAGACATATCAGATTACCCGTATGGAGGAGGTCAGCTTGCCTCCCGTTCTCAACAGCTTGACAATTGATCATATAAAAAGGACTACCCAGTCATTAATTGATCCCAAGGGTTATGATTTTCACCCACTTTTTATCCCCTCTATTTCCCATAGCACTGTCTTGTGATTTGTTTATTAGTCATGTTGTTGAAACATCTTATATTGCTGGCTTCAGCTCTGTCAGCTGTCAATGCCCTTCTCCCATATCCTGCACCAGTCTCCCAAGAAGGCTCCCGGTCAACGCTCCTGCTCCGAGAAAACCTCAAAGTGACTCATGTCACACGAAGCGTTGCACCCTTCGATCAAGACAATATCACTACCGACTTGGCCGTGCGCTCTGAACAGGCAGCGACTGTTCTAAGCACTTTGATCACTTCATCTTTCAACCTGGCACTGGGAACCTGTGTTGTAGCTGCTATTGCCACTGCTGGTGTAGCGTGCTATACAGCACTGGCCGCTGCAGGAATTGTCACGATCTTCAGTCTACTGAAGATCACTGGAAATAAATACGTCGGAGAAGCTTTGAAGGCGAGGGTTGTTTCATCCACCTATGGAAGCAATGGAAAGGATCACTGGCGATAGTGGCACACAAAGCTGCGATACCTATTGCACGTTGAAGGCTAACACTCCGGAAGCCAAGTGGACGCACTTTGCCAATGTCACCGCACGTGATGTCCCTCATAAAGCATCGTTCTGGCAGAGTGGCTCCATTCGAGCCCTTCGCATTGAACAGACCACCGATTCGGCATCTACCAGCTCTAGCATCAACAAGAGGGAGGACGATGTCTACCTGCTCACAAGCTTTGCCAAGGAGAATAACATCATTGCTAGCATTTATTGGGTCGAGGACGATCAGACAACGTAGGTTTTACCTTTATCGTATCATTTCGGATCTGCATACTTTTGATGTGCTTCATGCTGATTTCAAAACCTCTATAGCTGGGATTAGTGGGACTCTTCAGACAATGAGTGGGTAGCTGAAGACTATGGGGCCTATATCGTGAATCAAAATGCCGAGCTGAGCTGTCTTGATGTCAATGATGGCGGTGGTCCAGTGTTCCAAAGTGCCTGGGTGGTCGCTGACGATGATAATATTTGGGAACTAGCACATGATGACATTTCAAGTGTTCTGAGCACGTGCTACGACATGGATCCCGTGTCTTCTTAAAAAAAAAAGGATGAATGTGAGATGGGTGACTAGGTCGACAAAGCATAATAAGTTATGGCTTGTGTCTTCGAAAATTGCCCTACCGGACACTAGTGCAAAAAGCACAGGATAGAATAGAGCTTAAAATCTCATTCAGAGAGTCGCCAGCGAGTCACTAGCTAGTCACGATTGTTGCGGATGTTTACTGAGCTTCGCTAGGCGAGAAATGATGATGGGGATGGCTGTGCGGATACTTGTACATTACACAAGTAATTCCGAATGTTATGGATGGGGTCTTAAAGGGCGATAAATGAAGTTTTTCCAGTACCTGAAAAAATAATAGTAAATGAGGTAGAGTTGTAAAATGGTTCACTCATCAGCCCTAGATAAATGTGGCTCTTCATGTAGAGGACCAAAGACGGACTGCTAAATATGCAAAATCAATATATTTTCTCTAATGTGACAAAGGTCCATTAGAAAATGGGTGGGTATACGCCATAAACTAAAGAAGAAAATAAATAAATAGGATCAATCTATTCCGATACGTTGTCGATAATGGCAAAACTCAGGCCAATAGGCTGTCGGTACTTGGCGGATGGGGCTGATTCAAGCTCGGGCACCGAAAAATTTTATCTGCTTGCACATATGCTTCTATTTTCACCATTTTCTCAAGAATGACAGCCCTTTCGTCTGAACAACTCAATGCCCGCAGTTATGCTATCATCAGTCTCGGCGTTATGTGTCTTGTTACTCTCATCAACCATGTCGTCTTAAGCCCACCCTGAATCCACCACTATATACTACGCCCCAGCAGGAAACCGACGCTATGGTCGGACGTAACCTTAGTTGCACTGCCTTATTTATCATTTGGGCTATTGGTTTGCTTCAATGGAGCGAAAATCTTGCTATGTTGTCAATTCACACAAGAAACCAGTCCCTTATTTTCGGGCTTGTTGCGGGAAATTTATCCTTGGCCTACTTGCTTTTAACCCAGTCGCATGCGCCAGCGCAGGCTTATTTCAACTATACCTTGTGGCCAGCCCATTTGGGGCTCACCCTTTGGGCTTTCTTTTAGTTCAGCACTGTTTCGTGTTAGACCTGGATGATATGGGCCTACCATCAACCATTCTAGCTTGGTAAGAGGTGATTCCCAGCCTGGTACTTGCTAAATACTTATGTCATGAAAACTAGCATTAGCATCTGTCACACTTCCTGTGTATATGCGAACAGAATATCCAAGCATCACAACACGACTACCAAATCCTGGATCTTGCATTGGAGATGGTATACGAACATCACCGGGAATCACTCTTAGATAGATTGAAAGGTCTATTGCCTCCATCCGATGGAGAGAGGAGGCATGTTTGTCTTGCAGGTCTAAGATACCCTTTGTAAGATTAAGTATGAAATTCATGTGCTCTTTCAAGATCTTCAAAGTTTCTTTGCTCCCACATCTCTCTTCAATCTCATTTTGGGCAGAAGAACAGATCAAAAGAAAATCCGCACATAGTTGCTGATCAATTTTGTCGCAGTTATCAGCAAAATTGATCAAGAGAGACAGTGACATGCGAGACGACTTAAGCCCCAGCTAAGCACTTTCACTGCCGAGATGGGTATCCTCTGCAGTCTTGATATGCAACAAAATCCTGAAGGCATCAAAAAAGATTGCGACTGTAGTCAATTCCATCTGTTAGCACTCTTACGTTGAAAAAAAAAGATCCATTCACTTACTTGAGAATTTTAATTTGCCTGAACTGCCAGCGCCTGATCGTTTTACTCATCAGCAGAACTTCGCGCAAAATAATCGAGTTTTCCATTAACCAGCAGGATGCATTAGCCAGCGGGAGGAGTTCAACAGTCATTTTTTCGTAGTCTCATTCTCGGATTACCAAAAAAGACTGATGAAGTTTACAATTTTGATGAAAGGAAGATTGAGGGTGGAAACCTTCCACGGCGCTGTTTCAAGTGGCGGCTAACCTACGCACTGGAAATAGTGGCAGATCTGCTTTAATAATAATATAAAAAAACCAAAATTATAACGAGTCGATACGCCATTCACTTGCCATTGTTTTGATAAATAGTTTGAGAAGTTCTTCTCGCTGCCTTTTATGAGACAAAAGGGCTATCGAACCCAAGCCTATGTCAGACCACCAACTGATGTATGTCTCAAAGAAACAAAGAAGAAAATTAATAGGGCGTCTGATGGTTACCCAGACTAAAGTGGCGCATCTCCACGTCTCAGGTCCTTTGTGATATAAATAGTAAGTTTAAAGGGTCGATGTGTTGTTTCCAAGGAGAGAAAAACAGAGGAAGCCACAATTTCTTTCGTCCGACTTCTACTTTCATACACCTGACGAATTAACTATAGCGTCATTTGTTTCAAGTTCCTACCAGTCTAGCTCTAACCAAAAACTATAATTAGTTAGTCTATCATAGAGAGAACTCTGTTGTATCAGAAACCCGCGCGCGTTTCAAAAAATGAAATCAGACATCATGGAATTTCAGGATGAGATTCTATATAAGGACTACTCCATATCAAATGATCCAAGAACAAAACTTTCAAGCATTGCCAGAATACTTTTATGCAGTTTAGTTGATTAATGTCCACTATGAATTGACAGGATATTTTACGGCGACCTAGTTTCAATGTCATAAGTTACTCAAAAGCAGTGAAGGTTTCGAAGCCAAGTCCCTTGGGTCAAGCGCTTAGCTATGCGGATATTGTTGGAGGAACCGCTGCAAGCAACGGAGCGGTGCCTCTTATATTAGACACCCAGACCTCTGTCCCAGTTGAAAACAAGCATGCCAAGGGGACCCCTTCGAAGTTTAAGTCCACATGAGATTTTGGGTCAAGTTCGAGAGACACAGCTTCAAGTTTGAACTCCTCATTCTCACCTCCTCAGGGTCCGAAAAAAGGTCATTTGGTGTTTCTCTGAACAACCTTAAGGAAGAAAATGAGGAGACAATACCATCATTATCAAGTCTGAATTCAAATTCGATTCAATACGACGATACTGGCACCTCTGAAGGTTTTTTACCGGTTTCCGAAGACCGTGGGACAGATCCGAGGCGCAAAAGCCCTAGATATGACGACAGCACGACAACTCGGTCTCGTGGACAGTTATCTCGACCACGAACTATTTATCGCAAAGGTCTACTTATTGAGGAGGTCCCCGAGGAAGGCGGAAAGGCTGAAAAGGTATTTTTTCAAGTTCAAGCATCGCGCTATATTTTACAAGTCATGATCCTCTAACAAAGGATTTTGATTTAGGAATTTGGCCAGTTATTTGGTAACCGATATTACATAAAGTTAGTTCGAACATAGGCTTAGAATTGTGGTTATTGGTCAGCGTATCGCTAACTGATATCAGCCACAGAGAGGGAAATCCGGTTCATCGATCTAGATACAACCCTCAAGATCCAGCTCAAATCGTGAGTGTCACAATTCATGCAAAATACCATTCGACAACTTGCCATGTTTATCCGGATGGAGAGGTTACAAGAAGCGCAGGGGATAGTTGGTACAATGCACATAGTCAAAGCAAAGCCGGCAGCTAAAGCAATGTCAGCAGTCAAAGCCACGCCCACAGTCAAGGTAGCCATATTCACAGTCGAGGTAGTAATGTTCAAAGTGGACGTAGCTATGTCCACAGTCGAGGCAGCAATGCTCACAGTCGAGCTGGCAATGCCTACAATCGCTGCATTTCCCACGGTTCTAAAAGTGCATACAGCCCCAACGCTGTCATTTCCTACGGTATCAGCGTGGCTGGCTGAGAGTATATGCCTTTGCATTTTGGAAGTGTACTAGTGAAGACGCTTTTGGAATCACTAGACGGGTTTGGGTTTGGGTTTTGGTTTCTGTTCGGCGTTCTTTTGGCAACTCTGTGTACTCGGGAAACTCGCTTATTGATGTAATCCATTTATCTACATTATTGTTGCAAATTCTTCAAATTGAAAACTACTATCCTCCTGCCGAATCTCCAATACAGAAGAGTATGAGACATATGTTTGTGCTCAGCTCAGTCCACGAGATTTGGTTAGCGATCTTAGCGATCATAAAGGTTTTTTAGGTTCAGTATCTTGAACTCAAGCGCTGGCGCCAATATTTGGTGATGCATACTAGTGTTATATCTACACCAGTAATTGGTTTCACATCTCATGTAGGTAAGTGGTTAGACACCTGGGCAGCACGGTGACGAGGGCAGAAGTAAATTGCGAGGCTGGAAATCCAAAGTAGGATTGTTTCTGGTATCTGGTAAAAGTACTTCATGCACTGTGCTTCGTATGTGCATACATACTTGGAGTCCCACCGAAATCCGTACTCCGTACGGAGTACCCAAATGCCGATTACAAACAGCGAGACAAAGAAAAAAGCAAATAATTTTCGTGCCCCAGGAATCAGCCAACAGTCGATGCCGAATTTGGCCGGGCGCAAGACTGTACCGAGATAACGTTCACAGGATTAGATTTCCTAGCGGCGTCCCTGCGAACCAGACCAGCCACCAAAGTAAGTTCTTCATCCACCAATGATAATATTTGAATATGGGCGGGATCAACTCATTTACAGTAAATGGACCGTCCTATCCGAAATCTCGGAACGGAAATAGGATGCGAGGGGAAGGTATTCGCGGAGTTGACACGATCTGTCTCTATTTTTGGCAACTTGCTACTTGATTCCTGCCTGGCTCTGTATTGGGCTCAATTCCAACTAGAAAGGGACGATCAGCTAGTACGGAGTAGTGTTATCCGCATTAGAGCTATGTAGGTCGCTCAAAGAGGCTTTGGTACTATGTACTTCTTGAGTCTGTACGGAGCAAGGTGGTTTATGTATGTTTGTCCACACTAATATGTTCATACCTAGGGATTGATGACAGCGCGGGAAATGGTCCCAAGTCAATACCCAAATTGGTGCCATATCCAGGCCTTTGTGTGATAGCTTGTGTTAGTGGCATTAGCTCGCCGCACTAGTGCTAGTACAGCTGCTCAGCATCCGTACCTATGTAGATGTACGGAGTACATGACTCCCTACGATACGAATTTGGCCCTGCGGGTTTCAATGGTATGTCTCGGGGGGCCATATACCAGCGGCGCTCAATGACTTTTCGCATAATGCATGGTCAATGTGTCGTTGTTAACTTAAAGATTAGGTAGCACGCTAAGATTGAGAATAGGTCTTTGCGCAGCATCTGGCGGGCCAGCTGTTTACTGTCGACTGGCGTAACGAACCAAGAACTCAAAGACAAGAGAATCGAGTGAGATCTTCTCCATCCAATAAGATATCCCGAGAAACAGAAGTACGATGGAAATAATTTTAAATACGTAAGTATATGCATGTCGCCAAAATATAGTAGGTTGGCAGGCGAAGTGGCAACGGGTCCAATAAGCAGACCGCTGGTTTGCCGGCTACTATTTCCGTGCTTCAGATGAACTAGGGAGTCGTCTCAATTTGAGAAATGACTGAAAGAATCTAAACTGACCACCAGGGCATTCGTGTCCATAGTAGTTCCCACTTATTGGCTACGACCCTAGGACACTGCATACGGAGCACACAAGATCCACCCAGGTCCCCCGGTCGGCATCACTCATCGAATATCCGGTTTAAACATATCCACCAAGGCACTGGACCGACGGGTCACAATTCCGGCATATTACATTACAGTAGCGCACCCCCCACTGTCATTAAACGGCTGATCCTCATATTCTACAAAGGGCAGGAGCCGGTGTTGATTGCCAAGTGCGCTAAGGAGTAGACTACAGTAGTAGGATGCACCGAATGCAGCCGGGTACTCTGTACAGCTAGGCTTAAGACCCAACAGCAAGGTGAGCCGCTAAGGTGCCGAGCATGCCGAACGCCATATCAGCCGTTGGGTAGGTTTCCGGGAAATTTCGCCACAAAGTTATGGATGCTCATGTTTGAAAGAAACAGAATAAAGTAAATTGTGCAAAAGAGAAAGATAAGTTAGAAGGAGACGGAGAAGCGCGAGTCATGCGAACATCTCATTGGGCGGAAATTAGCCACCCAATGGGAAAGGACTGAAGCGGAACAGACACAACTCATGCCAAGTTTCAAGGGGGGGGAGGGGGGGAAACCAGGTGTGATCCGAAGAAATAGCAAAAGAGTGGCTGCGGGGAGTCAATCGGACCTGCAAGCCCTGGCTGGTCAGGGCTTTGGGGGCCAAGACTACATACGTATTTGATAGATGAGGCGAATTGCCCAGGAGAAGAGTACTATGGGACCAGGCCTCAATCCCTTTACCTAGGTACACTTCAATCCAGATGCTAGAGTCATACCGTCAACTTGATACCATGTACACATTTTTTATCATATGTGCTACCTTGATATAGCGTTGCGACTCGTGGTCGGTTCCCGTCAACCAAGTCGCCGGGAATATTGGCCACTCCAACGTGATCACTGAAAATGATTCCGAGATCCAATGGGAGGACAGCGAAGTACCTTTGTATAGTAGATCTTTGCTCGTAATGGGTAAGGCGCTTGAATTCCCGGATTTGGGACTCTGGGGTAATATGGAAGATGATGCAATAGCAGGTGGCCGTATCAATCTCCAGCTGAGCGATTTGAGAATGAGCCATGGTTTTATTCCAATCAATAAAGACGTGATGTCAGAGTCCTCACATCAAAACTGGGTAAAACCTGGTGATTTTATGGCGGCCTGGGTCATATCTGAGGGTAGGTCGAATGATGAGCGCTGAATAATAGCAGGCCAGATGGATTGGGGTGGATTCAAAGATATACGACGCTGCAAATCCCGATGCTGCAAATCCCGATCCTACCCGTACAAGCCAGGTCAATAGTGTGTTAGGTTGAAAGGCAAACATGAACCTTGTAGACAACAGATGCATCTATGAAGATATGGCATGGTTCAGGTGGCCTCCTCGCACTTTTTGCGGTCCATAACGATAGCGAGACCCCATTGGTCTGAGTTCAGCCATCAAATAGAAATTGGAGGAAGTTTTTCGATGATTAGGTACGGAGTAGATCGATACGTATTCGCGGGGCGCAGTATTGAAAGTGAAAGAACTTCCGCGTGGGTCCATCCCACCAGAACGAGCCCGGGCCATTTCTTTCTCTGTTGAAGATCTCACGGCCCTTGTGTAGCTGTGTTTGCGGTCTCTCCACATCTTTTTGGCGTCACGTTCCGCATGATGTTTCGGGTTCTTGACAACGAATCTTACGCTGACCGGATTTCGGGCTAGTCTCATCTTGATGGGCCCTGGTCCTACCTATCCAGGCCATATCTGCAAGTCGTCAACGGTGCCAGAACTGCGTGGCGCTGGCTTTTTCATCCTTCCAATCACATTGAGGTTCAATCCTGGACTACCAGGCCACCCTGGCTGTGTGACAGCTACCGACGGTTGCAGATGGTTGCTTGTTTGCTGGAAGTGCGAGTCCCCCAATTCCTCGACTGCTGAATTTCTTCATTCTAACATCCTCTAGGCCACGATTACCCCGATAGATCCCCAAACTTCGAACCCCAAAAATCACCCTAGTTAGCGGAAGAGCCGAGACGACCGACGACCCACGCGACCCGTACGACCTAGTACTATCCCACGAAATGACCATCTTCCTACTCTAACGAGCATTCAAGCGGCGGTACACCAAAAGAGTTGTGTCGTTGGATATCTGAGCATCACCGGAGATCATAGTAGGGTGCAGAGTTGTGGAAAGTTGGTCTGATCCTTTTCTGCTTTCGCGGGCGACTGGGGCACGCTGTTGGTTTTCCGCCTGCATTGGTCTAGGACGCCGAGGCTCTGGCGCCAAATACCTCAAATTTGCAAGGAAACGCTTGTCTTTGAATCCCTCGATCCATGATCGATGTTACTTGCCAAATTCGAAGATGCACAACGACAAGGGCAAACCATTTGCTCCCCTGGCCCCAGGGCCGCCGCGTATACTCCCCATACAGGCATCGATGGCCGTCAACCGGCCAAAGAAGAACTCCACAGCCTGCCTAGCATGCAAGACAGCAAAGAGAAAGGTAATCCAAGTGTTGAGTGGTAGCATAACTTAAATGTCCATTGCTAATGGTTGCCGTCTCTCGATATAGTGCTCTGGACCCCCGTCCCCGTGCAAGGCCTGCATAGGCGCTGGCTCCGAGAATGATTGCCACTTCGACCCAAGCCGGGATTTGAGGCGTAAGGTTGCCGTGAAGCGAACCATCCAGGAGCTCTCCGAAATTCGGGATCTTTTGGAATCATTGCTGTCGACGGTTCGGTTCGCAACCCCAGAAAAGATCGGAGAGATTGTTGATATTATAAAAAACAATGGCTCCATGCGTGATATTGCGTTTTCCGTTGGTTGCACAGTCACAAATTTTGCGGACTCAACAACTCTATCAAGTGCAAGCCAGCTATCAAACTCAGAAGATGGCGAGCAAGTGTTAGAATCCCCGACGGGCGAGGGTTTTGTGACCAAGGTTCGGCGACCATCAGAAATCTCCGTGGTATCGACCTCACCGGAAAGAGAGCATCATATCGAGGCACCAGGAGCCACATTTGACCCTTATGCACGGATCTCATTGGAAAGTCTCTGCAATATCCCGCTGTATCAAGTACCAGCAAACCCGTGGACAGAGGTAACAGACGATGACGACCTTGTGTCAGTTCTGGTATCTCTCTATTTCACATGGGATCATCCATGTGCACAATTCTTGGACCAAGAAATATTCATCGAACACATGAAGAGCAAAGACGTTGAATCGGAATTTTGCACTCCCCTTCTTGTCAACAGCCTTCTTGCAATGGCAAGCGTATGAGTTATATCGTTCCCATATTTCTTTCTGTCAATTAACACCTTGAAGGCCCAATGTGACCCCCCTCATCGTTATTCATATATGGACAATGAATATTTTCGCGGAGAAGCCTTTTTCGCGGAGGCAGAGAAGTTGTGGAAAGCCCAGGAGGGCCGTCCATCGTTGCCAAATATTCAAGCCCTCCTTCTGATGTGCTCTGTGTATGTTTTCCATGAGACTATCTAGGCTCAAATGACCTCGGGCCTTTTTCCTGCTTTGACCAGACTGACCTTTTTCACAGGCTTTCATGTCAAGGCAAAGCAAACCTAGGTTGGTTGATGCTACAGCAGGCAGTCCAGTTAGCGCGTGATATGGACTTGCTCATACTCCCCGAGGCTCCAAATTCAAAACATATGTTCAAATATGATATAACGCCAGATATGGAACACGTTCGCTCTATCACAGCGTGGGGAATTTCTAGTCTGAATGGGTCAGTGATGCTAATATAGCGCACATAGAAAAGAAGCAAGTAACTAACTTGGTCAGGCAAATGTCAATGAAGTTGAAAAAGGTGGCAACCCTGTCACAGCCAGCAACTAGAATTGACACCAACGGCGATCATGATTTGGACTGGACACCCTATCCGCGGTCGAACCATATCACCTATCCCACAAAACGAGCACACTTGCCTGAAGTCAGACAGGGTCTTGCTGAATTAACCGACATCATGCTGCATATCGAAAGGCTTCGGTATGACAAAGAGCTGAGTTCGAACTTCAATCTTTTGATGGCGAAAGCAGAGGTACCATATCAACAGCTGCAAGAGTGGCTAGCAGCTTGGCCGAGTACGTTGCAGATCAGGAAAGAGCCAATTTCACAGATTCTAGTCTTACGGTGAGTAAAAGACATCTTATAAGACTGTTTTTTTTTTTGAGGTTGCACCATTCTTTTGGCTGACCCTTTCATGTTCGAAGCATCAAATGCATCCATCTGATCATGCACCTCATAGAAATGCTGGTCGAGCGGGACTATCAATCGAGCAAGACTGCTCAATTACAAAAGAATTGGTTTGCTCAGGTGGAAGAAATGGCACAATGCCTTCGTATCCATCGCCAGTGCTATGGAATCAAGCATATTCCCAGTCAGCTGGCCGATGCTGTCCAGGCGGCTCTTCGAGTTCTAGTACATCGCCTAGAAGATTTGGGTGAAGCAAAGCAGGCATTTATTGAGCTGTGTCGTTTTGGGGTTGCCATGAGCCAGAAATTCAGGTCAACTGCGGAAACTATTCAGACTGTCCAATCCCTATCAAGCCAAGGGTCAGTGGTGTTGCCGAGACAAGCCATCGCGATCCTAGACGGTTCGGAATGAGTCCCAGCAATTGATGGCGTGGGAACCTGCTCCATACTGGCAGATAACTATGTCCTAGGAAGTGTGCCGATGCTTGAAGGCCGATATTTCAGTCCAAGGTTTGGCCAGGGATTGAAAGGAAGGTTTCGGAGCAGACTGAGCATAGCCATCAAGATTCCGTCGATAGGCTGATAGTCAAAGACGGCCGGTGCGGATAGACCGGGCTTGGTCTTGCGGGGTATTTTATAACAGGGCTGGCGTTCAGAACTATAAATCGGTTCTACCATGTGGTAGCCGCAGGAGACAAGTGCAAGGGTGAGGTGTGGATGGTGTTAGGAGCCGCCTAGGCAACACCCAACAGCCTTAGTTCTTTGCGAGGCTGGCCGGGAAATAACTCCGGTCCCTCCTGGGCCTCTCAAGCAACGAGCTAACAAAGCTGGAGAATGCAGCTTGGACAAAGTACGACTGTGGATACGAACATCTGCGTTTATATTTAAGTTCCCAAGTCATTCGAATATTTTGCTTGCCCGGGACTCGGTTCTAAACGACTCGGAGATGTTCCTTGAACTGGTCGGTATAGTTCAAGTTTCTACTCCTCACCCCAACACTCATCGTTCTGATTACTTGGGGTGAGCATCCATGACGGCATTTTATACTACTCTGTACAACAATCCAAATCATCAATCATCATGATATATCACACCCCATGAAAGGCCTAGCTTACTGTACGCAAATGCTGGTCCTTGTGACCACTTTTGATTCTAATTTTCCGTGGCACCTTGTATCCTGTAGCATTGAACACTACATACCAGCATGATCGTGGTCATTCAGATCTGGTAAGCTCCCATGAAAAATTGCTGAAAAATCGATGGATATTCAGTGTTCCTTGATAATTCTTGGAAGCTCCCAGAAGCTGATTCCTACTGGTAGTATGCGATATACAGCTAGTATGAGTAGGACATTTCATATTCGGAGACATCGGTAACCCACCCACGCCGCTGATCCTGTAGACTTCATATTTTATCCGCGGACCTCTAGTATATTTGAAGATAGTTGAACCTGCCATCAGTTATGAAATATCAGTAGTTTGGTATGCGAGGTCCCAAGCCCTGGCATATACCACAAGGAGCACAGCCCTTAGTCAGCAGGCTCAGTTATGCGATAAGATAAGCACAACACTCAAGCGAAAACCCTCAAAATTCGACTTCTTTGGCAAATCCCACACGCCGAACGCCGGACGCCCCCACCCTCTTCCTTCCGCCTTCCCACCCCAACCAACCCGGTCCCTTGAGGAAATTTCCAACCCGTGTCGACTCATACCTCATTTCACCTCGTTCGCCTACAATGTCGTACGAGGACCGCGCCAATGCGCGCCCCAACCTGAACGATGAGTCCGATGTTGAGGAGGAGGCTCTGGTCAACGACTACCGTGAGCAGGTCAACTTCGAGGACGGCATGAGTGAGCTGGATCGCACAACATCCCTCGGTGGCTCGCAGGCCCAGGACCTTCAGGCACAGCTTACCGCCGCTGCTACCCCGCTGGAATACCAAGCGACCCTCGAGACCAAGTTCGCCAGCTACGACAACTACTGCAGTCTCTTCCACTACATCCTGAACTCCGAAGGCCCCGTGGATCTGGAGGCCCCCTCGGTAGGTTTCCCAATTCGCCCCGTCGACCCAAGATGATGAAGGTTCCGATGAAAGAGATATATGTGGCTGGGCACTCATCGGGATTCGATCAAGTTCATCGCGAACATATGAAGAACTAGGGAACTAATGATTTGCTTTTTCAATACATATAGTACTACTGGGCCTGGGATGTCATTGACGAGTTCATCTACCAATTTGAGTCATTCTGCCGCTACCGCAACCGTATTGCTCGCACTGGATCCAACGAGGAGGAGGCTCAGCTCCTTCGTGAGAACCCCAACACCTGGGGCTGCTACTCCGTGCTCAACGTCCTCTACTCCCTCATCCAGCGATCTCAGATCACCGAGCAACTGGGTGCCATGAAGCGGGGTGAGGACCCCATCGCCTTCGCTGGCGAGTACGGCAACCGCCCGCTGTACAAGATGCTGGGTTATTTCTCCATCATCGGTCTGCTCCGCGTTCACTGCCTGCTCGGTGACTTCAGCTTGGCCCTCAAGACCCTTGACGACATTGAGCTCAACAAGAAGGCCATGTTCGCCAGGGTTATGGCCGCCCACTTCACCACCTACTACTACGTGGGTTTCTCCTACATGATGATGCGCCGCTACGGCGATGCCATCCGCATGTTCAGCCACATTCTGGTCTACGTCTCCCGGACAAAGAACTTCCAGAAGGGCGGCAACGGCTACGACGCCATTGCCAAGAAGAACGATCAGATGTTAGCCCTGATCGCCATCTGTGTCGCTCTCCACCCCACCCGCCTGGACGACACCATCCACTCTGCCGTCCGCGAGAAGTACGGCGAGCAGTTCTACCGTATGCAGCGTGGCGGCCCCGAGGCCCTCCCCGTCTTCGAGGAGCTGTTCCGCTCCTCCTGCCCCAAGTTCATCAGCCCCACTCCCCCCGACTTCGACAACCCCGCCGTCAACGTCGACCCCGTCGACCACCACACCGCCATCTTCATGGATGAGGTCAAGAACACCCTGTTCAACCCCACTATCCGCTCTTACCTGAAGCTTTACACCACTATGGATCTCAAGAAGCTGGCTGGTTTCCTCGAGGTTGAGCCCGAGCAGCTCCGCTCCTGGTTGCTCGTCAACAAGCAGCGTTCCCGCCAGATCCGCTGGGTCGAGGGTGGCCTGCTTGAGGGTGATTCCGCCATCGCCAACGACCTCGACTACGCTCTCGAGGACGACCTGATCCACGTTAGCGAGACCAAGGCTGGCCGCCGCCTGGTGGACTGGTATCTGCGCAACCTTGCTCGTGTCTACTAGATAGCACGAAATGCATGATACCCGTGGTATGAACGTTGCGCCACGGCATGCTTTGCGGGTGCTCGGAGAGGGACAAAAAGTAAAGCATTGGCTTTTACATGCAAGAAAAGAACGGACATGACTCGAGATGATTTTTTTCTTTCACATTCTTATCCCGCTTCCCCCTTGTGTTTTTCATTTCCATTTTCATAACATTGCCCCCATTCCTCGCTGCTTTTTATTCGCTTTTTTTCTGCCCCTATTTTCCTTTTCCATCTTTCTGGTTTTTTAGGTCCCGGTCCCCAATATGCGGACTGCAAAGGGACCCAAAATCAAGTCGGGTTATCGCGATATCTCTGGAGGGCGTACGATTCTCACATTTGCCCGGTCTGCTGTTTCTGCCTTTTGGCAGGTGATTCACTCTACAAGAGTGTATAGTGTGAAGTAGAAGAAAAAAAGAGACTTGATGAAATGCATAGACCAACGATACTGTTAAACACAGCCCTCGTAGGGTTATTTGATTCTACCAATCCTGTAGAAAACAATACTTGTAGTAGACTTGCATTCATCATGATGCATATACAGCACCTAAAAGAGGAAACCTTACTCTGCACAGTATAAGGAGATGAGAGAAGAGGGGTATAATAAATGCAAATCAATCTAATCTTTCAAGTTCAATGTGCGAACTTCCATAGTATCTGTAGGCACACATAACCTCGGTTTATTCTTTGACTTCCTTCATGTTGAAGAAATACAAACAACAAATCACTTTCCTCCTCCCTGTGCGTCCCCTTCAGGATAAAAAATCACATCACATCAAAGCTAGTTCCACATCCACAGTTACTTGTCGCTCGCGGGTTATCCACGATCTTGAATTGACTGCCAATCAGCTCGGTCGTATAATCCACAGTGCTCCCGGACAAAAGCTCCAGTGAGGGCTCGTCCATCACAACCTTTGCTTGGCCATTTGCATCGGCTGATAGTTCGGAAGGGTCGGCGTCGCCTTCAAAGATTGTATCCTCCTCAGCGTCAATTTTCGATTCCGACTCGAGAGACATCATGTACTGGAAGCCATGGCAGCCTCCACTTGTTACGGTAATGCGAAGATGGTGATATGGGTTCTCCTCTTTGGTGGCTGACGGGGAAGTAGTTGGGTCGGTAATTTCTCGAAGACGCTGTGCTTATTAGCTAATGGCCATAGGAATGCAGCAAAGGAAAAACTGCAGAACTAGACATAAAATGAAGCAGGCCAAAAAAGATTAAAAAGAGAAGCCAAAAGCAAAAGCAAAACATACAACAGCAGGGATTCGCATGTGGTCACCCACCATACTACTAACCTGCCGGCGTGTGGCTTAAGTACGGCTGAGCGGACGGGAAGCCCTGTTCTCCACACCCTATGGTCGTATGTGCCAATTGTACCACCAGAACAGACCAAGCTCGTCACGGTTTGTATGTTCTCTCTCAGTTGACTGAAAGTACCAATAGTAGCCTGCCATGCCGGCCCATCCCCGTGAAGCCCAGAGCAATTCCCGTCCACTGTCACCGACACGAGCGATTGTTCTTTGCATAGATGGTGCGGGAAACCAAAATAAATCAAAAAGATATTGGAGGACGTACTTCGACAGCTCGAGGCGAAATCCCGATCATAAGCGTCTCGCCATCATCTCCAGTCCTCGGGTTTTGTATAACCTTGCTAGCCGGGCGGGCGGATGAGGAGGAGAAAGAAGCAGCATGTTGGCGGAATGGCGATAGATATATAGATCGTGGAATGGTAGTTTTGTAGAGAGGAGTGACCGGGGTAGATGTAGTGGTTTGCCGATAAGTAGCGACTTCGCCGACGGAGGATGCGGAGATGCGCAAGATGGGTCGAGATGTCGAGAAGAGGCGGGAGTTTTGCTGTGTAAGCCGGCGGACAGTTGCAGGGGGAAAGAGTGACCGAGTCATCTTTGAAGATATGTATTCAGGTTTCTGGACTGCGGAAGTGGAGGAACGAAGCAGCAAAGGTTAAGGCCTGTCGCATCTACCCATCCGATGATATCGTGTTAGTCAGATTCGGCAGTAGCACGATTGGTCAGCGATGACCGGAGGGCGGTGGCAGAATAAAAAGCTCCAGCATTGGCGGGGTGAAGGTGGGAGAGTTGCCTTTCTTGATGAAGCTGGAATTCTAGGGAAGTCATCTCTCAATTGGAAACTTGGTTCCTTTGACCCAATTCTTGTGGACTTTCATCCCAAATTGCTACAATGGGGTCGCAACAGCATCCCCGTGACCTGAAAATTGGGCCCCCGCTACTATACACGGATGATATCGAAGCCTCCAAACTGGAGTATGCCCAGGCTCTGGACGTCCAGGATCCTCTACGGAATTTCCGAGATGAATTCATTATTCCTTCTGTAAAGGATCTACAGAGGAAAAAACTCGCAGTCGCACAAGGTATGTACAACCTTATATATTTAGAAATCAGCCTGGATAGGTGTCACTGACAGGTTCATGCAGGCCACGATGAAAGTTCCGATGCCCGATGTATTTACTTCTGTGGCAATTCTCTGGGTGTTCAACCTCGGAAGACTCGACATTATATCGAGCAGTATCTACGAACTTGGGCAACAAAAGGCGTGACCGGCCATTTTGTTCCTCACGACGACGAGTTGCTTCCCCCCTTCGTCGACGTAGATACAGCTGGCGCTAAGCTCATGGCACCAGTTGTGGGGGCATTGCAAAGTGAGGTAGCTGTCATGGGCACATTAACTGCCAATTTGCATCTTCTAATGGCGAGCTTCTATCAACCAACCAAAGAGAAATACAAGATAATTCTAGAAGGCAAAGCCTTCCCCAGTGATCACGTACGCCGCCCCAGCCGTCATTATTTGGAGATCATAAGTGCTGACAAAGTGTAGTATGCCATCGAGTCTCAAATCCGACACCATAACTTGAACATTCAAGACGCCATGGTCCTGATTGAGCCCGAGGATGTGACCCGCCCCATCTTGAGCACAGAGCAGATCCTGAAAGTGATTGATGACAATGCGTCCAGCACTGCATTGATCCTTCTCTCAGCGATCCAGTTCTATACCGGACAATATTTTGATATCGAACGGATCACCGCACATGCCCATTCCAAGGGCATTGTAATTGGCTGGGACTGTGCACACGCGGCTGGAAATGTGGACCTTCGTTTGCATGACTGGAATGTTGATTTTGCAGCCTGGTGCACATACAAGTATATCAACAGTGGACCCGGTGGCATGGCAGGCTTGTTCGTTCACGAACGTCATGGCCGTGTCGATGAAAAGCAGCGTGGGAGTGAAGAGACTTTCCGTCCTCGCTTCTCTGGGTGGTGGGGTGGAGATATCAAAACACGATTCAACATGGACAACAGTATGCAGCCCTGAACGACGTATCAAAACCCTACTGACCCAGTCTAGAATTCGTTCCTCAGCCCGGTGCTGCTGGCTTCCAGCTTTCAAACCCATCTGTTCTGGATATGAATGCAGTCATCGCCTCCCTCGAGATCTTTAACCAAGCGACTATGGAGGAAATCCGGAAAAAGTCTCTCAGCATTACAGGCTATTTGGAGCATCTACTCCTAGCATGCCCACCAAATGGTTCTCCAGAAGACAATCCCTTCACGCTCATCACGCCATCAAATCCGGCTGAGAGAGGTGCTCAATTGAGTTTGAGGCTCAAGCCCGGACTGTTGGACAAAGTTCTCCACCACTTAGAAGAAAACGGCGTGGTGATTGACGAGCGAAAGCCAGATGTTATCCGTGTAGCGCCTGCACCGTTGTACAACACATACACTGAAGTGTGGCAGTTCTGTCAGATATTCATTGAGGCGTGTCAGAAGGCCGTCAAATGTCAATAACTTAATAGCGACTCGAAATAGATGTTGTACTATATTCAATGAATAGCTGACTTTGTAGTAGTTAGTACCAATATCTTCTTTTTCACTTTGCTCCTTTCTACGATATCTAGGATCAACCAATGGGAGTAGAGGCTTTATTCATATACATATCGTTAAATTTCGAAAGATTGAATCCGAAGAACAATAACAATCATTTTGATCCTGGAAGTTGTAAGCGAGGGACTCACTCAAGTTCAATTCGGCGTTCCACAAAAGATACCGAAGTTCGGCAACAGCGGAGTTAACCGCCGATAACAAGCACCAGGGCTTTGACCAAAAAGCATTCGGCATCTCGGCACCCTACTGATTTTCTCCACTCATAATTGGCTCAAGTATCACCCTAGATGTGGACTGAACACTGAAAAAAACCTTGGAAGACGCCATAGTATGCAAGATTGCTTCCCTCGATCCGCATATTTCTCCGAGTCTGCTTGAAAACCACGGCCATTGCGCTGGACGATTTTTAACCTCGTCTGAAACGGCCATATCCCATATGCCCAAGCAGACATGGAAAAATCGAACCCACCGGTAACCCTTACAACAGACTTAGAGGCTGCTCCAAATACAAACGTCCAAGAGAATGGCACTGCGGGGAATCAAAGTGGGGATCCTGCAGATGTTGACTACTCTATCTTCACAATCAGCCAGCGACGATTTATCGTCTTTATGGCCTCATGGGCAGGATTCTTCTCGCCGGTCTCATCGCAAATCTACTTCCCAGCGTTGATTACTTTGGGTCAGGATCTTCATGTCTCGAACTCTCTGATGAATTTGACTCTCACGAGTTATATGGTAAGTGTGAAAGCTACTAGTATTCTTCAACTTGACTGGAGAGTCTCACTGATGAGTTGGAAATGCTAGATCTTTCAAGGCCTCTCGCCCATGTTTATCGGTGATTTTGCAGATAAAGCTGGAAGAAGACCGGCTTACATTGTCTGTTTCGCGATATACATTGCCGCCAATATCGGACTCGCCTTGCAAAATAAATATGCAGCACTTTTCGTTCTTCGATGCCTCCAGAGCGCAGGAAGCAGTACTACGATTGCTCTTTCATCGGGAGTAGTGTCTGATGTGGCCACTGCATCTGAGAGGGGATCTTATATGGGATTTGTCACTGCCGGTTCTCTCTTGGGTCCTTCGATAGGCCCGGTCATTGGCGGTCTGTTGTCCCAGTATCTCGGATGGAGAGCGATATTTTGGTTCCTTGTTATCTTCTCTGGGGCATTTATGATTCCATTTCTCGTCTTCTTCCCTGAGACAGCTCGAGGTGTTGTTGGTGATGGGTCGTTGCCTCCTCAAAAATGGAACATTCCTCTCATCAACTACTTGAGATCGCGAAAACTCCACGAGGCGGGTGAATCCCTGCCAAACCCACCGAAGCAGAAGCTCAAGTTTCCTAACCCATTCGAGACACTCGCCATTGTCTTCCAGAAGGACACCAGTATCATTCTCTTCTGCAATGCCGTCCTTTTTGCCGGCTTTTATGACGTCAGCGCAACGATTCCATCGATCTTCAACAGCTTATACGGTCTAGATGACCTCCAGGTTGGATTGTGCTACATTCCTTTCGGTGTTGGCGCAAGTATAGCGTCAATCCTAAATGGGCAATTCATAGACCGCAATTATCGCCGCATTGCTGTGAGCATGAATTTTCCCTTGGTCAAGAATCGACATACAGATCTGAGAAACTTTCCCATCGAGAAAGCCCGTCTACAGATAGCCCTTCCGATGCTGTTTATCGGCAGTCTTTGCGTCCTGGCATTTGGCTGGTGCCTCAACTATGGCGTCCATCTTGCCGCACCGACGACCATCTTGTTCTTCATGGGCCTCACTCTGACAGGCGCCTTTAACACTGTCAGTACACTTCTAGTGGATCTGTACCCAACACAGGCGGCGAAGGCCACCGCGGCCAACAACTTTGTGCGGTGCTTGCTCGGTGCTGGCGCGACGGCCCTCATTGATCCCATGCTTTCAGCTATGGGTCGCGGCTGGTGTTTCACCTTCATTGCCTTTGTGATGATGGCTACCTCCCCGCTACTTTTGTGGGAGATCAATCGGGGTCCTGCATGGCGCGAAGCCCGTCGACAGAAACAAGAGGCCCAGAAGCTCGAAGGAGAAGTGCGTGCTGAGAGCGAGATTGAGAAGAATTGATGGAGTTCCAACGTTTGCGAAACATGGCAGGCCCATTGTCCCACCTGCATGGCTACAATTTTGAGATTCTGTACGCACGGAATTATACTGATACCCTTGCATAATGAAGAGAAGCGATAGACAAGGTATGACATCAGATATAGCGTAAAACAACCATTTATCCTTTAGTACAAAAATTGTATTTCATATTACAATAAATTTAGCGTTGCGGGCATCACTTGAATGCGAAGAAGGCTCGTTCCAAAGGCTGGCGCTCCGATTCCCAGGCGAGCCAATCTGATCTTGTAGTTCTGTCGAATGGGTTAGTATAAATAAGTAAGACGAGCGTTTGCTTATCGGCACATACGGCAATAGTCCCATTCCATTTACTTTCCAAACTCCAAGGGCAAATAGCAGAAGCTGCATCAACACATAGACAGCCTTCACTCCAACTAGACGGGCCTTTGTTGACGGGGTCTCGTATTTAGCAAAGGCCGCGTTGGTGTTGATCAAGCCCTGAATAGGACCCTTGAATAGCATAAGAACCATCATGATACTGAAAATCTGGAGACTGTTGCCGGACATATACATCATGATTGCTTGCATGGGCAATTGCTTAGATGGCGCCATGGCGATTTCCCAGGCCTTCTTCAGCTTGAGGGTGTCGGTCTCTTCGGGTCGCATCGTGGCTGGTTGTTTATCCTGTTGCTGACGCTGATGCATGTCAGTAACATGTTCAAAATCACGAGGCATCCATGTGGGGTTATGCAAGCTCACCTGCTTTCCTCCGCGGGCATTTGAGCTCGTGAAGCCAGGTGGATCCGGGATGCTGTTGGCCGCCTTAGACGGACGAGGCATGGGGGAGTTGAGCGCGACAACCCATTGCGGGGGAGGTGGAGGTGGAAGGGCCGACATTATCACATAAAAGGGGGGATGAATGTCGAGGGGGTGGCGTGGGTCAGACGGGGAAAAGGTGGGAGATGAGAGTAAAGCAGAAGCAGAAAGAGAGAACAGGAGGTTTCCCTCCGCAGCTGCCCACTCCACTCCACCCTCCACTCTCCGCCCTCGACCCTTCCAACACTCTCCTTTCCCTTCACGCGCCTTCACTTTCCTCCCTTTCCCTTTCCCATTCCTCCTTCGATCCGGAATTACGCTACAATTGAATATGTTCAGTCAATAATCTCGACTATCTTCGATTCCCCCGACCGGGCCACAGTCGCGGCGCAGTACAGCAACCTACTCGCCCTTTTCTCCACCGACCCTTCTCCCCTCCAGAACCGCCAGATTCGGAGCTTTCGGTCTTTTGCAGCGCCAAGCACCTATCTTATCACCTCTCTTTCTATATCCTCTACCCGCTGAGGACCTCAAATACCATTATCGCATGTGGATCGGATTCCTCGGCCAACAAAAGTCGCCCGGAATAGCTTAAGAGAAGAAGTCGCGCTTTAGAAACCCTTGCGATTCGTCCACGCCGTAGCCATGAGTTCCGGCGGCGACGCAAAGCTCTTCGCTAGGGTAAGTCTTTGTATCTGGTCGTCTGATCTACCCATAGTGGCTGTCACCCCTTCCCCGCACCTTGTCCTTCTGCATTCCTCTTCTTACGAGATGGCTCGGCGGCTTTCGCAGGTCGCTTCTCTACACTGTGCTTTTTATCGCGTTGTCTCTTTTGCCATATACCCCTCATGTTTATCGGTTTCGCCCCCCTATGCTTCGCCACATAGCTCACCATTTTCGCGAACTCGACAGGGCAAGGTCGCCGAGTTGCGACAGGAGCTTAACTCCGGCGGCAAGAAAGACAAGAACTACTCCGCCAAAAAGATCGCCTTGAAGAAAATCGTCGCCAACATGACCATGAGCAATAATGACATGGTTGCGCTGTTCCCCGATGTCATCGACTGCATGAACCTGCCCAGCTTGGAGATCAAGAAGATGTATGTGCCGTAAACCGATTAGTGCAAGGCCGCATCCTCAAATTTACTAATATACGCCCCAGGTGCTTCCTGTTCTTGGTCAATTATTCCCGAATGAAGCCAGAAGTTGCGCTGAAAGCGCTGCCAATTTTGGTCGATGTATGTTCTCACCCTGTTCCCCCGAAATGTAATGTTGAGCGCGCATCCTGACTGCGGGTTAGGATATGGAAGATACCAACCCACTTGTACGCGCACTTGCTTTGCGAACCATTTCATACGTTCATGTGCGCGAGTTCGTCGAGGCGACCTTCCAACCCCTCAAACGGCTCATGCAAGACAACGACCCCTATGTGCGAAAGACGGCTGCCTTTTGCGTTGCGAAATTATATGAGCATGACAAGAAGACGGTAGAGAACTCGGATTTGATCGATCGCCTCAACCGAATGTTGAAGGATGAGAACCCGACCGTTGTCTCCAGTGTTTTGGCTTCACTGGTGGACATCTGGGGTCGCAGTGAATCGATTTCCTTAACCATTGACTATGTCAGCGCCTCAAAGCTGGTCTCAATTCTACCCGACTGCTCCGAGTGAGACATTCTAATCCAAAATTATTTCGATTACGCCAGCTAACTCTTTTATAGATGGGGCCAGTCTTACATTCTCGAAGCTTTGATGTCCTATGTGCCGCAGGACACAGCCGAGGCGCTTCTGCTGGCAGAGCGAATTGCCCCGCGACTATCTCACTCGAACGCGGCCGTGGTCCTCACATCTTGTCGAGTCATCCTCTATCTCATGAACTATATCGCCGAGGAAAAGCACATCACCTCACTATGCCGCAAGCTTTCACCCCCTCTGGTTACCTTGCTCTCCAAACCACCCGAGATACAATATTTGGCATTGCGAAATGCTATCTTGATTTTACAGAAACGGCCGGAGGTCTTGCGCAATGATATCCGCGTGTTTTTCTGCAACTATAACGACCCGATCTATGTCAAAGTGACAAAGTTAGAGTTGATGTTCATGTTGACCACGAAGGATAATATCTCTGTGGTTTTGGCAGAACTTCGAGAGTAAGTGTCTTTCGCCTGGCTATTATTCTCCATTTTCACTAACATTTTATAGGTATGCAACTGAAATTGATGTCCATTTTGTACGCAAGGCGGTTCGCGCCATTGGAAAGTTGGCCATCAAGATTGAATCCGCTGCGAAGCAATGCATCGAAACCCTTTTGGAGCTCGTTGATGCCAAGATTCCCTACATTATTCAAGAAGCGACAGTGGTGATTCGCAACATCTTCCGCAAGTACCCCAACAAGTACGAGAGTATCATCAGCCACGTGATCCGCAATATCGATGACCTTGACGAGCCAGAAGCCAAGGCAGCTATCATTTGGATCATTGGTCAGTACGCAGACCGTATCGATAATTCAGATGGACTCTTGCAGGACTATCTGGCAACTTTCCATGATGAAACAGTTGAGGTGCAGCTGGCCCTGCTCACAGCTACTGTGAAGCTCTTTATTCAACGGCCCACCAAGGGTCAACAGCTTGTCCCACAGGTGCTGAAATGGTGCACTGAAGAGACCGACGATCCTGATCTCAGAGACCGTGGTTACATGTACTGGCGTTTACTGTCAACCGACCCGGCGACAGCCAAGCAAGTCGTCATGGGCCAGAAGCCACCCATCACTGCCGAGAGCGAGAAGCTGGACCCCCGAACCCTCGAGGAACTCTGTCTTAATGTCGGCACATTAGCCACTGTCTACCTGAAGCCTATTCATCAGGTTTTCCGAGCGGCACGTCCTCGTCGTCTTCAACAAAGTCCAGCCCTGCAAAGGCCACGGGTTGAAGATGGCACCGCCAGTATGCTGGAATACAACCCTCCCAGCGCCAATGCTGCCGCATCTTCGACAAGTAACAGCGGTCTAGCCACCATCATCACGACAGGCAACCCAATCAGTCCGATCAATGCTCCTCCCCCGCCCAATTTCCCTGTTAGCTCCAACCCTGCCCAAGGTTCCGCCACCGCCTCGAACACGTCCAGCGACGCAATCAGTGCAGCAGATTCGTACTTTAATGGAATAGGATCGCAACAAATGGCCTCGTTGGATCTGGGAGGTCGCAGCGATGGCGGCGCGGGCGGTGGGGGTGCACCGCAGACGCAGTTTGTTGTGACGCAAAACCAACAACAAGGGTACCAGCCGCAATATGCCGGTGGTGCTGCTACGGGAGAGTTGCTGCTTCTATGAGTTGTTTATTCTTTGGTTGTAATTGTAGATAGAAAGCGTTGATATCTGTCCAATAAGCATGGGAATGGATACTATTTTACATTTTGAAAATAACTTCTCTTATTCCCCTAAAACTAGTAGCGCCCGGGCTTTCTACACAATCCCATCCCACCGTGAGTCATTTCCATAGCAGGATTCTAAGGAAAACTTTAGCCTGTGACCTCCTCATTTTAACTGCAGGCACAGCGAGATCCAGCAGCTGGGACACCGCTATTTGCGCCGCACGAACACCATAACTCATGTCAAGACAACTATATTCCGGAATTTCAACGAATTGCCCAACCAGCCCGATATTAGAGGTGTTGTGAAGAGTAGGCGCCGGGCGTTCATCACAAGAGTGAGCAAGTAGGAGGGAACTCATCCGCGGCATAACACGTGGAATAGTCACCGTATGTCGGAAAAGCAATTCAGTTGGGAAGCGCACATGTTTCAGAACCTCCGCTAGAATCTCCGCACCCGAGCATTGAATCATCGGTTTCTTGACATAGTTCCCCTTACACTCTGGGAAAAGTGCAAATCCCCAGAGAACGCGTACGTTTGGAGGCTGGTCATGGAACACTGGCTGCGCAGGTATACAGAGATTGAGCTTCCACTGACTTTCTTGGAGGACGATGAGGGCCCCTGTTGTCGAAGTGGATAATGATACCGATGTCAGGTAGTTAAATAAGGTGAGTTCTTCTGTCGTGATGGTAAAGGACTCTAGCATCGATTGAGACCGGCGGGTGCAGAAGCTATAGGGGTTACCGAATTCCTTGTCCTTTGAAGAAAGCGCGAGCCATATTGACCAGTTTTCATCGAGTTCCTCGTTCGGGTAGTGTGATAGGATAACTGGCTCTTCGTCATTTGATCCTATTGCGGTTCCAGACATAGTTGACCCTAATGTTGCTATCACGACATCGTGCGGTCCGATGTCTTTGCGGCGTTTGAATCCATCTTGAATCACGTCAAGCCTGGAAACCTTTCGAATATCATTGTCAGACGTGGTTACAATGCCTGTAACTTTGGTATCGAACTGGAAATCAACATGTAGGCTTTGTAGGAAAAGGAAGATGGGAAGAAATATGGATTCGTATTGGTAGTGGCCTGTAATATCAAGACAACTCAAAATAGATAGACTGTGGAACCCCCCAAGGTACTGGCGGAGAGCACGCCTAAATTCGGTTGCGCTATGCCAGGGCTGGAGACCGAATCTGAGGAGAAGCGCAGGTTTTGTCAGAGCAAGATTCGAAATTTTTAGCAGCATGTAAAAAGTATATACTTACTGGGCAGACCAGATAGCCCAAAAGGAAGTTTGGAAAAAGCTTTCAGGCAAAAAGTCCTTGATCTGACTTCTCCCTAGTCGTTTCTCCCGCTTGGAGATAAACCGGATTAGATTCAATCGGTGCTTCAAACTCAAGTTCAACGACGTGGTTGCAATCTTCTTCAGCAGGTGATTCTTTTCAATCAGGATGCTAATACCGCTGCTTTGCTTCCTGAGGCTTCTTCTTACTTCGGCTGACTCGATATCATGCAGAAAGCTCTGCGCCCGGTCAGGAGTTAGAATTGAGGACGGGATATCGGCGAGGATCTCTTTTAAAGGTTCACCGATTGGGGCAGGTAAGCACCCGGCAAGCTGATCGTACCCGCTATAAGCATCGCCACTAAGATGAATAACTTGCTGGATCGAATCGCATGACTCTAGAACATGCACCTTCTCCGGTGGTAATCTGGCCTGCTTGATCAGAAAGTATGCCGATGCCAGGGATGAGGTCCCACTACCCAGAATCCAAGCCTCGATGTCTTCCAAAGGACGTTTTTCTTGAATGTTGGAAGTTTTCGTTTTCATTTGGGAGAAAGTCACGATGTTGGTCGTTGCTCTTTGATGGGATGAGGTAAGAGTACCACAGGTTTGGTAGCCTTTCGAGGTTTTATACATGGATTTGATGGCATGTTATTGATGTGAGCCCTATGTGGTCTAGAGCTTCGTTGTTTGTTTGCCATGATTAGTGACGTTATCGTTGTGGTTGAGAATATACCCTAGACCAATTAACTTCCGCGTGTAATTAGTATGACTGCAGTGGAAAACAGGAACCATACATGCTTCGCCACATGACCCGTATCCGCATATCTGGTTCAACCTATGAGTGTACAGCAGCGATTTTATTTCTCTACTAGTACATAGATCGATTGTACATAGAAAATTTAAGAAAACACCTCGATACGGATCGGCCATCCCTGTCTATATCTGCAAGCGAGATACTGGCTCCTGGTTGGTTTATCTATGGAGATAAAAAGGCGAAAGTAATCAAAGATTGAATTAACAAAAGAAAGAATTGGCTAAATCTATGGATAGTACTATCTACCTAGGTACCTACCTAGGTAGTACATCGTACTCCTACTAGTACTACTCCGTAGTAGTTACTAGGTGAATACTAACTGAAAGCCAGTGCGCAGGTAAGGACAAACTGGCACCATTCCAAGGCTCTTCGCATAACTTGGCAATGGTGTATACTAGTTAGTACATGGGAAGCAAAAAGTATTGAGATAGGGCCGCCAGACGCAAAAAAAGGCCCGAATCCGGGATTGAACCGGAGACCTCGCACAATTTAGTTTCCCAAAGCGCGAATCATACCACTAGACCATCCGGGCAGATGAAGTACTGAAAAACACTTTGAACATAATCAGTAGCTGTTAGATTAATTAAATAACTACAGTAGTCTAGCTGAACACTGTGATTGGATGTTAAGGAGTAAGGTTAAATGTTATTGGTGGGGAAGTGGGGTCAAATCCAGTGGGGAAGCATGGCGTCGCCGTAGGGTAGTTACAGGGTAGTTGATGATTTCAACAGGTTAAAAGCATAGAACTGAGAAAAAGAACCCCTTGAAGAAGCAGCAACCTTAAATGATCAATCACCTGGATAGATCAGTACCTAGTAGGTAACTTAGATTGACAGCCTTCAATATCGTATACTAGTATGGGCATCGGTTTGACTTGCCCTGTATTTTAGTAATCTAGTACTTCAAGTTTGAGATGAACTGGAATACGAACTAGAATCTAGATGCACCGACGATTAAAACGTTACCTAGGTATCCCTCGCTGCTCTTCTTGATTGCCTCAAAGTTCACTTAGACATACTTCGTGTGATATCTTGGAACTCTGGCTGGTTCAAACAGTATTCATCTCTTTTTCTACATATGGGCCTCGGCCATCCGCCGTGGATCTATATACGAGAATACGTGAAGGCTAGACTTCATCAAGAGTATGACAAAGTTTCCCGCAACTAGATGTGATTGATATGATTTGGGGAACGTTGGGAATCATCGCTGAAATCAAGAGATAAAAAAATACATGGAGAATGGGTCTCATGACTGCCCACAGGGTAGGAGATGGTATACACGACCGTAGACCTAGCCCGTTCATTCCTCATCCATCTTGGAAAGCCCACCACGGCTGCGCCGAATACGTTCATCCAAGCTGTCCTCCCCAACACGTTTGTGCACTTGAGACATAAATCGACCACGGTCTGAGCGTTGCTTGTCATCAGCTTCCCGTTGCTCTTCCTCCTGCGCATCAATTTCCGTGATGCGATGGCGCCGATCCGATTCCAGATCGTTGGCGTTGGACTGCATCTCGGCGAGCTTACGTCGGCGCTCTTCCTCTAACTCCTTGGGGTCGGGTTGGTTCTGCGCTGGGCGAGATGGAGGAGCTCGGTCTCTACCATATGTGCCATTTCGTTGATTGTTGAAGTTGCGTTCGCCGCGGTTGTTCTCTCGAGGAGCACGGCCGTTGCGGTCTTCTGAGGAGGTTTGTTGGCCAGATGATCGTCGTGGAGATCTGTCTCGCTCGCGTTCACGCTCACGAGGCCGGCCCGAGGAACGATCATGGTCTCGGTCCCGATCACGTCTGTCGTCTCTATCTCTGCGGCGATCACCGCGAGAATCCTTCTCGCGATCATGACGATCCCGGCTGCGGTCACGAGTGCGGTCATCGTTGCGCGATCTGCTGTCGTCGTGTCGGCGCTCGCGATCATCGTCACGGTCTCGTTCACTGCGGTGTCGATGAGAAGATCGCTCAGGTGAGTACGGCGATCTAGACCGGTGACGACGAGAACTTCTATGACTCCGATACCGTCGGTCATCCTCCGCATCATCACTATACCTCCGACGCTTAGAGTCATGATCACGATTACGATGGCGACGGTCTCGGTCTCGGTCCCGATCACCATCGCGAGCCCCACGCTTCTCTTCCCTCTCCTTGCGCCGAATCGCCTCCTTCATAGCAGCCTCCTGAGCCGCCTGCTCTCTCTTCCTAATTTCCAACAACGGGTCCGCCATGACCTTTGACATGGTATCACGCTGCGACCCGATAGACGGACCCGCCGCCGCGGCAGCATGCGCCCCAACCACATCCGCGCCCTTCTCCAGTTTCTGGTTATCGGTGTCGTTCTTGAGCAGGATACCGTCAATTCGTCGCTTTCCCAGGAGATATCCCTCCATCTCCTCAGAGTAGTGGCCGGTGGCGCTGGAGGGCGCTTGGTACATCCAATCGACTCGATTAAGTTGCTTAGGCTTGCCGGAAGCTTCTTGGAGGCGCTGGAGCTCTTGGATTTGTCGTTCTTCTTCACGCTCGCGTTTCACTTGGTCGATGCGTTTGCGCTCGTCCAGCGCGCGCTTTTCCTGCTGCCATACGCGCTCTTGGTTCTTGACTAATGACGGATGCCATGATCTGGGTGATGGTTAGCATTTTGTAGTCTAAAATTGGCTTGGAGAGCAAACGGATCAACGGGATAAATGGGGATTTTTGCTTACTTCTTCAAGTTCAGATCACCGCCACCCATGTTGGCGACTATGAGAAGAGCTGGGAGGTGAGAAAGAAGACGAGAGGTTGGAGTTGGCAGGCCCGATAAGGAAATGGCCACTCTCCGCCTAAGGCATATGTAGCCACGTGACCGATACCCCACATGCCTACATACATATCCAGTAGGATACTGGTAATGCGAGTTAACTGACTTCAGTTATTCGGTGCCTGATTATCCAGACCTCAGATAGTTGACTTATTGTAAATACCCTAGTACCCTGAGAAATCACGCGAAGAAGAAACTACGTGCGTGGCTAGGGCCATTTGGCAAATTGGCATTGTCCGGCTGCACCAGTCAAAGCTACTCAAAAACAAGCTTAATCTTTCTGCTAATTTCTGTTCTTCGTCCGGTCCTCCAATAACAAGCGCTGCAGGATGGAGTCTTGCTTTTAATACTGATTGATGGCTTCAACTTTCCAATCCTTGTATGAAGAGACGCTTTGTTCAACATCAGTAGCAAAAGACTTTCGAAGACCTTGGAACAACGACTCGAATGTTGATTCATCTTCTTCCACCCCTCCACCGAGGAAAAACAAAAACCGTTGCCATCGCCTGCCGCCCAGGACAATCTCAGATATATCCTTACGTCCACGGATTTCGAAAATACATGCGAATTCAATCTCATCTTCGGAGAGGTTATTCAACCCATCGTAGTAATCTCCAAGTGGCCACATCATGCAAGGCGAACTAAAAGCTAGGTCCTTCGCTTCTGCTGAAGCGAATTCCCAGTCAAGAATTCCCGTGATATTGTAGTCATCATCCACGAGAATATGGTCACCTTTATCGTCGTAGTGCTTGAGATAAAAAGGCCCTTCATTCGTTTCGGATGAAGTGAGAGCGGGGAGTGCGGAGAGGCGCCAGCAAAATGCAATACAGTTATCGACAGGGAGACTTGTGATCTCTTTCTTGCCAATGGCGTTCATTTGCCCTGTGATCATGGCTTTATAGGCAGTCTCGAACTTTGAAAAGGGATCAAGGGTCTTTCTTGGCGTTTCGAATAACGGTACTTGGGCAAATCAACCAACCTTGTCACGTACTTCTGCTGGAACAAGTGACCCGGTCTGCTTGAGTGGATGTTTTTCGAGCTCCGAAAACATGTCCACTAACTGCTGTATGATTTTAGTACGCTGCTCTGAACTGGCATCATTCCACTGCAAGGCCGTTCCGGGAATCTTCTCCATAAGAACAAATGAAGAGCCGACTTCGTTTCCAGGTGATTCGAGCTGGTAAAGATAACGACTTTTGGAGAGGGCACTGCTGTCTCTGCAAGAAATTTCAGTGTAGCAACTTCACTCAAGAAGATGTAGTCCTGAAAGGGCCGTGGAGGAAGTAGGGGGTCACAGAGACGTAGTCTCACAATCCATGTGACACCGTCGTCGAATTCCAAGTCAAGCTGGCAGTTCTGGCCCCCAATCTGGCTCAATACGGCCTGTTTCAGGCCAAGATAGAGTGTTGGAATGCGACAACGAATACCGCTCTTGGCTTTACTAGCCACGGACGTTAGAGCGTCGAAGTTGATTTTGGCCAGCAAAGAATCGAGGTGAGTCTGTTTGGCGGTGTCATATGTGGTATAATATGCCTGGGGGTCTGACTCCTTCGAACTGTTAATGAACATACTGTAGTTTATCTTCAGTTAGGTATCTCTGGTAGTCACTCACCGACGAGGGGCACTTGTGATGTGGTGGGGTGCAGTGCTCAGCACAAAGATGTTTTGAACAAAGCATGCAGCTTCCAAAAGTTCTCTCTGCCGGATTCTGGCACTCTCTCAAGTCACATTGCTGAAGAGCCATACCTGTTTCAAGTTGAGAGGAAAAACCTTGGAAGTATTCGACAAGTAGAATACACCTGGGCAGAGGGCGGTGGAATATACTAGTACTCTGAGTAAGTAGGCACCGTTGAAAGGGGTGGGGGAATGAATTTGAAGTTACTATTGAATATTCCTGACATTTATCATTGTCAACAAGGGTACTAGTAAGATATCGAGTATTTTGAAGTAGACATTTAGTTTCACTGCCAATATCCCTTAAAGGCGTAGGTCTGGAGAGACAAAATCCAAACGCTACTGGCAGTGTACAGAAGTGTGTCATGAATTTGAAACCCTCTATATGAGGAATTTGCTGAAACTACTAGAACTAACTTCAACAAGTGTAGAAAAACTTTGTATTCGGAATTGAAATGGATGCATTGCAAATAGATACAGGTAATGGAGAATATGGAAAAACATGGCGAAGCGATTCATCATGCAAAATTTACCATAAGAAAAGAAGGCATAGGTTGTGCAACGCTCGCTCAATTCTCCATCAAAAACAATCATCCAGGCTGTCTCATTACCACATAAGCATGATGATCAGTAGAAAGAAAAAAAAGAAGGACAAGATATAGGGCAGGGGAGGGGGGGTGGGAGGACAGGAAAGAGTCGACATATGGATCATACACGAGCCCGCCAATCTAGACAAGAGAAAAAAAAGAAATCATCATTCCATCACATCAAGGCAGAGTTGTTACGTCGTCCATCCATTATTTCGAGGACTCCCAGCCAACCCAGCTGCGCGGCATCACCCGCCAGACCTTGCATTCCCCACTGCGCAAGTCATTCAGCTTGAAGCTCTCCATCTTCACTTTTTTACTCTCGCGACCTTGCTCCCAGGCGCGGATCTTCTTCTTTGTGCCGTCCCAATCGACAACAACACCCACATGATCGGGCTTGCCGACCTCTGCGCTATACTTCTGGTGCATGGTGCCACGGTGACCCTGGAAGCGAGCGTTTCGGAAGCTTACGATGTCACCGGCCCTGATCTCGTCGTTCTGCGAGACTGAGGCATTGGCCAGGTTTGAGTAGACGAGTGCACCGTAGGCTCGAGTACCAACAGGAAGCAGCGCATCAGCCAGCGGATTCAGAAGGTGTTGGACCAATCCGAACGGAGTACCGTCACCAACCGTTGAGTTCTGAACGGAGTTCACCGCTTCGGAAATGCGGGTTCCCAGCTGCAGGTGCGCCTGTTCCAACTGGTCTTGTCGGGGCAGGAGTGGGGTCCCTTCGTGGCGCTGCTCGAGTATAGCATCTGCTGGGTTCTTCGCGTTGAATTGGACAGTCACAACGGTTTGGGAGTAATCCATAAACAAGACGTAAATATCCTTCGAGATGGTTGTTTTGCCACCACGCTTCGACGAAGACGATTCTTCAACCTCGAAGAGAATGTCCTTGCGGCCTTGGAAGACAGGAGGCGTAGTGTTAGGCTGGGCCCACCAAATAGAACTCTCTGCCAGATCAATTTCGGTCGCGATATATCCTTGGTCGACAGATGGGCGAGAAACATCCATGGACCGACGGACGTTAGGTTGGTTTCTCAGCATATCCATGGAGGCCCGTCCACTTCGGCCAACGGATGGAGATGGGAGTGAAGGGGCTTGGCTAGGTGGCGGTGGCGGCGCAAGAGAAGGTCGCTTCTCATGTTGAGCTGTAGGATAGGCGTCGGGAGCGTGGCTCTCAACAGGAGAAGCGTCATACATATCGTCGTACTCGGTCACTGGCTGCGGAGGAGGGGGTGGAGGAGCCTCAGGGCGCCCACTGGCGGGAATTGGGGGCAGACCATGAGATGGAGCAGAGTAGTTAAATGGGTCGTACTCTTCATCATCTCCACCGGGCGGTGGCTCCTTGCCAGGCGGTGGCGGAGGAGGTCCTCGAGGTGTATCAATTGAAGCACGGGCGTTTCGAGGAGGTTGATTAGGCGGGGGAGGTGGAACCGCCCGTGGTGCAGCGGTTGGGGGGGATTGGCGGGGGCTGGCTGCGTGGGGATTGAGGAGGAATATCATCAGTTATGGTGCCCTCGTCGAAGCTGGAATCACGTTCATGAGACCGCAGAGCATCCTTGAATTTAGCCCCCGACGCAATGTCAGTATCATAATCTCCATCATATTCGGTAACTTCGCCCTCGACGTCCTCTCCAGCCTGTCGGGGAGGAGAGACAGCACTGGTACGGCTGTCAGCGGTAGAGCGCCGACGGGGCGCGTTGGGGGGAGGGGGAGGGGGAGCCCGGCTCTGTGTCGGTGGCACAGGCGGGTTCGATGGGACTGGTGGAGGAACGCGGCTTGCTCTCTTTTCGGCTGCTGGGGTTGAAGGTGTCGAGTCGTATGTTGAGGAACGACGAGAATCGATATTGTCAGGAATTGCCGGGGCAGGGATTGGGGGTGGGACGGCTCGGACACCCGAGTCCAAAGACAGCTTTCCTGTGTGGATGGACAATTCGTCATCGGACTCATTTCCAGCCTCGGAGGCTCTATGAAGGGGAGGAGCTGGTCGACCTGGTTGAAATTGTCAACATAAGAACTTATAGATACAGTTTGGGTTTATTTCTTACCTCCAGGAACAGGTGGAGGCGAGCCGGGCTCTTCTGTTGTCACAGGGGAGGAGGAACGGGACGTGAGTCTCTGGGAGGCGGTGCAGGAGCTAAACATCGTGGCATGGTTAGCTTAACAGACTTCCTCTTTCATATCAGGATAAGTATGGTAACATACCATGTGCGGGTGGGGCGGGAGGAGCCCGGTCAGTAGAACGACGTGGTAGGGAGCTCTCGTGAACAACCTCCTCCACGTCCGGTACCTCTCGCGGTGGGTGTTGCTCAGAGACGGGAGTTGCCAAAGGTTCCTCGTCCTCCTTCTCGACATCAGGAGGGGCAGGCTTGGTGTTGAGATTCATTCCAGGCAGAGGAATCATAGGGACGGGAGGAGCATTGCCCGGAGAGGTAGGCTCAGGCTCACCAAGCCTTTTCTCGGACTCGCCAGGGGTCTTGGGCTTGCGAGGTCCAGAAGCAGACATGCCTGGCATACCACCAGGGGGGCCAAAAAGGCCCATCATTCCCATACCGCCGCTCATCTTCGCCATTCTCTCGCGAAGCTCCATCCGACGTCTGGTTTCGGGGTCCATCTCCTCTTCCTCCTCTGTTCCCTCCTCGACTTCAGCAGCCTCTTCGGCCTTTGGTTCAATGGTATGGGTCGACATTTGGCGTGGACGCTCATCTTCATCATCCTTGCTGGTTGAGGTCTCTCCTGCATCCTCGGAATCAGCAGCTGCAGAATAATCTGCGTCGTTTGCGTCGCTAAGTATTTCCTCAGATGGAACCAATGGAGTAGGAGGTTGGGGCGGTGCGGGTTTGGATCGCACTGTATCAACGCTAGGATCCCGGACGGTAGTGGTTGCAGTTGCTTCAACTGGCGAAGCATCGATATCTTCAATAGGCTCCGTGGCCTCGACCGGCTGCTCGACGGGCTTCTTGGGAGGCTTGGGCTTTTCCTTCTTCTGAGCAGCCTCGGCATGGCGCGCTGCCTGTTCTAATTGCTGTTTCTGAAGGAGTGCGATTCTGTCTTTCAAGCTGGTGGGCTTGGGCTGATCCTCTGTCCCCTCTTCGGTTTCTTGCGGAAGAGTCTGAGGCGGAGGGGGGGGAGGACGGCTTTCTGAGACGGGAGGCTCGCGGGCGATCTGCTCTTGCAACTCCGGATCCTCCTCCCTTTTGTATACCTTGGGAGCAGGCTCTCGTGGCGGTGCCACATAGGAGTCCTTACTTGGAGGGGGAGCGACGAATTGCTTCTTGACGAAGGAACCTGGCTTCTGGCCACCAGGTGCGAAAGGAGTAATTGGGGTCGCAGCGGACTTGTTGAAGGCAGCGATGCGGTCCTTGAACGAGGAGGGCTTCTCAGCAACAGCTGGTGGGGGCGGCTTCGAAGCCTTGACAACGGGAGGCGCGGGGTCGGCTGCTGGTGCGACAGGTGCAGGGATTGGCTGTGCAAGCTGGACGGGCGAGGTAGGCTCTTCAACTGGAGGACTTGAGACCTGAGGAGGAGACTGAGGCGCCAATGCAGGAGGCTGTTGGGAAATTGGCTCAGGTTCATCCACCGGTAGTTGCTCGGCAACTTCAGGTTCCGCGGGCGGTTGAGTCTCGATTGGTTCAGCCGGTGCTGGCGCAGGCTCGGGCTCCTTCTTCGCTCTGTTCGGGCGCGCTGGGCGCGGAGGGGCCGGAGGTTCATAGCGCTCAACGAAGTTCTTAGGGAACATACCCTCCTGCTTGCCCCCGGAGCCATCGGTGTATTCGCCGCTATACCACTCGGCATCTTCCACATCCGTGACGGTAATGACTTGGCCTATCGAAAAGGTGAGGTCGTCATCGTGGCCCGAAGCGTACTCGAAGACCGCTCGAACCGTAAAAGGCGGGTTGGACATCTGGAAATTCGACCAAGTTCAGAGGAACTGGGGGGAGGTAAAGAGAACGCTAAGATACAAGAGGGCGGTGACGACAATCAGGTCAAGGACTGTACAGAGGTAAGCACCGATTTCGATACCTCCAGCATGCAGGGGTACTGAAAGTGGCGTGGGACAATCTCTGTGGTAGCAACAAAGGTCGGTCAGCTTCGGATGACGATGGTGTGGATGAGTGGTGCCTAGGAGCAGGATATGGGGGGAGGAGGGGGGGAGGGAAATCGGAGGGGATATTGGAAGCACTCACACTGTAGAACAAGACCAAACGCCCTAATTCGGAGACAGGAATGGGTCGATATGAAAAAGGGGGAAAGGAAATCCAGCCAGGGATTGCGGGCTCAGATTAGGAGGGGGAGAGTTGGGTGAAGATGAAGCAGTGAGGTGGTCGTCACTTGGCGGGATGGGCAACTCTTTGGGAGGCTCCACACTGACGATCGGCGGCTACCAAGAACCAGGGTACACAACTGGGGGAAGCTCGTGTAATGGTTGGTCTTGGAAATATCTTACGGAGTAGTCAGAAGATTTTGCGTAGAAATTTTGAAACTCTGGGTGTTTGGTCTTCTGAAGGGGTTGAAGCCACCTGTAGTACCGTGCACTATAACTAAACTGGGTCAGAGTTGTATCACGGGGGGAGTACAGAGTACTGGGTAAGGTACAGAATGAAGAGAACTTCCAGAGGTACAGGTACAATTCAGGGTTTGAATTATATAGAATCGATAAAAAATAGTAAATACCTAAGTATTCTTTCTTAGGAAGTATAAGATCTGCCCAAAGTTAAGGCGACGTCAGAGCCTTCGGAGGGGTGAAGTGTCGGACTTCTCATTGGCGGCGGGATTTGAACGTTCTAAACCACCTGATCAAAACTTTTTTGGAGATTTCCATCTTTCCCCAACATCCCGTCACTTCACAACTTCTACACCCACCAGTCTTCGCCCGATCCAGCTCAACCTTTGACTTCATTGCGCCTAACATACAACATGTCGACACGACAGGGTTCATCCCCAAACACCGCATTAAGAACCTCTCTTCCAACGGCCTTTGCCTCCGTTGTCGAAGAATCCTCCTACGCACAACCAACCCAAGAAGAGCAAGACAGATACCTCGCAGCTCGCCCAGGTGCGACCGCACGCCATTTAGGCATCGCTCTCCAACATGCGCAACAAATCCAGGCCCAGAAAGACGCCGAGGGCATGATTCTAGATCGCACGATCGAGCTCCTCGAGATTCCGACCTCCCCCTCCGCCGAACCTGCCACCCCTTCCCCGAATGATGTCCAATCATTCAAGACTGCCTTGCAACTATTCAGGCCGGGCGATTACGACAATTTGATCATGGAGCGAAACTACGAGGATTTGTGCGGATACGGTCTTTGCCCGCGCCAGAATCGCAAACAGCTCGGCGGAACAGGCTCAACGTTCCACTTTAAGTACGGCGCAAAGGGAAGTGGCCCAGGCGGTCGTGGTCGTGCGGTGGATATCGTTCCAAAGGGAGAATTTGGAAAAGTGGTGCTCGGACGAATGCGCGGAGCGAGCTCTGTTCATTCGCGTGCAGCTTTCAGAGCAACCGGTTTGGGAGAGACGGGCGGATGAAACTGAAGACATAAGAATCGAGCTTCTGGAGGAATCTCGGGAGAGACGGCAAAGACAGAAGCAGAAGCAGAAGGCTGAAAGTTCAAAGTCGGCCTCGGCAGATCCTCAAAATAGCGAGTCTGATATCACGGCTGGGTTGAGGGATTTGAAGATTCGGGAGGCTGAACGATCCCAGGAGCTTGCTTTGGAGCGCGGCGACGCTGGCTCATCTCTGCGAAAGGGTCGCGTTGATATCCAAGTCAAAGAGAAGGAGCCTTCATCGCACGCAACTCCCACCGCACCACAGCTGGGGCCAGGTGATGAAATGGGAGGGTCCATTGAAGGATATATTCCTCATGAACAGCTCGAAGAGTCGTCCAATACCCTTAAGGACAGAGACATCCTCGATCAGCTATGAATAAGGGCGCAAGGTCCTAGCATTTTGGCAGTTTGGTGTTTGGCAGGCGTTCTACAATTAATACCCCGGAGGGCAAAAATATCATACTACAAATGAATTTACGAAATGACCATGTGAATTGATCCGGCGGCAAGTTTCAAAAAAAAACATATGCGTAGCCACGATCGAGGTCACCGGAGGATCTCTCACCAAAAGTTCAAGATCTCCTTTACGTAATTAAGCCTGGGGGCGTGAAGCCTCGCAAGCTAAAAAACGAAGGACAAAAAAATTGGCAATCAAGCGTCATCCCCATTACAGGGAATCGGCGACACCTTTGTCAACGGGAATCATGTTTTCATTCCTCATCCATGGAGAGGGTCCATCTAAGCTAAAACCATAATAGCCGGGAACAGAGCCAGCCACAATAAGTGTCGTCGTGGGAAACGCCAACAGTCGGCCGTAGACAAAGAACTTTTTTGAATATTCCGAGAGGATTATCCGGGTTGCTGCATTTAGCGGGGTCCGAAGCGGCGGGGACGCTCGGCCTGCTGCTGCTGGCTGACCTGGACGACGTTGACCTTGAGGTTGTCGAAGCCGAGGGACTTGAGGAGGTCCTTGGTGTCGGCGTCGACATCGAGCTGGCCGGACTCGGTCTGGGAGACATCGAGAGCGGAGACCTCGGGGACGTACTGGTCCTTGCGCTCACGCTCCTCCTCCTGAAGCTTGAAGGAGATACCGCGGACGGGGCCACGCTGGATACGCTTCATCAGGTGGGTGGTGTAACCAGCGATCTATGAAGAGGAGACAAGTCAGGATTTCGTGTTCTGGAGTATTTGCGGGGGGGCACAGATGTGATTTCGTACCTTGTTGCGCAGGCGCTTGGAGGCAATGATGGCGATCTCATCGCAGATACGCTTGTTGGTGTCGAAGTCAAGGGTGAGGCGGGGGTAGTAGCCTTTTGCGCAAGTTAGCAAATATTTCGGTTTGCTGGTTTTTAATTCAGTGGCAGGGAATCCTTACGCTCAATGATGACCTTGGCGGACCGCTTGACGGTCTTAGTACGGACGCGACCCATTTTGGCGTTTAGTGTTGGCTGGAAGTGGACGGATGTTCAAGACGAGAAACCTCGATATTCGGCGGCTGAGATGGAGTTGACACCCTGCGCTCGCTTGTGCGCTGCGGGTCCTTGCCCTAAGCAAGCCCTAGACTCTCACGTGATCTAGCGTTGGAGATGATGCGCGCCGTGTTGCTTTTGTCATATTTCTGCCGGGCGGTCTGTCTACTACAGAGCCAATCTACTCCGTACTAGTTGTCGCAGTAATGCGATGCTGAAATACCAGCCACTTTGATCCTTTCTTGAACTTGAAAGAGTAACTTGAAATTGAAATTGATGCAGCGGGTTTATATAACATGTTTGAAAGGGTAATGGGAGTGATAGTAGCTTTACACAAGCACCAATTCTAATCGTACAATTCTTTGCAAATATCACAAGCCGAGGATGTTCAGACCATGGCGTACTGCTCCAGACTTTTAGTCTTTCTTGGGCGCATTGAGGTTCTCCATCAGGCTGCGAGCGATATCTTCGGTTCCCCGCATAGTCTTTCTTGGAGCTTTCTCCGCACCGGCTCTGAAGCGGGGGCTGTTGGGACGGTGACCGTCCATTCGCGGGACCGCGTGAGCTCCTTGACGAGCTGCCTCGGTGATGCTAATCGCGTTAGGCTTCTTATAATCCTTGATGCCATACGGAGCCTTGGCGGTAGATCCAGCGCGGTAGGAAGAAAGGCCAATTCTGCCATCGGAATCGACAGCGGCTCGGATGGGCGAAACCCAGTACTTGGCACCACCGGGGATGGTCGCATCGAAGGCAGTCAAACCAGGAGGTGTACCCTGGTCGATGAAAGTCATGGCGTTCAGGTCCTCCACCGCAATACCACCAACACCAGCAATAGCCTTAGACACACGTCCCTTAAATCTACCCTTGGGGCGCAGGATGCGGGCCTCAACGGGCTTCTGGTAAGCTTGAGGACCATGTTTGGGGGTGATTGTAAACCGAGGCGTGAGATCGGGCGTATGAGAGACCAGCGGACGGGTGTGTCTTCGGTGGACCGGTCACAGCATACTCGGGAGCGGACAGCTTAGTTCCCGGGGACTGGAAGTACTTGCGGCCGATGCGCTCGCTGGGGACGGTAGGAGCGGAAGGAAGATCCAGTAACTCAAAGACAACGGGGCCCAATGCGAAGGGATCTTCACGGAGAGACTTGATATATGTGTTGAACTCCGCGTCGGTGATCTTGGGGGGGCTTGACGTTCTCCAGGTCCTCGCCGTTGTCCTGGGCCAGCTTCCGGGCTTCAGCGTAGCGCTTGGAATCAAACCGCTCACGCATCTTCTGGAGCAGTTCAGGCTTTTGGCGGCGAATCTGCTTCAGATAACCCGCGAACTCCGCCTCGGTCTGTCCAGCAAGCCAAGGTCCGGTGTGTCGGAATTGTTTTGCTCCTGCCTCTCCGAGTGTCTTGCTGGTTTCGGTGTTGTCGACGAATGATTCGAAGGGACTTTGGTGTCTTGGGGTCATGCTCGTGGCGTAATTGACCTTGGATGGCAGCGACATGGGCATGTGCAGTTCTTGGAACTTCTCCAGGGTCATGGTATGATCGGCTGCGGACTCGAAATCGGTGACATGTTCGTAGGTATCGAGGGCGTTCATGCGGACAACTGGCCTCGAAGACTTCTCCGATGTCGACTTGGATGGGAGAGCTCGCTTCAGGCCCCAATCGCCCCGAGCCAACGAAGACTGCGGCGTCACGATCGATGCCCGGATAGGGTGAGGAAGTGTCGCGCTGCTGGATTCATTCACAATCCTAGATGATGGCGGGGCTTGAGGGGCTTGCAAAGCCTGAGGGAGTGCAAATAGTCGAGACTTCCGCAGAAGATTCGCCGTTGGCGATACCCTAACGGCCGCCATTGCTCAATTCACGATGGATAGGAGCTAGATGGATGCGCGCAAGAAAAGTTGACGGAGAGTGGGTACAGCGGACCACAACTACCCAAGACGCAGTTCCCGGGGATTTCGCCTTTCTATTTGGGCTTAGACTACTAGTCATCCCAAGAGAGATTAGAGAAAGACTTATTCGAGTACTTGCATAGAGGAAGGGAATTGATAATTGCAAAATTACAAGCTAGATAGCAAAAATTCCATTTACGGTTCGCGTTGAAAATGCATTGATAAAAAAAGGGAGACAAAAACGCAAAAAATAGGATGTAAAGGGGAATCACGGTTCGAAATACTAGTAGGCGACACCGCGCGTTGAGTCTCTTCGATTCAAAAACTATTAACACAATAAATCTTAAGCTCATTTGGGAAAAAGTCGGATAGCGAAAGCTGAGAGAGAGAAGGTGCGGGCGGAGGAAAAGAAGCGAACATAATAAAATAGAAATAGCAAACAAGAGCACGTAAGGGTACTACTATGAGGTGCTGATGATAAAACGCAAATAATGGACAGAAGAATGCGCCGTGCAAGCGCTTGCACACCAACCACAGTTAAGATACAAATTTGACGATGACCTGAAATGCAAATCCTCCCAAGGGAAATAATAAATGGAAAAAGGAATGGTAAAAGTGCGATAGATATTGTCATATTTCAGGGTGAATTTTGTCAAATATAGAATGGAATCATTACTATCTGAACCCAGATGGCAACGAACACTAATTTAATGTAGCTTACGACGAGTAACACGGCGTATGGAGGAGTCCGGACGACGAACGATCAAAGCCTGCAGAATGTCAAAGATTGGTGGAATATTGGATCATCTTCATCTCCCAGACCTTTGCTAGCCAGGCCGTTAGGCAATGTTTACATTGTAAGATAGAAAGCCGCATTTGTAGAATTTAAATATCTGGTCGCGTACTAAAGTGTAGTACATAGTAGTATGTTATAGCTTTCAAACATTATCGAGAAAAATGAGAAAGTCCCCCTTTCTTAGTTTTGTAGTCTAAACTCCCACAGTAAGAAGCGATTCAACGGTATCTGATATTGTCTCCTTCAACGGCCGATATTTCAGGCCCAGGACTTCTTGCGAACGCGTGTTGTCGATCTTATAGATGTTCTCAGGGAGATCACTAGGTGAGTCACTTGGGGGAAGGTTTGACTCCAACTTAGGGTGACTCTGACGGATGTTTTCGACGATATCCTTGTTGGAGAAATAGCCAGCAGTGACGAAAAATCTCTGGCCGCCTGCCTTCTCGACTTCGATGGCTCGAACATGCGCAAGTGCAACATCACGAACATCAACCCAAAGGTATGTACCCGATGGAGCAATCTGTTCCTTCATTTGTCCTTGGATTATATTGCGTACCCGCTGGTTAGATGTGTTGATAGCTTCCAGAGAGTTCAAATAATGAACAACTGGTCCAAGTACCAGGGGTGGGTTGATGGTTGCAATGTCGAAGTTTGGCTTTTCCTTCGCAACAAAGTCCCATGCGGCCTTCTCGGCAAAGGTCTATTTCAAAATAGGAATAGTTAGCGGGGAATTCATAAGATTCATGATAAAGAGTGATTTACCTTGCTTGCCCGATAAACCTTTGAGTGGTCGGTGGCTTCCTCTCCAGGTAACTGGGTTCCAATTCTCTTCGCTGTATACCTTTGGATGCTTGTTTGCATTTACAATTGCGGCGAAGGAAGATGTGATGACGACTCGTTTGACTGATGGGGCGTAGGATTTGATGGCTTTGAGTATTCCGGTAGTTCCTTTAATCGCGGGGTCCAAGAAGTCTTTCACTGGATCTTGGACATTGAAATGGAACGGCGAGGCAGTATGTAGAACATAATCAAAGGGAGGATCAGATTTGACAGCCTACTCCAATGATAGTCGTTAGTATTTATAGCTTGTTAAGAAATCTGATCTTGTCATACTAACCTCATTGAATGCTCCCTCTTGGGCAACGTCCTTGACAATCACGTACGATAGTTTGTCCTTGGGCGTGTTGGGATGGGCCTCGAGAATTCGTTTCCCTTTTTCTTCCGATCGGACAGTCACTACCGTGTCAAAGCTAGCAAATTACAGCGGTTAATTATTTGGTCAGCTACTACTAGTATTGTCAAGATAGACACACCCATGTTCCAGAAGAATATCGACAATATGAGCAGCGATGAAGCCACTGCCACCTATTGCGACCAATTAGATCTATGACGTGTACACCAATCGAGATTCATTCGCTGACCGACCTGTAAGAAGTACCTTGACCATGTTGTTTATTCAATGTGAAGAGTAATTGGAATTTCAATAAGATCAGTTGAGTTTGAAGGAGCTTTGTAAATTCGAGGACTCTCCTGGCTTTTATGGCTCCGGTACCCCTCGATCCCGTCATTGTTCCCCACCATGCATACAGAGGGGTCGATTACAAATAACCTTGGAGCACGGAAGGAGGGTATCTCGCCATTTTGAAACTTAAAATATGATCCGAGTTCACTTTGAGAGGGTTCCGAGGTGTATCTCGGCATTCAGGTTCAATTCATGCATCGGCAATTATGGGAAAGCTGTGCTTTAGCGCCAACAATCATCTATCTACACATCTCTACAGCAAAGTAAACTGGAACCAATCTTCCGGGTCTAGTCAGATGATATACTACCTAGGTAGGCAGACTGACTGCCCATGTACAACTTGAACATGCTTTGCAGCAGGATGACGTCGATGCTTACTGCAATCCAATAGGATCCGGCCTAATTGGAGTATTTCGAAGCACATACATAGTACTAGTGTTCTACGAAAGAAAGTTGGAAGCCTACCCTCGGGGCTCTGGGAGTATCCACTGGCATAAGTAGAGCATGTATGCCTATTACTACTATTACTGACCGCATATTTCTCAATCTATCATTGTCTCCGCCCTCGTTTCCGCGGTCTAGACCCTCTAGAGTGTTCTAACCATGTCCACAGATCAGTCATTTCAAGTTGATTGAGTAGGGACAAACTTCCATAGATGATGCCACCCCAACTTGACTCGGAGTCTTAACCTATTACCGGTTGCAAATATTGGGAATGGCAAGCTGGGCAGAACTTATGTCTCCGGTTAGGGGTCTTCTATCTAGTTGCTAGTTCCCCCCCCCCCAACCACCTGCAGGCTGATTAGAAGCATGAATCTGAAATTAACATGTCAAATTGAACGAGTCCATCAAAACTGAAGTTTCTGCTATGTAACTCTCGTAGCTTTTCTCAGTGTCCACTCAAATTATAGTCGTGCCCGACTGAGAGTTGACTGCAACCCCCCCGGCCGCGCGGTGAACATCGGTGGTCCGTGCACTGCGGTACTCCAACCTGAGCCTGAGCCTCTCCACGCCCGACCTCCCCCATCCCAAAGTCCATGCGACCTGCAACCTAGCTTCCCTAATAGGTTGGCTTCAAATGTCCACCCGGGGGCGCGTCTTGCAATCATGGCGCAAGCAGGCCCTATGACCGATGTCACTCAGAGATTGTTTACGGAGTTGAGGTCGAAGAGCGAGGAGACCAAAGCCAGAGCTGCCTATGAGCTCTATGACAACGTTCTTTCGGTGTCACGAGGTACGGACAGGATTGAGGAAACCCTATGTCCTCCCATGATCTTGGAAATGTGCTAATTTATCGCTCTAATAGACTGGCCCTCGGAGAAGTTTGTGGAGTATTACAACGCTGTCAGCACACGAATCGCCGGACTGGTGGTGACTGGCGCCGATGCGAATGAGCGAATCGGTGGACTCTTGGCCCTCGACCGACTGATCGATTTTGATGGTGTCGATGCGGCCCAGAAAACAACACGATTTGCAGGTTGGCTACGGAGCGCCCTTCGAAATAATGATAACGTCGTGCTGGTTTATGCAGCCAGGTCGCTGGGACGTCTGGCAAAGCCGGGCGGAGCTCTCACTGCGGAGCTGGTAGAAAGCGAGATTCAGTCGGCCCTGGAATGGCTTCAATCAGAGCGCCAGGAAAGTCGACGGTTCGCGGCGGTGCTCGTCATTAGGGAGCTTGCGAAGGGATCCCCAACACTCCTCTACGGTTTCGTGCCTCAGATCTTCGAGCTCGTTTGGGTCGCGCTTCGAGACCCCAAAGTTCTGATCCGAGAGACTGCCGCAGAGGCCGTAGGCGAGTGTTTCGAGATTATCGTCGCGCGTGATGCCCAAGTCCGACAATCCTGGTTTGCCAGGATCTATGACGAAGCACTGCTGGGTCTGAAGTCCCATAATATCGATTGGATTCACGGATCTCTTCTCATTCTGAAGGAGTTGATTCTGAAGGGCACCATGTTCATGAAAGAGCACTATCGCAATGCCTGTGAGATTGTCCTCCGCCTCAAGGACCACCGAGATCCCAAGATCCGTACTCAAGTTGTCCTCACCATCCCTATCCTTGCATCCTACGCCCCCACCGACTTCACCGAGATCTACCTACATAGGTTCATGATCTACCTCCAAGCGCAACTGAAGAGAGATAAGGAACGAAACTCGGCATTCATCGCCATCGGCAAGATTGCAAATGCAGTCGGTCCCGCTATCGCCCAGTACCTTGATGGGATTATTGTCTACATTCGAGAGGGGCTTGCTATGAAGGCGAGAAGCCGAGCAAGTATAAATGAAGCGCCAATGTTCGAATGTATCAGCATGTTGTCGTTGGCGGTTGGACAAACTCTCAGCAGATACATGGAGGCTTTACTTGATCCTATCTTTGCCTGTGGCCTCAGCAAATCATTAACACAAGCTTTAGTGGACATGGCCCACTACATCCCTCCCATCAAACCCACGATTCAAGAGAAACTCCTTGATATGCTCAGTATCATTCTGTGTGGCACACCCTTCCGCCCGCTGGGATGCCCTGAGCACCGCTTACCCCCAATGCCCTCATTCGCGAGAGACTTTGGAGCCCAGGATTCTCATACCGACTCCCAAATTGCTTTGGCTCTTCACACCCTCGGTAGCTTTGATTTCTCGGGCCACATTTTGAATGAATTTGTGCGCGATGTTGCGATCAACTATGTCGAGAATGACAACCCCGAGATCCGCAAGGCATCAGCCCTTACTTGCTGCCAGCTGTTTGTCCACGACCCGATCATCAATCAAACTAGCGGCCACTCAATTCAAGTTGTCAGTGAAGTTATCGACAAGCTTCTGACCGTCGGTATCGGTGATCCCGACCCAGAGATCCGACGCACCGTCCTCTGGTCACTGGACCGCAAATTTGATCGACATCTGGCACGACCAGAGAATATCCGATGTCTGTTTTTAGCTGTCAACGACGAAGTCTTTGATGTGAAAGAAGCCGCCATCTGCATAATCGGCCGTCTCTCCAGCGTGAACCCCGCCTACGTTTTCCCACCATTGCGGAAATTACTTGTCAATCTTCTGACTGGATTGGGGTTCGCAAACACCGCCCGTCAGAAAGAAGAGACCGCACAGCTGATCAGTCTATTTGTATCCAATGCAACTAAACTGATTCGCTCTTACGTGGATCCTATGGTGACAGCATTGCTGCCGAAAGCAACAGACTCCAACCCCGGAGTCGCCGCGGTCACACTGAAAGCTGTCGGTGAACTTGCGAATGTTGGTGGCGGAGAGATGAGGCGATACCTTTCACAGGTGATGCCGATTATTCTAGACTCGCTTCAGGATCTTTCCTCTCATACAAAACGTGAAGCTGCACTCAAGACTCTGGGACAATTAGCGGCCAACTCTGGTTATGTTATCGAGCCCTACGTTGAATACCCTCATCTTCTTGATGTGTTGATCAATATCATCAAAACTGAGCCAACAGGAAATCTTCGGAAGGAAACCATCAAACTCGTTGGTGTCTTAGGAGCTTTGGACCCCTACAAGTACCAACAGATCAGTGACATTGAGCCCGATGTTCACCATATCAACGAGATTCAAAATGTCTCTGATGTTGCTCTCATCATGCAAGGCCTTACGCCATCCAACGAAGAGTATTACCCCACAGTGGTCATCCATACTCTGCTGCAAAACATTTTGCGCGAGAACTCCTTGGTTCAATACCACTCTGCCGTCATTGATGCTATCGTTACCATCTTCAAGACCCTCGGTCTTAAGTGTGTTCCATTCCTCGGGCAAATCATCCCGGCGTTCATCTCGGTTATTAGAAATTCTCCGCCCAGCCGCCTGGAATCTTACTTCAACCAGATGGCTATTCTCGTCAATATCGTGCGACAACATATCCGCGCATACCTTCCAGAAATCATCGATGTGATCCGCGAGTTCTGGGATGCTTCCTATCAAGTTCAGGGCACTATCTTGTCGCTGGTCGAGGCTATCGCCAGGTCTCTTGAAGGAGAATTCCGGAAATTCCTCGCTCGACTCATCCCCCTCATGCTCGACACACTGGAAAAAGACACAACACCCCGTCGCTCACCATCGGAGAAGGTCCTCCACGCTTTCCTGATATTTGGTTCTAGCGGCGAGGAATACATGCACCTGATAATACCCTCCATTGTGCGCCTCTTTGATCGACCCCAAAACCCGCAGAGCATTCGCAAGTCTGCTATTGACAGCCTGGCCAAGCTTTCACGTCAAGTCAATGTCTCCGATTTTGCGTCCCTCATGGTGCACGCCCTGTCAAGAGTAGTTACCAGTGGGGATCGTGTGCTACGACAAGCCGCTCTGGATTGTATCTGCGCTCTGATTTTCCAGCTTGGTCAAGACTTTACGCATTACATCCATCTCCTTAACAAGGTTCTCAAACAGCACCAGATTACGCATGTCAATTATCAAATTCTGGTCACAAAACTTCAAAAGGGAGACCCTCTTCCTCAAGACCTCAACCCGGAGGAGAATTACGCATACCCCACCGATGATACCAACTTCGCGGAGATCGGCCAGAAAAAGATTGTTGTCAACCAACAGCATCTTAAGAATGCTTGGGATGCTTCACAAAAGTCCACCCGCGAGGATTGGCAAGAGTGGATTCGTCGTTTAAGTGTTGAGCTTCTCAAAGAATCCCCATCTCCTGCGCTGCGTGCATGCGCTAGCTTGGCTGGAATATATCAACCACTGGCAAGGGATCTCTTCAATGCTGCCTTCGTGTCTTGTTGGACCGAGCTGTATGATCAGTATCAAGAAGAGCTGGTTCGTTCAATCGAGAAAGCTCTAACATCTCCAAACATCTCCCGGAGATCCTCCAGGTCCTTCTCAACCTTGCCGAGTTCATGGAACACGACGACAAGGCCCTTCCGATTGACATCCGCACACTGGGTAAATATGCTGCGAAATGCCATGCTTTCGCGAAGGCACTTCACTACAAGGAACTTGAGTTCGAGCAAGATCAAAACTCAGGAGCAGTCGAAGCTCTGATTACTATCAACAACCAGTTACAGCAATCAGACGCTGCCATCGGTATTTTGCGCAAAGCACAAGCATATCGCGACGTGGAGCTCAAGGAAACTTGGTTTGAGAAACTCCAACGATGGGACGAAGCTTTGGCTGCGTACAAGCGTCGCGAGAAGACAGACCCTGACTCTTTTGGCATCACAATGGGTAAAATGCGCTGTCTGCACGCTCTGGGAGAGTGGAAGGTTCTCTCGGATCTGGCTCAAGAGAAATGGAACCAAGCATCCCTCGAGCACCGTCGAGCGATTGCTCCTCTGGCTGCCGCTGCCGCCTGGGGTCGTGGACAGTGGGAGCTGATGGACTCCTATCTCGGTGTAATGAAGGAGCAGTCCCCGGATCGATCCTTCTTCGGCGCCATTCTTGCAATCCACCGCAATCAATTCGAGGAGGCCAATATGTACATCGAGAAAGCACGCAATGGACTCGATACCGAATTGTCTGCGCTCCTTGGGGAGAGTTACAACCGAGCCTACAATGTGGTTGTGCGCGTCCAAATGCTTGCTGAGCTGGAAGAGATCATCACATACAAACAGAATGTCGGTGATCCTGAAAAGCAGGATGCCATGCGCCAAACCTGGAACAAACGTCTGCTCGGGTGCCAGCAAAACGTCGAAGTGTGGCAACGTATGTTCAAGGTTAGGGCGCTCGTTACCGCCCCGCGGGAGAACCTTGACATGTCCATCAAATTCGCCAACCTTTGCCGTAAATCCAATCGCATGGCTCTTGCGGAAAGATCTCTTGCCTCGCTCGAAACAGTTATTTCTGACGCTAATGGAACACGCACGATATCACCGCCCGAGGTCACATACGCCCGATTGAAATTCAGCTGGGCGAACGGAAATCAATTAGAAGCCCTCGACATGCTCAAGGAGTTCACTGCAGACCTGAGTGACGATCTTTCCAAATACAACACTCTAATGGTTTCGCAGAATGAGCACCAGCACAACGGAATGAATGGTGTTAATGGTATGGCAGACCCAAGTCATCCCGAAGCCATCGGTTTGCGGGAACGAATTGGCGATGTGGCCAAATTCAGAAAGCTGCTTTCCAAGAGCTATCTGAGATTGGGAGAATGGCAGACTACCCTCCAAAAGGGCGACTGGCGAGCGGAGTATGTCCGTGAGGTTCTCAGCGCCTATTCGGCCGCTACTCAATACAATCGCGACTCGTACAAGGCATGGCACTCCTGGGCTCTTGCCAACTTTGAAGTTGTGACGACAATCTCCAACCAAGCCAGTCGCGATAGCAAGCCCACGCCGGTTCCCGCGCATATCGTGACGGAACACGTCATTCCAGCTATTCGTGGTTTCCTACGATCTATTGCACTGTCATCAACCTCCTCGTTGCAAGATACGTTGAGATTGCTTACCCTGTGGTTTACCCATGGCGGCGATCACGAAGTTAACACTGTGGTCACCGAGGGCTTCACCAGTATCAACATTGACACCTGGCTCGCTGTCACTCCTCAGCTTATTGCTCGAATCAATCAGCCTAACATCAGGGTTCGCGGCTCAGTCCATCGATTACTCGCTGAGGTTGGCAAGACACATCCTCAAGCCCTAGTTTATCCATTGACGGTGGCCATGAAGTCAAACGTGACACGTCGTTCCCAGTCTGCCACCAACATCATGGAAAGCATGAGGCAACACAGCGCCAAGCTCGTTGAGCAAGCCGATCTTGTCAGTCATGAACTGATCCGAGTTGCTGTCTTGTGGCATGAGCTTTGGCACGAGGGTCTGGAAGAAGCTTCCCGCCTCTACTTCGGCGATTCTAACGTCGAGGGCATGTTCGCAACGCTGGCACCTCTTCATGACATGCTTGACAAGGGCGCTGAAACGCTCCGTGAAGTTTCGTTCGCGCAAGCGTTTGGTCGTGATCTTGCGGAAGCCAAGCACTACTGCATGCTTTATCGCCAGACCCAAGAAATTGGTGATTTGAACCAAGCTTGGGATCTCTACTACACAGTGTTCCGCAAAATCAGTCGACAGCTTCCGCAGTTGTCTATCCTTGATCTCAAATACGTGTCTCCACGCCTCAAGGACTGCTCGGATCTCGGCCTTGCCGTGCCGGGAACATACCAGAGTGGTCGTCCGATCATCTGCATTATGAGTTTTGATCCCATCTTGCATGTTCTTCAAACCAAGAAGCGACCTCGACGAATGACACTTAAGGGTAACAACGGATGCTCTTACATGTATGCACTCAAGGGCCACGAAGATATTCGTCAAGATGAGCGAGTTATGCAACTATTCGGTCTCTGCAACACTCTCCTCGACAATGATAGTGAGAGCTTCAAGCGCCATCTTTCAGTTCAGCGTTTCCCTGCTATCCCCTTGTCTCAAAGCTCTGGTCTCCTGGGATGGGTGTGTAACAGTGACACGTTGCATGCATTGATCAAGGAATACCGTGAAAGTCGCCGTATTCTTCTCAATATCGAGCACCGCATCATGCTCCAGATGGCACCAGACTACGATAGCCTTACTTTGATGCAGAAGGTTGAGGTCTTCGGATATGCTATGGACAACACCACAGGAAAAGACTTGTATCGGGTTTTGTGGCTCAAGAGTAAGAGCTCAGAGGCCTGGCTTGAACGACGGACAAACTACACCAGGTCGCTCGGTGTTATGTCGATGGTGGGTTACATTCTGGGTCTTGGTGATCGTCATCCCTCCAACTTGTTGCTGGATCGCATGACTGGCCGTGTCGTTCACATTGATTTCGGTGATTGCTTTGAGGTGGCTATGCATCGCGAGAAGTACCCCGAACGAGTACCCTTCCGCCTAACTCGCATGTTGACATTCGCCATGGAGGTCAGTAACATCGAGGGAAGCTACCGTATTACATGCGAGGCTGTTATGCGTGTTCTTCGGGAGAACAAGGACTCCCTGATGGCGGTTTTGGAGGCCGTAAGTTCCACCATTTCCTACTTTTATCCCATCTTTCTTTTGAGCACAAAGCTAACCCACATTCCAGTTCATTCATGACCCACTGATCAATTGGCGTCTTGGTGCTCAAGAGTCTCCCGATAGGGTGTCTCTAACTGCGGAGCGCCGCCAGTCCATCATTGAGGGTATCAACCTTGAGCACGGCGTGCAATCAAATACTTACACTCGTCACCGTCGTCCTTCCATACTAGAGGGAGGTATTCTGGATACCCAAGAAGGCGTGCCTGCTGAAGCCCGTGAAGCCCAGAACGCCCGCGCTCTTCAAGTTCTTGCCCGAGTGAAAGAGAAGTTGACCGGGCGCGATTTCAAGCACTACGAGGAACTCAATGTTAGTGACCAGGTCGACAAACTACTTGCGCAAGCCACCAGCGTGGAAAACATCTGCCAGCACTGGATCGGTTGGTGCAGTTTCTGGTGATCTCTTTTTGGATTTGTCGGTTGGATGCTTTGCTTGCTTTCATAGCCTCTTTGCGTGTTTATGTGTTATGATGAGTTTTTCTTTGCTATGTCCCGCCGATTCCCTTTCTTCTTTTTGTATCTACAGTAGCCCCTCTTTCTGTTGTTTCTATATCTGCCTTTCCATTCTTTGAGGGTGTCTGCTTTCTGCTTCTGGCATGGCCCGAGAGTCCATAATGAGGTCTGGACTGGGTTGTTGCTCTAGATTTTTCTTGATTTATTGCAGTAATGGAGCACGAGATGTTCAGCATTCTTTTCATTTAATCATTGCAACGGTAAATTGATTTCGTATTGCTACTAGTACTAGTAGGAATAGACGTCACTTGGAAATTGATTGCAGATACTAGTATACATCATGTTGCGTCTATGATTTGAGTGCTGTATGAATTTTCCTTAGCCGTCGATATAGGCTATACCGGTGATCGCACCTCCTATATCAGGCAGTAGAGTGCTCTTACAAGACCCATCCAGATTCGAGGTGTACAGAGAACCCCCAAGATCCCCAAAAAACATGCGATTGCCTTCTCGGTCCAGAGCCAGTCCAATTCCTTCGTGGAGCTTGCGAACCAGGATATTTGGCTGCGCTTTGCCCACCGTCAGGTCCGCGAAAGTGACCGAATTCACAGTATTTCCAGAAGGTGGATCACCGCGATCAGTCCAGTATAGTGTACCTGAAACGCTGTCTAATTCAAGGTCGATTGGTTCAGGAAGATTGTCGACTATGCACTGGACGTCTGTTCTTCGCTCCGCTGATTCTCCGGTGATCATCTCGAGACCCATACGGAAAATTCGCCCTTTGTTTCCTTTCGATGGTCCTTTCTGTGACCAGAAGATATTGTTTGATTCTTCATCGACGCAAATGCCAACGCACCAGTTTCCTTGAAGTCGCTTGTCGGAATCGACTGTACTAGCCCGGTAGAGCACCTCGACGTCACTCCCATCCATATTCGCTCGCATCACCTTCATTCCTTCTCGATCCGACCAATACAGTTTTTGAGAGACTGGCGCAATGATCAATTGTTTCGGGGTGTGCGTTTTTCCTCGCGGGACTATCGTCACGATATTTTTTTCCGGATAAGTCGCAGCGTTGAATAGATCCGTCGTTGGCTAAAGGTATCCCCATGTTGGTCCAGTAGATATGCTGGTGAACTGTATCGACGGCGATTCCATCGGGCATTGTGTTGATTTGAGTTATAAGTTCGTGAAAATCCGAGCCGTCTGGTTTGCAGGTAAGGATTCGGCCATTGAGTTCGGGGGTTGAGATTCCGACATCGAGGAAGTAGAGTCGCCCGACTGGAGGCGCAGGGGCAAGAGGCGGAGGGGGAGCCATTGCAGTGAACTTGTCTTGTTCAAATATTTAATAGACACGTTTATTAGGTGGATTGAATGGGCGATGAGGATTTCGGAAATGAGTAGTCGAATAATATGCTATAAACCTCACATTGGCAGTGAGGCTTTAAGTATTGTCGACGCAATTCAACACAGAATCTACCAGTAGGTGGATTTTGTATTTGAGTACCCATGCTTTCTCGGCACATTCAAGCCGAGTCGAGGACTTCCCACCATTTCGAGCCATGAATATCGATCATCCAATCTTACAACAGCCCTAGAGGTTAATTGTGGTCCGCGCGAATAAACCGACGGTGGCCCAAGAAGAGCCGAGTTACCCGATTGGGCCTTCCGGGTATCGGATTATTCCAAAAATGAACATCGGATCCGGGATGACATAATCCAGCATCACCCGCTAAATCTCGGAAGCGGAAGGATCTCGGCATCCTCAATCTATCAACCACTTTTAGGTCTCTTCGTTGTATCCGGAGTGGCATGATGATGTTCTCGTTCCGAGCCGGTTCCACTCAGGAGTTGGGTTCTAGTGAGCCCAGCCCCAAGCGTGCCAAGATCGGCATCGCGTGTAATGTGTGCAAATCCAGGAAAACAAAGTGTGACGGGGTGAGACCAGGTTAGGGATCGTCGTTGGAGCTCAAGCTAAAGATACCGGAGAATCTATAGAGTGCTGATACTAAAAGTTTAGTTTGTGGGCCCTGCTCAAAGAGGAAACGACAAAGAACCTCGCAGCCATGTATGTATCGTGAAGCTGACGTGTCATTGATACCAGTGTAAGTTTTTCCGGGGAACAAGTTCACTTTATTTCAATTACAAAGCAACCACCTGGTTTATTCAGGTTACATGGATGGCCTGGCTCTTTACTCCTCTCCCAATAGCACATTGAATGCCAAATGCTTAAGATACACCACAGGACCACCGTAAACAACACCCCGGAACGGCCAAATCAAGCAGGCGAGCACTCATACAACCCTTCTCGGGGCCACGATGAGGATGAGACTACCTCCAACCGCCCGGGAATCTCTAGCAACAGTTTATTTGGTGCCTCTGGTGGCTTTTATATCTTGAATGGGATTGACAGCGAGAGAGGCCGGTCCAGTACGCTTGAGAACAGAAGAGAAAGCACAACTCATGCTCTTCCCAGGGCACTCAAACAGCTTCCCAAATTGGACAACAAAATAGGAGCGGGCAAAGAAGCATATGATATGCAGTTTGCGATTCCTCCAAGGAAAGTGGCTGACAATCTCCTGGCTCTTTACTGGGACTATGTCGATAGCGCTTACCCCTGGCTTGATCGCTCCTTGATCGAACGTGCATACGAAAGCCTGTGGATCAAAGATGGAGAGCAATCGATGAATGAGAGAGCGCTGCATTGTATCCTCAATCTTATGTTCGCCACCGCTTGCGTTGCTTTCCAAGGACAAACTCCTCTGTCTCGACACCAATCCTCGACCGTTTTTTTCGACAGAGCCCAAGAACTAATGTCCTATGAACTCATGAATGTCTACAACTTTGAGATCATCCAAATACTTCTTCTTACCGCGGTTTATCTCCAACATCAAAAGTCGCCACAGAAAAGCTTTCGAAATATTGGAATGGCCATTCATATTGCGCAGGAGTTGGGACTGCATATCCCTGAAACTACCGAGGCCATGGACGATTCACACGAAAGAGACCTTGCTCGTCGTGTTTGGAATGGATGTGTTCTTATGGATAGGTACGAAATACCAAGCCATTGCTCTTCATTTTCTGGAATATAAACTGACTCTCCATTCTCATAGGATCTGTGCTATGACCTTCGGCTGTGCGCTCAAAGTTCCGCAAGCCATTGCAAAAGAAGGATTAAGTCTATTAGTTCTCAGCATAACGGAAGCTACCATGAACCCCGCAGACGATGTTCTTCCCTCGAAAGCAAAGTTTTACGCCTCATTTTGCCAGCTTCACCATATCATTGGCGAAGTACTGGAGACATTTTATGTCTCAAATGGTGGTTTGAAAAACGTCATAACCAATACAAACTCAGCGCAAAGTCTGGTACTGTCTGATAAAATTGCAAGATTGCTCAGTATCGAGTCCGACCTTAATGACTGGGCTTCCAATCTTCATCCTTTCTTCAGAAGGCCATCTGAAACTTTGGACACAACGCCATCGAAGCATGTGACCCGCGAAGCTAATGTTTTACGCGCCCGGTTAGTGTCCAAACTATTTCTTATAATACAGAATCATCGCTAACAAGTCTACTATCAAATTAAAGGTATCTGTCCGTTCGACTTCTGCTTTTTAGGCCTCTTCTTTCCCAAATGCATCAACAAGAGACTCGAAATTCTCCAGAGCCTAGCATATACCAGGATGAAAAACTTCTGCCACACGTTGTCTTCCAGTGCCAAATAAGTTGCACCCGGGCAGCAGAGGATATGATTGAATTAATTTCCAACAACCTGCCCCGGCAGACACAGACATACATTCTGCCATCAAATTGGTACACAGTTTCGTGTAAGTTGGAACCGTATGACGAAAATAACATTGGGCTAACGATAAACAGATGTATATATGGCAGTTACGATCTTGCTTGCAGCCAAGGGGTCTTCAAACAGCGCAGCGCATTTCTCTGCACCTCGATTACAATTGCTTTTACAAAAGGCCCGTGATATATTAGAAGAATACGAAAAGCACTCTTCGCTGGCCTCGAGGTGCAGCTCTGTTCTAAAACTGATTGAACAAAGTTCCAATCGGCGTGGATCGGTAATGGGAACAACTTCTGTAGAAGGTGTCCATGAGAACACGTACATGCAGGATGAAACTATGAGAGAACAACAGCCGCAACCATTCTCGGGTAACATGGATATGATTGAAAATTATACCTTTGATTGGAATGATTGGCCAGTGTTCTTTGCGGAGTTGGATGGGGAAAATAGTCCGATTGAAGGTTGGGAACTACCGACATGATCCGGGCTAGCTCGCAGCATGAGAATACTAGTATCGTTTCATATAGGAGATCGTGTTTAAATTGATATTTGGTATTAATATGTCAATTCTCAAAATTTGCCCATTTCAATAGCTTCATATGATACTTTACAATTCTCTTTCAATACCATTAAAGCCAGTCGATAGAGCGAGGATGATGGCAATTAGGAACTGCAGATGACAACCAACGAGGCGTCACACTTTCATCGCTCAACTGAACCACTGGCTTCAAATTCTCCATGCGTCCCCAAGGTCCATCTTCAAAACTGGTCATAAAGGATTCTGAGCCTGAAATGAAGTATTCAGGGAATACTCTCTTCCAGCCATCCATGACAACGAGAAGGATTTCAGTTACGAACTGAGAAGGTCCAATATGACCCCATTGGAACAACTGGTTGCTCTTTTGTACGATCTCGGGAGAGTAAAGGCCGATTTCTGACTCCAAGGCAATAGCATCGGCTTTGACCAAAGAGCTCGTTACTCGGTACGAGCCACCTTTTCGGGCCCGATCGCGGAGTGCGAGCAGAGTCCCCAGAGCACCCACAAGTCCAGTAGACATGTCGGAAATCGGAAGCGGAGGGAGAATGCTGGTACCATCCTTGAAGCCCAAAGAGCGGCCCATTATGTAGGACGATCCTGAGGCCGCGTCTCCAATCTGCTGCCATCCAGGGCGCTCGTGGTATGGCCCGTCAGGGCCGTAGCAGTTTTCTTCAACATAAACAATTCCTTTGCCTCGGTTGCCTGCCATCTCGAGGAGATCGTTGACTCCGAATCCCTTCCTTGCAATGACATTTGGTCGAAAACCTTGAATGAACACGTCAGCGCCTCCAAGAAGCTCTCGCAGTCGGGTCTTATCCTCTTCCTTGGTCAGATCAAGGTCGATAGTTCGTTTGCCAGTGTTCAGGCTAAGCTGCAGGACCTGTAGGATATTTTGTCAGTTTTAGTTGCATAAACCTTGGAATTTGTTAGCGGATTATAACATACATTTAGATCTACCAGACGACTGCAATTTACGCGAATCACGTCGGCGCCAAGTGCAGCAAGTGTGCAACCGATCACTGGCCCAGCAATAATTCGAACTAATTCCACCACCTTGATACCAGCCAAGGGACGCTTGTCATTCGAGATCTTAGGAGTCGGGATCGGAGGAGTCGGAATCGCATGCGACTGTCTCGAATAACCAACCAGTGGGTGGGCAGCCAGTCTCTTTCCCATTAATGTCTCTGACCATCCTTGCGGAGTGAAGCAGATACTACCACAGAATCCATTCTTGACGTTAAGCATCTCCAACTCATCTGCCGTCCATTGCTCAACGTGTCGGCTGATATGTTCGTACGCCTCATCCGCTGTTTTGGCGGGGTAGTTTGGCTCGACGCCAATCGACTTGAGGACTGGTGCAGCATCGAGTGAGCCATGAAGTTGATACCACACCCCGGGTGTCTTGGTCTTGTACAGAGCAGTGGTTCGCTTTCTCATCAAATTGGACATAAAGTCACCCTCGAAGTCCTGTTTGAAGAGATTTGGCAGCTCTTGCGATCTGATCAGCTCCGACATGTCTTTGTCCTCCACGGAGGCTGCAAATATCGTCCCAAGCCAGATAGCGGCATGGTCGGTGTTGACGGTAACTTGTTGGCTGTTGGCTGGTGTCCCGTCGCGGTCTTCGACGATCTCATGAGCTACCACGCCACACATAGCATGAAGGGCAGCTGCGACAAGGGGCGCTTTGGTAGGCCCAGGAATTATTGGCATCGGGCTTCCATTGAATTTAACCGTATCCCAAAGCTCTTTATCCTGAGTGAATCCAGGTGTTCCTTTGGCAATGTATTCAAAGATACGCCCTGCATCTTGGGGTGCTGGAAGGAATTCCTTATCCACAAAGGTTCCAGGGCCATATATGTCTGTGGCAGGCACAGTCTCATGCAGGGGAGCCATGATAAACGTGGTAGTAGTATGTACTTGAGTGGATGTGAGAAGACTCGGAAGATGTTTTCATGACAGCTGTCAAAGGATTCCGGATGTCTTATAATAGTTCCAAGCAAATTCAATCCCCTACCGGCAAACTTGGCTATTATATCGTTGCACACCGAGTCTTCGCTGATCATTCAATCGTCATGTTCCCCACTTGTTTTGAGTTCAATTTTGTGCAACTCGGAAGTTGATGAGCCGAGACAACGGAAGGTATTCGGAATCGCCGAAAGGGGTAATATTGCGTATCCCGGCCCGGTAGATTATATGACAGCAGAGATCTTCAATTCTATGGTACATATCCCATGGGATGAAACTTGAAGGTAAGACATATCAAGGTTGATCCGTATAGTATATCATGATTTTATTTGAGGGCTGTGAAGAAGCAGTACTAGTATTAACTACAGCTAATAGAATTGTTCAGTGGCTTAAATGGGCTCTTCTTCAGTTTTAGCACATAATGAGAGAGTGGAACTTTAATCAAAGAGAAACTTAGCTTTGAATCTCCCGATCTGATCCCGGGAGATCTCCGAAGCTTGCAACTGTCGGCACTGAAAACGTTGAGCCGGTGAGAACGAGGGTCATATCAACGAGCCGGGATCCGATCCGAGCCATTCCTATTCGAGTAAGTAAAATGCGCTTCCGATATTTACTCTCACTATGGTGGCACCGCAAGCTGCAGACTACCACCATTTGCCCCATTTCCTACTTATAACACCGAGACTGTTTCTGCACTCTCATAATTTTTTACATACAGATTTGCAATTTCGAAATTATGGCTTCTACCTCTATCAAAACAGTCGGTGTGATCGGCACTGGCATTATTGGTGCGAGCTGGACAGCACTATTCCTCGCAAAAGGCCTGCGAGTGATCGTGACTGATCCAGCACCAGGAGCTGAATCCAAACTCCATGAATACCTGAAGAAGAACTATTTGGCGATACCGAACAAAATAGCCACACCAGAAAAGTACTTGAAAAATTTGACATTTGTCAAAGATATCGACCCTTACCTGGGAGAGCTTGATTTGATACAAGAAGTGAGTAAATGACATTAGAGAAAGATGTTGGTCAAACGTTGACAAATATTCTCCAGAACGGACCAGAGAGGTTGGACTTCAAGCGTCGCCTCTTCGCTCATTTGGATGCACATACACCAGAACATGTGCTGATTGCATCTTCCTCATCCGGTCTTCCATCGTCGGAATTTGTGACAGACTGCGAGAGAAAAGCATCCCGGATATTGATTGGGCATCCCTTCAATCCACCACACTTAATACCCTTGGTGGAGGTAGTTCCCCATCCCAAAACAGGCGATGCATATGTAACCGCTGCTTGCGAATTCTATCGCAGCCTGGGAAAAGATCCGGTTGTTGTCAAAAAAGAAACACCTGGCTTTATTGCAAACCGTCTTCAGGCCGCTGTTTGTGCCGAGGCTTACAGTCTTATTTTCAGAGGCATCATTTCTGCTGAGGATCTTGGTAAGTCTGGTCTTTCAGCCAAGCTCAGATAAATGATTCTAATCTCCTGATCAGATAAAACCATGACATCTGGTTTAGGTCTGAGATGGGCGTTCTCGGGCCCGGTAATGACCAACTCGCTTGGTGGCGGTGGTGACTTTGGTCATTTCATGGACCACCTGGGTCCGGCTTTGAAGTCTTGGTTAGACGATATGCAAAAGCATCAATTTGACATGGGTTCAATGACCGCGAAAGAGACTTTGAAGGGTAAGGTAGATGAGTGGGTATCTCATGTCGATATAGAGAAGACGGAAAAGGATCGAGATACATTCTTGACAGGGCTTATTAGTGCCCGATCGGAAATTTAATGTGAGGTATCATCTATAGGTATATATTGGTCGATATTGCCATAAATGTATTTTATTTAATTAAAAGGGCACTACTAAGTGGACACCCCATTTGGCTATCTGAACACCCTATCTGTCTATGTAGAAAAGGTATGTGTATGACCACTAACTACAGTAGGAGGCCAGAATTCTACTTTCTCACCTTCGGGTAGGTAACTGAGTAGGTGCCTAGGTATCTACCAGTGCTAACTATCTCATTAACTAATAGTATACCTAGGTAGGTACGACTGTCTCGGTACTATCAGTAGTGTAGTAATAGAAGACAAGGTATGATGCTCTACATTGAGCAAACTTTGAGTGCAAGGAAGATTCCCAGGGTATTCTCCTGTATTTAAATTTTTAATCTTTGAAAGATATATCCCATTGATCTCGTAAGAGAGTATCGTCGGAAATCAAATCGTGGATTTCTTTCGTAGTTGGGGTCCTTCCTATGACGTGTCTCAGTGCTCTGCTCTGCATGTGACTAGAAATCCGGGGTATAAGCTACCAGTCGCGACTTGGGAATTCCCAGGTTATTCATGATTGACCCCATTTTTGGGCCTCTTAAATCAAAAGTGAATTTTTTATTTTTTTACCTTTTTATTATCGCTCACTTGCGACCACGATCCCAACACAATCGGGGGGTTTCTTTGCAAGACGACTCTCCAGTGACTTTGGCCGAGGTCGATCTCGAGCGGAGAACCTCCTCCCGCATTTCCCCCTTCTCATCCCAACATCCCACACTCACGCCTACGCCTACTCCGCCATGGGAGGTTGACCTGGGTATCTTGGATCAAGATAAACCATGTCGAGCTCAGAGGCCACACCAGCGGTGCCTGGGGATAGCCCCGCGAAGGCTCCAGCTATCCACCCCATCCTCCAAAATGCCCTGCGCATCACCCTAAGTGCGAAAGAGTACCGGGCCCTTCACGGCATCGCAGCTAAACGCGCACCCAACGTCAAAGCGAAGCTTATATCGCCATCCAGTTTTGATGTGATGGCTCAGTCGAAAAACCGACATAGCGAGGCCGCTCTGCGCGCCTCGCTGCGTCTGTTTGTGGGCTCTGGCCTTGTCTTGAAGCTGCTTGAAGCTGTAATGAGTCGGGTTCGAGGTGGCGCGGCCGAGTAAGCTACTTCCATTCCATTTCTGATTCTTGACATACAACCTTTGACTAACGGATCTTTGCGACCGATTAGAAAAAAGCCTCGCACAGCGCTTCACCGATCGCCAACCCTCCGTCTTTCCTTTTCCCTTTCCCTTCTACTTCTGCTCCACCGTCTCCTATACCGGTTTCTAGTCCGACTACGAGCAAACCTGCGCACCGACGATGCAGAGCCATTCCGCGAGCGCAATCCGCGTATTTCGCGCGCGCTTACTTCGCGCTTTGCCCCGGCCGTCGGCGCAAGTCTGGCGGGCCTTGCTGTTGGTATTATGCCACAGGAACAACTTCGGCTTACCGGAGCCATCTACTGGAGTGTGCGAAGCTTGGAATTTTTATTCAATGCAGTGGACTCCAAAGGGCTGCTTGATAAGCGCCCGTGGTGGTTCGGCAGCTGGCTGCTGATGCCGGTGTCGTGCGCCCAGCTTTTCCACGCCTTTGTGTTTGATCGCGAAACAACCCCCAAAGTAAGTCATTCCTTTCCTATTTCGATACTTTGGAGATGGTCTAATACATCCTAGTGGTTTGGCAATGTCATCATGAGGCTCTCCCCGAGCTACATCCCCGGTCGACCGGAGTCTCTCCCGAGCAACATTTCCTGGCCGGAGAAGGAGCAGATCGTGGACTCCCTGGCATCTATTGCGGATCTTCGCTGGCCGTAAGTCTCAATGTTGCCCGCCTACAAAAGTGCCGAAAACTAATAAAACCAAGGGCGTTTGTGTCCCCTATTTTACACCCAGGCGACCCTAATACCCTTCCTTCCGCAGTGGCGGCCATATCCCCCATTACAGGACCCGCGCACCCATCGATCACGCAGTTATCGTGCGCCCTACTGCATCCAGGTGTTCCCAGCTGCAGCACGGCCTTTTTGCATCACATTCTGCTCTCCGTGCCTCTTCTGGCGCGCTTCCTCACAGCGGTCACACTAGCATTGAGCATCCCCAAGATCAAGAGTATTATTACTCAGCCTATCTCATCCATTGACTCCATCTCCAAGCGAATCATCAAGATGACTGCCGTTCTTTCGGTTGCGATTGGCGCGGCTTGGGGCAGTACCTGCATGCTGAATAGTACCCTACCTCGTTCGACACTATCTACCAAGCGTTTCTTCCTGAGCGGGGCTCTAGGTGGACTGCCCTTCATGTTCCTTAGCAGCAATCGCAACATCTTCCTGTACTTCTTCCGAGCTGCGATTGACTCGGCCTGGAAGACCGGTGTGAAGCGCGGATTATGGAAGGGTCGTCGGGGCGGGGATATGTGGATTTTGGTGGCATCTTGGGCGGCGATCGGCTGCATCCTCGAAGCCAATCCTTCAGCTGTTCAAGGTAGCGGTCTACGCAAGGGGCTGGTGTGGATGCGAGGTGACGGATTCGTCGATCCCGAAGCTCTCGAGAAGCGTCGGGCAGCACGACGCGAGTCAAAGAAAGCCGAGAACCCATAAATGCGACCGGATGGATTTCGGATTTCAAATACCTTTAGCCCGTTCAACAATTTGTACATAGTATAATCCACTTCCTACTGTGCTGGAAGTCACTTTCCGACCCCACAATTAAATCGGAGAACGACCTCCGCATCCGCCGATCTTAAAAAGCCGGGGTAGCTTCGACCGCTCTTTTCAGAACTTTCATCTCAGCTCTTCTTTTCTTTCCGTTTCATTTATATAACGATCTCTACGAATATTGCTCAATTCTATCCTTCATCTATTCTCCCAAATGTCCGCCCAAAGAATGAAGATCGGCTGCGCCGGTCTAGGTCGCATGGGCAAGCGTCATGCTCTGAACTTCTTGGAGCGCACTCCTCGTGCTGAACTCGTCGCTGCCAGTTCACCAGACCCTGCTGAGCTCGAATGGGCCAAGACACACTTGGTGCCCTTTGGCGTGACACTGTACCAGAACTACGACGACATGCTGAAGCACGAGGGGCTAGAAGCTATTGTAGTTGCATCCGCGACCGCTGTTCACGCCGAGCAGGCAATCAAAGCAATTGAAGCCGACAAGCATGTTCTCTGCGAGAAGCCTCTATCAACGAGCGTCGAAGTGGTAAGTTCTCTAATCTTCCAATATCCGAATTCCAATACGCCCAAAAATCATCCGAAATATCTCGTCGCTAACTTCCACCCCAATCCAGTCCCAATCCGTCGTCGATGCCGCAAACAAGAAACCCAACCTCAAAGTAATGTGCGGCTTCTCTCGCCGCTTCGACAAGTCCTACCGCGACGCCTACAACAAAATGCAAGCTGGTTCCATCGGCGCCCCCTCCGTCCTCCGCAGCCAAACCTGCGACAAGCTCGACCCGAGCGGCTTCTTCGTCGCATACGCGCAATTTTCCGGCGGGATCTTCGTCGACTGTTCCATCCACGACATCGACTTGACGCTATGGTTCTTCGGCGCCGCCAGCAAAGTCAAGTCCGTATCAGCAGTCGGCATTACAGCCGTCGAGCCCGATCTACGCAAGCACAACGACCGCGATAACGCGGTCGGACTGGTCGAGTTCTACGACGGCAAGATTGCGTATTTCTATGCTTCGCGGATGATGGCTGCGGGCCAGGAAGATACAACCGAGATCATTGGTACAAAGGGCAAACTCGCTGTTAATACCCAACCCGCTATGAACCATGTCAACTTGTACGATGAGACGGGGATTCGTCGCGAGATTCCGCAAACATACTGGGATCGGTTCGAGTATGCGTTTGTTACTGAGGCGAATGAGTTTACGGCTGCTGTTCTGGATAATAAGCCCCTTCCTTTGGAGCTCACTGCCGCTGTGCAGGCGGTGCGGATTGGAGCGGCGTTACAGGAGTCCTTGATCTCTAACCAGAAGATTTTCTTCGATGAGCAGGGGAATCGGACTGAGGCTTCTCGGCTTTAATTGCATATTGGTATATAAGCTTCAAGTTGGAGATAGAATTGTTCAATTGCAGACATATACTAGAAACGAAATGAATAGTATTAGTCGCGTATACATTTTTAATTCATTTAGCATCATCTGTTTCGGTCTTGGTTCAAGTTTGAAAAGGAACTTGAAGTATTGATATCGCCAATTTTAGTGGCCAATAAAGTCTTCTCAATATCAAACTTGGAACCTTTTGGACCTTCAAGTTTGCTACGGAATTAGATAGGTGGAAATAATTTTATTTTTGAAGTGCTAGGTAATCGACGTCATAGTGGATTGAAGAGTCGGGAATAGAACTGCGGTCCCGGTTAATGAACTTGAACCTGCCCCGCCGGCTGCAAGAATTGATCTGGCATTCGAATGTGAGTGACTTTCTCTCACTAGTCACAGTATCTAAGAAAAGATTTATCCTAATTTAAGAAATTTCTTGTAATTACTTTGTTTATAGGAACATGGAGGAAAGAGAGATAAATGATATGCGTAGAAGTAACCAGCCCTGAAAAAGGACGGTAAGAAAGGTTCATTCGTTGTCATCAATATGGTTTCAAACGCTTCATAATGGTAAAGTAAAAGACAAAATATGGGAATCTAAATAGAGTAGCAAGAACTAAAAATGTACGCATGTCCGGAAATCTTCTTTTTGTGCTTCCAAATCCCACGTCTACCATTTGATAACCTTGGTGGGGAAGTATTCGTTAATCAGCTCCATGTAGTAAGGCTTCAGCTCCTCAGCACTAGGAATGCCGTCGCTCTTGCTGTACAAATCGTAGGGGTTGAATGCCTTGACGGCGCGGAGCATGTCCTTGTCGTGCTCATCCATCAGTTCCTCATAGGCACCAGCGCTGTGCCAGGGGTAGAAGGAGTGGTAGCGGATCATGGCGAGGGCTTCAGCGGGCAGGGTGGATTGCTCCTTGCAAATGTGGTAAAGGTACTCGTCGTGACCCCAGGACAGCATGACCTTGTCGAGACCGCAGCCAGGACTGTAGATACCGAACTTTGTGTCGTAGACAGGGTGGTTGAGATCCTCGTTATCCTTGAAGGACTCACGGCCATAGATGATACGCTCGTCGAAACCGATGCCGACAGGGAAGGTATCTCCAACGACATCCCACTGGCCCTCAGCATCGTAGAAGAAAAGCAGCTTGCCAAGATCGTGGATGAGACCGGTCAGCTGCATCCAGCGGGGCTTACCATCGCGACGGATAGCTTCGGCGGACTGCAGTAGATGGTCGATCTGAGAAAGGCTGGTATCAGGGTCAGACTCGTCAATGAGAGTGTTGAGTTTCTCCATGGCCTCCCAGACAGTCATCTCGGCGCGGGTCTTGCTGTTGAAGTTGTGGCGGGCTTTCAGGTTGAAGGCAACCGTTTGCTTGGAGTGTTGCTCCTTGTAGAAGTTCTTCACGCGGTCGCAGGCATCCTCGTACTGGCGGAAGTTGGTCTTATCCTTCTCCTTGTCGAATTCGGACTCATCATAGAGACCCTTCTCTTCGGCCTCCTTCCTCTCGGCCTCCTTTTTCATGTTGGCCTTCAGAACATTAACCTCATCGACGGCGTCGGAGGTTTCCTCCAGAGCGTGACCATCCCGCATCTTGTTAGGGGCGACGGGGGCAGGGGAGTTCTCAAGGGCGACGGGTGCCATTTTGAGAGTGTAGTGGGATGTTCAAGGTAGGGTAGAGAACAAAAGAAGTCTGTGCTGAAAGATAGGATGGAAAACTCCTGATGTCGAGTGAGATAATAGAATGGTCAAGTCTGGTGAATGTATGTTCAAATATTGACAAGGTAGTTGTGTGAAGAATCGAGATGACCCTGGAGTTGATCCATTTTTATAAAGAATCGTCAATCGCGTCCGAATTCCGATGGTACTGCAACAGTCCGGGGAATATTGCCTTGTGTGTGATTGTCTCCCCCGTAGGATCGCCCATGATTTGCAGCGAGGGCTGAGGCGAACAAGCATCGTGGAGCAAATATCACGGATTCTGGAATCCGGGCTGCGATAAACATTTTGGAGGCAGCATCAGGACGAGCTATGATTGGAGATCGGGGTGGATCCTTTTGTGGATTCGTGGGGATGTGATGTCAGGCGATGCCATGGATGGCCCTGACGCTGACCCGCGAGGATTCTGGTTTCCGGCTGACCCATTCCTCATCGCTGGGTGGCTGACTGGCTGGCTTGAACCAAAGTGGCTTTTCTTTCCCCTTATTGTACCGTTCCTGGCTATTCTCGCCGAAGGATTTCCGATCGTAGAAGTGAGATCTGCCGTTGCCGATATTATGCGGGGGGATTTCAGTGCCTCCGAGAGACACAGACCAGTTTGTCCAACAAATCCATCAGTTGTTTGTATATAGTATACACTGCAAAGACTTCAATAAAAATCCTCTCCGAAGGAACAGAAAGTGACCCCACGTCGAACTGAGTGGAATCGGGGCGAGAGTCCGTGTGATTGATGGAATATCCGAGGGGGAAAAGCGGAAAATGGGAAATGGCGGGGGTTTCCATCCTACCCCCCCCCCGCGTGGGGGGAACTTCGGGCTATCTTTATTTCGAACCGCGAGCCACCTTCTTCTTGCCTTTCTGTTTTGTCTTCTCTTCCTTTCTTCAACCTCATTCAATTCACATAATCTCAATCTCAATCTCAATCTCAATCACACCTTTAATACACAATGGCTGCCGCAGACGTCCGTTTCAAGCTCAACACCGGAGCTGAGATCCCTGCCCTTGGTCTGGGAACTTGGCAATCTGCCCCTGGTGAGGTAGCCAATGCTGTCTTCCACGCTATTCAGTCTGGTTACCGTCACATTGACGGTGCTTTCTGCTATGGTAACGAGAACGAGGTTGGCCAAGGCATCAAGAAGGCCATTGACGCTGGAATCGTCAAGCGCGAGGATCTCTTCGTCACCACCAAGCTGTGGTGCTCTTACCACGACCGCGTTGAGGAGGGTCTCGAAACCAGCCTGAAGAACCTGGGTCTTGACTATGTTGACCTCTATCTGATGCACTGGCCCTTGGCCATGAACTCCAAGGGTGAGATTTCATTTCTGCGAATGTTGAGATCCAAAGTTCACAGCTAACAAGAAACCAAATAGGTAACCACAATGTTTTCCCCAAGCTGGAGGATGGCAGCCGAGACATCGTTCACAGCCACAGCCATGTCACTACCTGGAAGGACATGGAGAAGCTGAACTCTGCCAAGGCCAAGGCCATCGGTGTCTCTAACTACAGCGTTCAATATCTCGAGGAGCTGTTGCCTCAAGCAACCACCGTCCCTGCCGCCAACCAGATCGAGAACCACCCCTCTCTACCACAACAGGAGATCGTTGACTTCTGCAAGCAAAAGGGCATTCATGTCACTGCCTACAGTCCTCTCGGTAGCACTGGCAGCCCCCTCTTCACTGCCGCGCCCATCGTCGAAGTCGCCAACAAGCGCGGCGTCACCCCTGCCACAGTTCTGCTGAGCTGGCACAGTAAGTCTTTCCAGATCCAACTTCCAAGAATCATAACGAGAGAAATTATGAACTAACAATCCCAGTTGCCCGTGGCTCCTCCGTCCTCGCCAAGTCTGTCACCCCCGCTCGCATCGAGGCCAACCGCAAGGATCTCATCCACCTGGACGCCGAGGATCTGGCCACCATCAAGAAGTACTCTGATGACTTGACTGCCAACAAGAAGCTCCAACGCTTTGTCTTCCCTCCCTTCGGCAAGAACTTCGGTTTCCCCGATAAGCTTTGACTAGCACGACCACAACTTTGAATTCTGAAATAAATGGAACTACATAGATGGGAAAACTCGGGCTGGGCCTAGAAAACTGTTTTCGATGAAATGATAGACATGAGGGATGAAGATAGCTCATTACTTTTATATTGAGTTGGAATTGCACATAACAAAAGAAATTATACAAGAAGTAGTACAGTGCAAGGGAATGTTTTTTGTAGTCGTAGGTCGTGCTTCTTCACTAAATGATCATTTGAAAGTGGGTAATGGCCGGGTGTTACTGGCGACTTTGTTACTTAGCATAAACACTGGCATGATGTCATCTGGTACACCGTGGGGGTCTATTGACGTGGTTATCCGTGATTACTAGTATCCGCTCCGGATACCTAGTCCAACAGCCGGGCAACAATTTACTACCCGCTACGGATATCTCACGGGCATCTGCTGCGCATATGATGTCTTGAATAATTACTACCATATGCATACAAAGTTTGTCGTAACTCCGAGTCAATAATGGAAGTTTCTTGATATGGCAAAGATTCATTTTTTCTCCATTTTGCTCTCTTCTACCGGCATTTTTCTAGTGACTTTTATTATTATTTCATGCTTCTATTGACTTAATACTATCCCGAACAATACAATTCTCCATAAAATGACTCAGTTTCGATCCTCGTCGCCAGAAAGCAAGACATGGACATATTAGCTCCGTACGTGGCAGTCTCCAGTAAATCCACCAGCAAGAAGTCAGCTGTTTCAAGTTCAGCCGCATATATACTATCATCACACACTGGTTTCGGTTTATCATTTGGAGAAAGCAGATGATCCACTGTCTGCGGAGAGGGGATCGAGGACTCGGAAGGTAAGTCGCTCGCTGCATGGAGAGTAATGTCGTCTGCAGCGAAAATATCTGGTAGCGGTGGGAGAGAGATGTCATTTTCTGCGCTCAAGTCGAGGAAGCCCTGGAAAAGATGGGCGGTTGGTAAACAGTCCTCCGTAAGACCCATGCCCAATTCTTCCAGAATTTGAGAGCTGCTTGTATTCGAACAGGTTCCAGTCTTCTCCGAGTCTGAATTATCCCCAATCTCAATATTATCGGTTGCTGGCGTATTCGGTCTTGTGGCCGGATCCGTGACAGTCATATCTATCGGGGATGAGGCTGGCAATGATTCATCGTCGGAGCATGTTTCGTTCTGTCTCGCCTCTTCCTGGGTTGTTGGGGTATCGTGCACCAAGGTCTCGTGTATTCGTTTCGCGTTGGCTCGTTCAGCTCTTCCCCTCCGCCCGCGCTTCCTTCGCTCACGCGTTATCGCACATTCCACATTCTTGTGTTTACAGCGAGAGCATGGCGATGAGTATACCATATCGCATCGCACTCGCCGGGCGTGACATGCATCACAGGCAACTTGATTCCGCCTCCATCGCCTCTTGCCGTTCGGAAGCTCGATCGGGCCGGGGTCTAGACGAGATGGTGCCCAGTCCACTGGCTGCAGGATTATCTCGGCAAACATCGGCGTCGAATGTTATGAACGTTGAAATTGGCGGGGAAGTTGTTTGCTTGTGGGAAATTGAACTCCTGGGGGAGGTTCAGGAAGAGGGTGGGACTGGAACTACGACCTATTTCTACACTTCATCATTTGTCTTCTCGCTTCTTCCATGGATTTTTTTTGGTCTAACAAGAAACATGGACTCGGCATCTAGAGGAAAATTTAGTCTTAATGCCTCAGATCAACCAACCCACGACAGCCATCCCCCACCTTGTATCCGCAGGCGGACTCACTAACCCATTGCTCACTCTTTTAGGGAAAACAGCCCCGCGAAACATACCTCTCCGATCGGCATCATTTCCCCGGTCTTGCCGACGCGATGATTGGATGGTGGCACCTAGGCTAAACTGTATCTGTCACTAGCGCCATTCGCCTCGTGTGGATCCATACAATCCATACTTGGGCCGAGCTTGATAATTGTCCTGGTGAGAAGATAGAGATAGAATGGAAATCTGCAAGTTACTCGGGTTTCTTTGGAATGCTAACATAAAATCAGGGCCAACATCGCACGAATGTCGAGTCTCGCCCTTATCTGGGATTCCGAGGGGTTATGCGGTTCAGCCTTGAAATGCCGAGTGTCGGGACGCCGACAACGGGAGATACCATATACTTTGAAGGCATCTCCAGTTGAATTTCGGGAAGAATCGTTATTAGTCACAATCTAGCTTCACGCCCCGCTAATTGTCTCCATTACGTCTCCGTCTGGGGTCGGACCAGACCGTTCCTGGGGCTTCTGATACCTGACGTACAACCGACCCAGACCCAGCCTGCTCGGTAAAAAAGGTAGTATAAAGGTGCATGCCAGATTCCCCCCTTCATATTTCCTTCAGCACTGCCTCATTATCTTTCCTTCCACATTTACCCAGCTTATTTTTTATTTCCTCCATCCTTTCGTCGTATAATGGCGTTCACCAAGAAGCCCTATCTCGGGCTCACTGGGGGATGGCTTACCTTTTGGCTCACAGTACGTATACTGCATCACCTCACGTTGCCTTCCGCTGGCAGATTATAATAACTATGGCTTGAATAGGTAGCCTGTGCTACAGACATGATGCTATTTGGATATGACCAAGGCGTCTTCAGTATGTCCTGACTCTCTTCAAGACTGCCTAGATGCTAATTCCTCACTCCTCATAGGTGGTGTCGTAGTGACCCCTGACTTCTTACAAGTCCACGACTTGGTAGGCCCATCAAAAACCACAGTTCTCTCAACAGTTGCCGCTATCTACGATATCGGTTGTTTCTTCGGAGCCATACTTGCCTTCACGGTTGGCGAGCGACTCGGTCGCAAGAAGTCCATTCTTTTGGGTACTGTTATCATGGCCGTCGGCACCATCCTTCAGGCATCATCCTACAGCCTGCCCCAGATGTTTGTTGGAAGAATTGTGCTAGGGTAAGAAGATTCAACGCATCGAACAGGAATGAAGCTGATAACTGGAGTGATTAGCCTCGGGAACGGAATCAATACTGCAACGGCGCCTATTTGGCAAACAGAGACTGCACAGGCAAAATGGAGAGGAAAGCTGGTCATATTGGATCTTGGTTTAAATGTTGGTGGATACTGCATTGTCAATTGGATCAACTATGGTCTTTCGTTCCACCAGGGTGCAATTGCATGGCGGTTGCCCATCTCTCTGCAGCTGATTTTCATCGTCGTTTTGCTAAGTACTATCCCTTGGCTCCCGGAATCTCCTAGGTAAGACCTATTCAATTTATTTTGCATAAGCCAGTGGGAAAATATCTGACGAACTCTAGGTGGCTCATGACGCAGAGCCGCGAAGCCGAAGCGATGCAAGTTCTTGCTTGTGTCGAGGCCACTTCCCCTGACGACCCACTCATTATAACCCAACGCGATGAAATCAAGTTCAGCATCACATATGAATTGGAAAATGCAGTCCCCTGGCGCGATCTACTACGCCGAAACAAAAGCGACAATACGAAGACTCTTCGTCGACTGCTTTTGGGTGCTGGTACACAGGCTATGCAGCAGTTTCAAGGTTGGTCCTCGACCTACAAATTTATTGTCTCATTCGTGGCTGCGCTTTGCTGACAACAAAAATGATCAGGTATCAACATCATGAGTTATTACCTGCCATTCGTCCTCATGGAATCGGTCGGGCTTTCGGAGAGCATGGCTAGGCTACTAACAGCTTGCAATGCAACATCATATTTCGTCTTCTCGTGTGCCGCCGCTGCAATAGTTGAGCGGGTTGGCCGCCGTGGATTAATGATGTTTTCTGGATCTGGCCAGCTCATTTCATTTTTGGTCATCACCATCCTGCTTTACTTGGCCGAGAGAGATACAGTCTATGCAACTGCATCTGTGGCCTTCTTCTTTCTCTTTCATATAGCTTTTGGTATGGGCATGCTAGGAGTTCCATGGCTGTATCCAACCGAGATCAACTCCCTGCCGATGAGAACGAAGGGAGCAGCAGTTTCAACCGCAACCAATTGGTAAGTCCTTCGAGCACATTCAAGTCGTGACAAACGCTAATACGAGCAATTTTTCTTGATTGTGCAGGATCACCAACTTTGCTATCGTTGAGATCACTCCTATCGGAATTCAAAGTATTGGATGGAAGTTCTGGATTGTATGGACTGTCCTCAACGCGGTATTTCTGCCGGTGATTTACTTCTTGTACCCAGAGACAGGTCAGTTCATCGTGAAAACTCACACTATCTTCCAAGGTTATTCCACATACTAATTATGTTTAGCAAACCGAACGCTGGAAGATATGGATGCGTATTACCGTTCTGATCCACCTCTTATCGTGGCAGGAGACCCAGATGCCATCTCTACCAGAAGACCGGTTCAATACATTTGCCATGAAGACGAGGAAATACAGAAGAATGCCAAGGGGGCTATCTCTGGCAGTGCAGGTTATGCAGAGCACGTCGACTAAATTGTTCAAGTTGGAGTCACGGTATTTTATGCAATTACTCGAGAAATCATTTCTCTTCTTGGCAGCTGCTTGTTTACGATTCCTTCAAGAACAGCCGATGGTCACAACTGCATCTCCAGGGCTTGAGATATTCCTTCAACTACCTATGCAAAGGAAGAATACACATATATTTTCAGCTCATCTATATGCAATTTACGTGAGAATGGAATTAGAGGTATCAAGATGGGATGGCGAGGAAAGAAGAATTCTAGGAGAGGAAAATTGTTTATTGTGGCAACAGGCTGGTCTCCTTCTTTCAGTGAAAAGTGACTACTAGTCACTCTTAGAATTGATCCCCTCTTCAACCTTCTCTGCCCATTGTCCCTCTGTTGAAGTTATGTCTTGTTCAAGGCTCCACCCAACTATTGTAAGGCCTTGGATGGGAAATCTGGTACGTAGGTACCTTAGGCCACTACTTCTGCCGAGGGCATAGACCATCTTCCACAATCATCAGGGACCGTCCTTTACCCACTAGTATTCGTTCCAAATCATACCCAATCGCCAAACCACCCCCCGAATTCTCAGCCTCGCGAAACCCAGGCGCGTATAGATCAACATAATCGCTAATATCTTTCGACGAAAGATAGATTTCCATAAATGGGCGCCGCATCGCCACCCTTAGTAGGCATTAGTATTAGCATAGTATCCCATAGTTATGGCACATTGCCAAGACAGAAAGGAAAAATTTTTACGCAGTACTCACGGCTCATCTTCTAGAATGCTCTCTGGACCCATTTCCTCAATACTATCCTCCATGTATATGAGTGCATTATCCAAACGCTCCGAGTTATAATGAATATCAAGATAAAAGTATGGAAACTCTTCCATTAACATTTGCGGCCGATACACCAGCTCCCTCATCCCATTTGATTCGAACTGGACCCAAAGTGCCAGCCCAGTCTCCAGAGTCCGGTCATCGATAACCAACTTGGGCGCTGTATCCGTAAAGAGTACAGTTCCGTCCAGCGCCATGTGTATGTCGAAGAAATTCGGTCGCGCAACACTCTGAAGGAACTTGAATTTGTCGACAATGTCCCCCTGGTTATCTTCGAATGGCAGCATCATCGAGATATTAGTGGCCAAAAAGTCAAACTTGAAGCTACCATCTAATCCATTGAACAGGGTCAGAATAATCTTGGCGAGTAGGGCTTGCTTTTCCGGTGTCCATTCGGTAAGACAGATGTAGACATCGCTAGAGCAGTCTTTGGACCTCCCAACGAGACAGGCGTCCTTTTCAGGATCTTCAAAGCAGGGATCGTCATCTGGTGCCTGTGATTCGTAGCTCTATTCCAGTATAAAAAAAAATTAGTTCCATTCCGATGGGAATTGCAAATGGGTCAGCTGAAAACTTACGTCTCGGAATTCCTGCTCTGCTGTTGCCCACCGCTCGACCAGGACTCGTCTCTGTTGATCTACGGCAGTGCCGTCGACGTTGACCCACTGTTCACGAACAAAATACCTCCATGCACGAGTGGCGAATGCCACGTCTTGGACCGGTTTTTCGTGTTGGCGAATTGAGGAGGGGATGCCTCCAGGCCATTGGTCGTGCCATTTGATTAGGGACATGCTGGGTCGTGGGCACTTTCGACAGGGTTGAAAATATTCGGAGATGAACGAGAGAGCCTTGAGTGGATCGAGAGGAGTTGGTCGGATGTAATGTGGGTCTTTGACTTAGATGCCCCTGGCCATGGTATATATATGGTCATGATAAGTAGAATGCATGGGAGATTAAGAGAACCCATTCGTACCTAGGTACATACTGGTGGTACTATCGAGGTCTGCGGAAAAGAAGAATATCCAAATTTCAATTTCTAAAATGACACTGCAGACAATACATATATTGGTAATTTAATCAACCCTGGTTAAAGACAAAAACTCCAACAGGAGAAGATTGAACAGAACTAATTACGATAATGGACTACCACCCCATCACGATAGTGATGACTATGGTGCGCGCTAGCTTCAAAGGTTCATATCCTATATTTTGATTTCATTACTGGATGAAACTACTCAAAACCCGATCCGACGATAGTCGAATAAGAACGAACGAAAAAGAAAACACCATGATAATGGTAGCAGGAAAATCCCCGGTATCGATCAAACCTCTCATCAAAAAAACACAGACAAATTGCCATCGATACCTATCCCCATCCCCCTCCGTTTCATTCTTCCTCCTTCCTTTTTACCTCTTACTCCTCCTCCTTCGTCTCCTCTTCGTGGGCTCGCTTGAGCGCCTCCATCTTTGGGTGGGATAGCCCTACCCAGACACGCATCACCGATGCTTGTGGAATGTCGGTGTTCGGGGTGGCGTTCAAGTCTTCGTACACGACGGCCTCGCGATATGCGAGCTCTTCCAGACCCGGCTCGTAGAGGGTGCCAGGGGGCCAGACTCGATCCTGGTATTGTCTGACTGCTTGCAAACGGCGCGCCTCGCGCAAGTGGACCGCTTCAGAAATCAACTCCATTCGCGCCGCTCCGCGTCTTTTGAGGATGGCGAGGAGCATTGCGAATGTCGAAAACGGCAAAGTCAAAAGCATGGCGGATGTAACAAGAACGGCTTCGTCGGTCGGGGCAGTCTCTGCGTATGAGGGGAAGCTTCCGAATTTGATACTCTCCAGTCCTGGGTCCGAGCATTGGGAGTTTGGAAGAGTCCATAGAGGGCCCGGGATGCGAGAGGGCGCGAACCTGGACTGGGCTCGTTCATAGACCACGAAATCGGCTGTGATTGCACTTGCGATGAATTCCAACGCCAAGTTGGTGGTCAATCCCGGCCACTTCTCATTGAATTCCGTAATGTGACTCATGCTGACCTTGGGTGGCCATTCGGCATTGCTAGTACTGGGAGCCAGAGAACTGATCAACTCGTCGCACAGCTCGGGGCAGGTTAACATGTAGGCCGAGGAAGCCATGCCAAATCGGAGAAACAGCTCGACTGTGTTCCATGCGAGAAGACCATGTGCAAGCTCCATACCTCTCTTGGTGACTTCATGCAGATTCAGAAACACGCCCGACACAGCGTAGCACAGTGAAAAATGTACCATAGCGATCCCCGGCTGAAACTCCGAGACGGTCCTGCCATAGACTAGGCCGTGGTTTGCGCTGCTCAACACCACTTCCCATATGGTTTCGGTTGTAATGAGAGGTGTACTGTACATGTACTGAAGCGCCATACTGAAAGCTGGAATCAAATTGAAGGAAGAACCGCAGATGACATGAATGTAGCGAAGGCCATCATTGCTTCCGTATGCTTTTGCCTGGATCATCTGACGCATGAAGGGGCTGAGATGTAAAATGGGCATGTGTACATAAAAGACCTCGTAGTTTGAGCCAGGCCCGAAGTTTGGAACATGCTGAGATTCTTGGGATCCTACAAGGATCTGAATGTCGGAATAGGCTGGATTGCCGAATTGACTTCGAAGGTTCTCGACGATGCTAGGGCTATCAGCCTCAACTGGCAATACTGGCTGCTCGTCAAACTTGCCGAGATCTAGAGCTTCAACATCAGCGCTTGGGTAGTTCGGGAGATTTTCGTTCTCCTCGGCCTGTTCAGGCTGCTCGGTCTTGTAGCTCTTCTCAGTCTGTTCAGCCTTCTCGTTCTTGCCGTTATTCTCGTCCTTTTTGGGCGAAACGGTGCGCGAGCTGTCGGTTGAGGGAAGCTGATCCGTGACCTGGCGCTTCCTCCAGATTTTCTTGTTCTTCTTGCCTCTTGGGGCATTTCTGACAGCAGACGGACTGATCACGACGCTTTTGCGGAGCTTGGTGGATTTGGCTGACTTACCGGACGAGTTCGAGCCAGTGGACATGTCACTCTTCGCATGTTTCGGGACGTTTTGGCCACCCGGTGAAGAGGAGCTGGAAGTGGCTGGCTCCGTGTGAGAGTGAGTTGGAGTGAGCTCGATAGAACCAAGCTTCTTGTTGTTGGTGGGTGTAGATTCCTTAGAAGGACCGGATGTCTCAGGCGAGGATCTTGGACTTTGTTTAGCATCGAAATATTCAGATGGTGAAGCCATGGCGCTTTCGATGGCGACATCTTGTTCGGCTGGTAGGCGAAGAACATCTGCCCATGACTTGCGCTTGGTGATCAATTTGGCTGGGATATTCAAAGTAGTTGCAGTTTGAATCGACGAGGTATTAGCGGTGGGCTCACTTGGTGAGGTATTGGAGGTTGAGATGAGAGTGTTTTCATCTCGTCTGTGCTTTTTGACAGGCATCATACTGAGCTGTGTCGACATGGAAATATCGACCGCGACGGGGGTAGACGGTGAGTCCGCGGAAGTAGAGTGGGAAGAGCCTGAGCCGGAGCGAGACTTTCGACTCATTTCCTTCAGGGCAGAGACAGACGGAGTGAGTTCATTTTCGGGTGTTGCTGGTTTAGAAAGTGACGGAGAAGAAGAAGAAGAAGATGATGATGATGATGATGAACCTTTTAGGGACGACAAAAGAATCGCTGGCTGAGGCCGGCCAGCCAGCTTCTGCTCTGCAGCAGAGTTGGCCATGGTGTGAATGTGAACAAAATGAGAGGTAGGTGAGTTTAAAAGCGAAGGCTTATGAGAAGAAGATGGAGGGGAGGGATGGTGAGGGGAGAAGATTGAAGAGAGGGAAGGGTGGTGAGGTGATGATCGGATCGGTCCTTCCGGTTGTGTCGCAAATGGAGTGAATAAAGTCGGGGTGCGGCACTTTTGGTAAGTGAATGGACCTCGCCAAACACCAGAACAATCATGTTGGTATTCACGCCCGGGGTAGTTTGGGTTCTCTTCTGGCGCCAGTATATGGTAATAACAGTCCACCGGTGCGTGAGCACAACAACAACTTCGCTGAGGCAGTGGGCAAAACCAACAACCGCAGCCTACCTTGCGCTGGTGAAATCTACAAGCTGGCTGCCACGCGCAAATGGAGTAAGTGTGACATACAATGTTGGGGTATGAAGAATCCCACTGCGTAAAATATACTCCTTCGCTCGCTGTAGGTCGTTCTCCAGCAAGTGGTTGATATACATCCCACATAGGAGGATGGACAACCTCGGGGGTTTGCTCATCATCAGCAAAACAAGCTTCCTGTAGCTCCAAGGATTCTCCAGGAATCTCCACAACCGCTGCAGTATCAAATTGATTCATACCCTGCGACGTCCGGTTCCCAGCGCCCCCACCATCTATGGTCAATTTGGTGACTATAGCATGCTGAGCTAGGTCATGCTTAGCAACAGCCAAGGAATCAAACTCCGATGGTTGCCGAGATGTCAGTAATTTTTCATCGGGTGCAGAGAATGAACTTTGTGTAAAATTAGTCTGTTTCTCTGGAAAAGCCGCTTTGGCAGTATCGGATGGAGCCGAGATATGTTCATCTTGAACAATAGTATCCTCATTGTCATCCTCTTTTTCGGACGACACGCCGTGCTCTGCAGATTCTTCGGCGGCAGCGGCAGCGGCAGCAGTGGCGGTAACTCGAGCTTTGGCTTTCGGTCCTGTGTGTCTCTTCTTACGCTTGGCTTTCTTCTTTTTCTTCTTGGGAATCGCGGCATCGACAGAAGGTATCTGCGGGAATGTTTCGACCGCAGGGGGCTGCTCAGCAATGGAAGCGGCCTCGGGACTGACCCCCTTGGGAGGACTCAGGTTTAATTGTGGACCTCCCGATATACTGGACTCGGCTTTGTGGACAGGGTGGGAATATCTGCGAACCTGAACAGGCGTAGTAGGAGCTGAGGGTATCTGTTCATCGGGGCGTTCTGGCGAACCAAACGGTTGTTCCGAGTCATATGGAATGCCATATGGAGGAGTGTTGATGCTAATCACTGTTAAATCCTTCTCTCCAGACTTCGTAATTTTGGTGGGGAAAAGCACATACTCAGTGCCACTATCTTCAGGATTGTCACAGTCAAAATGCCTGACATTTTTGTGTCGAAATTCGAAATAACGCCTCTCTCTCCCCATAACACTCTGCCAAGCATTTATTTCCATGATTCGGTCATGAGAAAAGCTCTGCTGAGCAGGATCCGACAGTAAGCATTCCAGGGTCTCGGCCGACAATCGCTCCTGATATGCATCATAGTCGCCAGCGGCAATGCGGGAAACAGTGCGGGAGTATCGTGGCTTCTCCTTGGGGTACATCATTTCTGAGAATCGGTGATTGAAAAAACAGGCGGCAAGGCAGGAGGTTAACGGCAGAGTGAACTAAAGTGATTCAATTCTCGGAGTAGCTGGAGTGCGGAGTCCTCTTTGGACTTCAAATCCGTAATCTTTGTGATGGTAAGTCTGTTGCAGGCGGAGCCAATCTGCGAAGCTCTCTTTGGTAAAATTAGGCAATCTTGGGGAGCCCTAGACTGTTTTTGAAACACGTATGATATGTAATAACCCTGAAGTAGATGGCTGTCGCTGCGTTGAGGATGGGAAGAGTTAACAAATGATCCGAAAATGATGAAGCCTGACAATAGACTGTCAAACGGGAAGGAGCAAAAAAGATCAACAACTTCAAGTTGGAAGGTGCGAGGTGCGAGGTGCGAGTTGGAGGGTACAACAAGTGCCCAGGTGATTTGTAGTTTGAGGAAGACACGTCCGGTCCGACCATGCCGTTTGTGGACGCAATACCCATCTTTGAACTGCAAACCGCAAGGCTACAAACTGCAAAACCTCTTCTTTCCATGGTATCCAAGTGTTAAATCCTATCATCTTGTAGAGAGAATCAAAATTTTAGTCATGGTAGATACCTGAAATATACTTCAACTCACATAAACTTCTCAGGGCTAATGTCATCACGTGTTTCTGGCAAAAAGATCACTCCGCCTGCATCTTCTTCACCAAGCTACATTAAAGACAAACTTGCAATGTTTAGAAAGATTTAGAGAGAATTGTGTATTCTTTTTGGTAGACTTGTTTAAAAAAAAAGATACACCCAGCTACACCTTTGCTCGAAGACATTTGTTCGGGAAAAAAAAAAGAAATTGGCTGTATAAAGTTATTTGGCAGTCCAAACAATGAGTTAGGAAAGAGAACAAAAAGGAAAATGTATCTTTGGTAGAGTAGACGACAGACGCTCAAAAATGCCCCAGGTGGTATATGGTCGTGAAGAGTATGAGTAAAACAGCAAATGGAAAACGAAAAGAAAAAGAAAGGAGGGGGAGTGAGAGAGATAGAGAGAAAGGAAAAAAAGTCTCCATGGGTGGATATGTGGCTAGACGCCAGAACAAAGACAAGCAATGTAGTGAAAGAAGATCACACGTTACTCAAAAAGAGTCACTTAATTAGAACATCCCGCCGTCCACGGGAATGGCGGGGGGAGGATATTGGGGGACAGCAGGGGCTGGACTGGCCATTGCCTCCTGGCGGGCCCGGGCGCTCAGACTGCCACCGGCACTGGATGTCTTGCGGAGACGGTTGCGGGATTGGGGGCGCTTCTCATCATCAACGAAGGAGCTACGCTCATCTGAGAAGCTCGGAGCTGGGGATCCAGAGCGAGACGAGTCGTGCCTATCAGCGCGGAAGGCGCCGAGGATGGTTTGGGTTCCACGGCGACGACGCGGGTTCATTGGAGGGAGAGGGGGTGCACCGTTGGGTGGAGAAGCACCACCTGGCGGGAGACCGACGGTGGGGACGTTAGATGTCGATGAGACGAAGGTCGGTTCCGAAATCAGCTTCTTGTTGATAGGGCGCTTTTGAAGCATGGCGTGACCGGGACCACGCTGAGGCAGGGTGTTCGCACTGCTGGCTGCAGCTGCAGCTGCAGCCAGAGATACCGAAGACTGGTCGGAGGGAACATTGTTCAGTGGAGGGGTTGCATTGGCCGAATAGGCTGGGGTCGCTGGGGACGGGCGTGGAGTTGCACCAATGATGAGAGGGGGGTGAGCGGCTTGCGAGAGTTGGAAAGGTCGCTCGTAGTGGAAGCTGGGGGTACCAGAACGGCTTGCGCTGCGAAATCTGCCTGACGCGGCAGAAGGAGGGCGGTCATACATGACAGGCTCGTTGTATTCTGACGATTGGCGTCGCGAACCAGGGACCGAGACGGGTACAGGGGGCTCAAAATTGTCCGGCATCACAAAATTGTCGTGGGCAATGACCGTTCCTTCTTGGACAGTTTCAAGATCATCGCGGTCGCGGTGTCTGGTGCGGCTCTTTGAGCGGCCTGAGCCTTCAGAACCCGAGCGGTCTCGCTGAGATCGAAAACCAGGTTGCGGGGAGGGACCACGGCTGCGGCTAGACTCGCGGGACTCTTCATGGCTTCTGCGAGTCATGGTCGGCATGCGGGATCGGAATGATCGTTCAGTTGGAACATGGGGGGGGAGCTGGCGTTGCGCAAGTTCGTCTGAGGCCGTTCATCGTGGCGCCAGGTCTCCTCTATCAACGCAGGACTAGAGGAACTGTTAAAGCCGTACAATCCATTCTGATCGGGTCTCTGGAAGCTCGGCTTGTTTGATTTGTGCTTCAGAAGAGAGAAGGCATTGCCGGCTTTGGGTCCACTCAGATCCGGAGTTGAACGACCAGTCGTAGGACTTCCAGGGCGACTCTCGCCCTCGGCTACGCTGCGTAGCTTCTCTTGGACCTTCTTGCGTCGCTCAGCGAGCTCGATGGCAAATTCTTCTCGTTCCCTCTGGGTTTCGGTGCTGCCTTCTCTGCGGTGGTGGTGGTGGTGAAGCTCTTCCTTCCACGAGGAATTCTTTTCGTAAGCCCCGTTATCAGAAGAGTCCTCGCTGGAACGGTTCACGGTCGTCTCAGAAGAGTGTCGGGAGAGTGCGCGCGGACTCGATGTCTCCGGCTGCTCAGTAGATGAGCGAGTTGCCTCTTCCTGTGCATTCTCTTCGACAGGGGAGATCTGCTTCTCACGGACAGTGTCTTGCCGGACGTCCTGCTCGTACTGTGGCAGCTGAGGGGAGGGGGGAGGGTAGATGGAGGATACATCACTCTCTTGGCGAAGATGAGAACTTATTCCTTTCAGACCGAATCCAGCTTGAAGGACTGGAGAATCGGGTCTTTGGGGTGCATTGTTGCTATCCCCGTCGGATACCGTGGCTTCCAGCATCGAATTCTCTTCAATGGGCTTAAGGTCACCGAGATCCGAATACCGAACCTCAGGAAGAGTCTCGAGATGCTCACCATTTGGCGTAGGTGGTTTGGAGGCGATGCTTGAATGGTGTAGGGATTGTCCATATTCCGATGTAACCGAAGAGACATCATAAGACGGGCGCTCGTCGCCTTCATCTCCAGATTCGCTTGCAGTCGAGTTGGCGTAGAAGGTTCTCACCCCAGGTCGCGAAGGCGATGCATCCCGGGACTGATCCATACCGTGATGAGCATCGCTGCTATAGTGTGAGGAAGCCGACTCGGCTCTAGACCGATAGCTTGACTTAGACATGCCTCGCGAGCGACCTGCGGCTTCATACCGAGGAGCCTGGCGTGGGGGCGAGGGTCGTCGTGGTGGAGGAGTGGCCCGACCTTGGTGCATCTCGAGTTGACGGCGCGAAAATGCCTGCTCATCGAAGCCAGTGGCGGGTCTGTTGAAGAGACCCATGGCGGTGGCTTTGCCGTGGTCCTCCGGGTTTAGAGCCGCTGCTAATAAAGAAGCACCATCGCCAGTTTCGCTGGAAGGGGGGCTCAATGGAGGGGCGTTTCCAAAGGTAACTACAGTAGGTGAGATACGTTCCTTGGAGAGCGGCTCGGGAATTGGCGCTTGCTTCGGCGATGTAGCAGAAGAAGGCGGGCTGGTCGGTCGAGACGTAGTAGCTGGCTCCACGATGGCAAGTTTCTGCAGTCGATCACGTAGGTTGACGGCACTCCGGGAATAGTTACGATTCAAAGTCGAATCTGGTGTTCCAGAACGCTGGCGACTCAGGCTTTCAAGACGATTCAAGGTTGAGTTCTGCTGGCTCTGTGCAGCCTGTGTCAAGCCCTGGCCATAGAGACGACGGGTTCGGACAGATCCATTTCGTGGGGCAGACATAGCGGGAGAACATTCTGGCGCTCCTGTATAAGGTGGCTGTGGTTGAGATGACCCAAATTGACTCTCGTCAATCGAGGTAGCTGCAGTTGATGCACGAGGATCGACGGTAGGTCCAGACGCCGTAGAAGAGTAAGTTGTGCGGTTGTGTGACGAACTGATCGAATTGGCGTCTTCAAATTCGTGGGAGAGGGAGTCGCTTGCGGCTTCTTCTGCAGCCCTTCTTTCTTCCTTCTCCTTAAGTCTCATCTTTTGGAAAGCGGACAGGTTCAGGTCATGCTCGTACACTGCCTTTCCCATTCCACTAGCCGCACTGGGCGAAACAGGTGACGGTGCTCCGCCAGGGCGTACAGGGATCCGGTACACCTTTTGGCGGCCTCCGAATAGGTTGTTGCCATCTGCTCGTCGAGCTCTGCTCATCATGCTTCCACTTTGGGAACGATCATCGTCTGTGCCATACCCTAAATCACCAGAAGCATATGAGTCGGTGCGACCCAGGGCGATTGAAGGCCGGCAGCTGCCATCGTTGGAGGATACTTCGTCGATATCGGTGAGCATATTGGGGTTGTGTCCAAAGAGGTTCAGTCGAGAGGCACGCTTTGGGAACAGAACGCTGTCATCACTAGCCTTGCCCATCTTAGAGTCCGGGTCGTCCTGTTCTCTCAGCATGCTGAAACGGGCCGAGAGCTTCGGCATTAGAAGACTGGTTCGGAAATCATCTGTCGGCGGGAGGGCTGCGCCAAAGTCTAGTTGTAGTGTCGATTCGGGGGTATCCTTCTTCTTCGACGGTTTCAAGCTAAAGGGGGAGGAACTCGATGAACCACCCTCCAGTTCACCCAAAGTATCCTTCACCTCCTTGGCCTTCTTGTTCTTGCGGAATCGATTCATTTTGGATTCGAAGCTTTCCGGGTTGTTTGGGTAAGAGGGCAACTACCGGCGAGGAGAATCCTCGGGTGATGGGGTATGGACGTAATAGTAAGGGAGCGAATGACTATTTGCCGGGGTGTCAGTCTCGTATATTCCCTCAATTCTGGAACAGCACGCCTCCCATCGGGCAAGTTTCCCTCCACTTACTGGGTGAGTGATTATGTGGAGAACAAAAAGAACGGCATGACCATCGAGCGCAAGACGGTGTCGATCGTAGGAGGAAATGTGTCTCTCTTGAGGGGCGGGCAAAGTTGCGCGTAATGAATGGCCCCCGCGATTTGAACTATTCGCGTATCGTGTCGCTGGAATGTCCAGGGGTTGAGCGCCAATCACAGACAGAAGCGAGCAGCGGGTGAGGTTGCTCGACAGATCACACGAGGCAGATTGGATGGGGCGCAATCAATTGGAGGGGTCTGGTACGACAGGGCGGCAGGATTGAATTCGGATACGCGACGAAAGGCTGATTAAAAGAGCGACGGGGTGAAAAAGCGAGTGTGTTGAAGAATGCGATGCGGGAATGAGAGAGAATGGGAATGGGGGAAGAGGTAAAGTGTTCCATGCGGGTACGGAGTAATTGAATAATGGAGGACTGACTTCCCGTACTAACTAAGTATCGGGCTAGAAACACTACTCAGGAAAAAAAAAAAGTAAAAAAGAAAAAGAAAAAAGAAAACAGAAAAAAGAAAACAGAAAAAAGAAAAGAGAAAAAAAGAAAAAGGGATCTGGATCCGGATCGTCCCCATCGAGCCCACCGTTCAGGCGATCATAGTGAGATTAATGATTTGGTAATTTTGTCATTTCATTCTACACTGTACACACCACCCTGCAGGTATACCCAGAGTATACTCCGTACAGAATATACTCCGGAGAATACTATACTGGGTCTGTACAGTACTCCGTACCTGGTAAACAAACTTTGAATCAGTTCTCCAAATGTATCCATGGCGCTGCCCGCTGCCCGCTGTCCGCTGTCCCATCGGTACTTCTGTTACAGCGGGTATGGTATCTGTAATTAGAAATTAGAAAGTAGAAAATCCGACAGTAGGGTCCCTTGCAGGTAAATTACAGTATTACAGTATGGGGCAATCCATCACATCCTATAATTTCCCTGTGATGTGGGACCCGGGGCTGAACGCCACCGCGACGACTGCGGAGGCTTTGCATCTTTTGGACTGCTCGTTAATTGAGATGCCAGCGCGGGGCTTGACGCATCCCAATCATCACAGTACCATGTATGGAGTATCTAGTGCCTTTCATACTCCGTACATATCTACCATATCTACCATTTCTACCATATATGCCAGTGTCTCTCTAAAAAATTGAATGCTTGCCAAAGAGAACGCTAGTCGTTCCGAGGGTCTGGACCCGGGAACCCCCCATTCGCACGAACACTTAAAACCTGAACTGGATTTGGTCGATCTGTTTCTAATTCGGATTCTTCTCATTCCTTCCATGCCACTGCCACACCAATCTGATCTGAGGCGCGTGTTATTAGAAATCCAGTCACTCCTTGCGTACGGGGAACCCGCAGTACTGCACCAGCTGCTACAAATACCTCTCCTGCGTCGTGCAGGAGACGATAGTTCAAGATTACTGCAGCTAGAGCCCCCGGACAATGCAATGTTTCCTTCCAAATTCGCCGAATTGCCAATAGCCGCGCTCGTGTGCTCGACGGACTGCAGCCCACTCTTCAGCCACCCTGTCGGCTGTGCATTGAATGCATTGAATGGCCATGACTATTTCTCCGGCGGCCTCCTGCGTCGTGCAGCATCTATGTAGGTGTGGGACGTAGTACATGTGTAAATACACACACAGGTGGCCTGGTTCCGATCGGATCTGATCTGATCTTGGTGGAATGTGTAGGTTCAGGAACAGCAGTGTACATACGGCACAATCTGCCGAAGTCTGGTTGAGGCTATCAACATGAGATGCCGTGCCACCTTCCACCTTCTATCTTAGGGAATCATCCGAAAGTCATTATCAATGACGGTGCTCGATTTTCTCTGTGCTCTGTTTCTTTGTCCTCTGTTTGTTTATTTTTTTTTACTGGTACCTTTATTGGTTTCGATTTTTGTGGTCGGCTCCTAGTGGATCTATCCGAAGAACCAGAAAAATCGTGAACGGAGCGCGCCCGTCCTAGAGTTCCCACCGAACATCACGGTTCGCAGTTCATTTTATAAGGCGCAGCGACCGAGCGTGCTGCATCATTCAAAGATGAGAATCCGGATCCTCATCTTAAGATGTGGAACCATGAGATCATACAGCACAGACCTACAAAACCCGTGTTCCAGGTTGCGAAATCCTGGGCAGGCATCGACTAGAGCGCGGACGCGAGACCCAAAAGGGCGAGGGGAAGGGAAGGGGGGCAGCAGCAGAACAGAAAAGCAAACATGGGCTAGCGCATATTCTGGGTCGCGTTGTTGGCCGGTGAGGCTTGACAGCCGTTGCTGCGGCCCCAAGTGTGGGCAAAGCACAGCAAAGCTTCCTTGAGCCCAGAACTTCTTAGCTCTTTGCCTCTTTGTGCGGATAGGCGGACGACCTGCTCCGTCGGGCAAAGAATGGGCCCCCGATTGGAACCGAGGCCCTCGCTTGAGAGCCCTGGAGTCCATTGGACGAAAACTGAAGTGGGTTGAATTGGTAGGATGGGGGAGTGTTGAGATAAAACCCACCTAAAACCCGTGATCAGTTCCCCGGGGCTTCTAATTGGCTGGAGGTGCCAGCTGGTGCCCCTGACTAGTCCCAACCGGGCGTAGTCTGCAGTGGTATTGACCGTTGCCATTTGGTCCAGGCTTGGTAATATATTCTTGTACTAGTTAATGGTAGTGGCACACAATAGTCATACTACAGTAGTATGGATACCTATATATTAATTACGTGCATTCTTCAATGGTGATCACCGTGATATCGATGGTATATCAAAATAGTATCTCAATATTTTCAAGTTTGAGATACTTCCGACGTCCCCCAAAGCATTCATTTCACCACAATAAACAAAATCCACGACCTGAAAAGTGGAGCAGCCGGTACCCCTGTGGACAGATCCACCCCCCCTCTGGACAGCTCATTAACAAAGGAACAAATTTGGTCTGGTGTCTGGTGACTGATGGCGGTTGGAAATGCCCCATCTTCTCTTCGATCTATCGCCCCCCGTCTGGATCACGGCCCCCAGGCACATTGGTGTGTGCAGTTAATCTATTAAATTACCACCAATGACTAAATATCTGGGCATGCAAGTCCTGGCCATTTAACATCTTCACTACCACGGTAGAGATCGGACTAGCAGAGTAACCCACCCACGATCCGGCCACACTTGCATTGGATCGACTCGAGGACCCGGACTCGATCGGGGAGAGGGGGGCGAGAATGCCCTTTTTACACTCACGATCTTCGGGGCCAAAGATGATCCCTGTTCATGGGACTCTCGCCCGGATCAGCCATCTCAGCTCGGAACTCCGCATCATCAAGACCGCTGTTTCAGCATAGCCCTAAGTATTTTCTAAGGCTGATCGCTCGAGCATCCGGACCTTCCACTCTGAGTCGGTATATGTTAATTAAGTTTCCTCGGTGGGGTATTAGGAGGGAAACTTTCCTCATCCCCCATTCGTTAAATTATCTAGGTTTGAAGGCTTTGAGTTTGAATGATCGTTTCGCTTCTCGACCGTTTATGTCGGATTTCTGCCCGATTCCACTTTAGCTTAGTAGGCTCACGGTCCATCCCACTAAAAAATTGGTGGGCGAAATTCTGAGTGCCATCGATGTGCGACAACGGTCTCTGGGGCCGGCAGTCGCCTCTCGTATTTTGTTTAATTTGGCTGGACGAGGAGCGAGGAGCGAAGGAGGGGGTCCTGCCAACGTATCCAGTCGGCTACGCCTCTCCCGAGCGCTGCAAGTCCCGTGTCTTGTAATTTATCTCACACATCGTGTGAAATCTAGAACATCCCCAACAATAATCACCAGGGCTGGACCGGCGAGAGGTCTTGGGATTTTTTTTTTGGGTCTCGGTATTCATGACTTCATTGCCGGTCTTCAGATCGCCCTAATAGTAGATTGATTGCATCCCCGTCATATTTAATTTAAATTTAATTTGGCGTAGCCCTTGAAGAGAAAGATTGGCCGAACCGCTTCTGCTTGTACCGCTATGGACAGAAAGTGATTCTTCTATACTCGGCGAGATTGCGATCATCATTTCCCACTTCTGCGAGCCTCTATACCATACGAAGTAGACAAAGGATATAATCTACTCATCTCCGACCGCGGTGATGCCTAGTTGAAACTTATCGCGGCTGACTCAATTAAGGGACGATCTGAAACCTCTTGAAAATACGGCAAATAGTAGCCTGAATGCGCCACAGCATCTCTCACTAAAACATCAAGGTTTCAACTGTCTTGAATCGGAGCAGGGAGAAGGACCTTTCCCATCATGACGAACCCATTCAAACCCCCGTAAAAAGCTTTTCTTTTACACCATAGTGGCCCAGTATCTACCTACTAGTATATATTTTTTAGGCCCGCCCCCAAATATTAGGCTGGTACATCCTTCAATCCTTCAATCGAGGACGAAGTTTTCTGGCGACGTTTGTTGCAAAACCATCTTGCACCAATATTGGGCTATATGGTTTATGGGAGAGATATTGGTTCATTCACACTGCATGTGAAATGCCCCTATCTTCTTTCGAAACGGCTCGTTGTATTTTTGGTCGGGGACGACTCTATTCAAGCAGTCCTATTTCGGTGACTGCTCGCGTGTGGACAAGATAGTCGAAACTTGAGAGGCCAGGACTTTCGTATACCCAGAAATCATCATATTCTCTTGAAAGCCGCCTATTTTCTAACTGAAAATTCTTCAATGATCAACAATTATCTTGTCAATATTCATAAACAAATTGAGATTGAGTTACGAGTACAAGTAGCTCTCGGGAACGACTGGTAACTACAACAGAGAGGCGGGGGAGTATGTAACCAAATGACATCACATGTATTGGGTGATGCACTGCCAGAATATACTAGTACTAGTAGCATCAGGTCTTAGATTCCAATTGTGGCTGTCTAAACAACTAGTATACTCGAAAGTTTGCAGTGTTCACAAAAATAAAAATGACTTGAAGTTCAAATTAGTAGCGACGAGGAAATTTTGCAGGTCTCGAGGATGACAACAAGGACCCCATCTTTTGGTAAGAGAAGAACCCCCCCGAGTGCGAATTAGGCTTATTGAGAAGATAAATACTGTACATACTTAATTAATTGATATTATTCGTTGCTATCTGCCCAGGGATGGTAGTACTACTAGTAATTGACGGTTCCTAACCTGGGACTGGATATGACCTGACGCACGCTATTAGTACATGATGTTCCCGTTAATGCAGCCCACGTTCGCTAATAATGGGAGATAAAAACGTTATTTTTTTTTAATTCTTGCATACTAATTCAAAGGCTTAGTGATTACATACTTAAGTATTGAATATTTAACCACCGATGTGAAGTAAAACTCAATCGCTCACATTAACTCCAACTTAAAGTCCGCTCCCCTCATTATGTACTCGTTCATGTTCGTAGGCGCATCCTGAAGGTAAACTCAAAAAATTCACACTCAGGGATGATGGATTCTTTTTTCAATCTATTTTACTCCAATTGACTTATAAATCTTCTCTCTATTCTCATGGATGCCGAGGCAGACCAAAGTTTGTAGAGATGTGGAGAAGGCCATGTATGCCCCGCCGGCAGACGGCCCCGACGACCGTAGTCAATGAATCAAGAATTGTGCGGAGTAAAGGGCGAAGTAACCTTAATTCTTCTTGTGCAGCTATTTAAGATGACAGGAATATACCACTCGCCCCAAAAATTATAGCTGCTGAAGTGTTCAGATTTCGCCATGAAAGACTTCTCCCTATGCGCCACAGTAGCCCTCAACTGGGTTCACTATGCCCATGCTAAAAGCTGCTCAAGTCTTTTAACATATCGAGCTTTGGATGGAACCATAATCAAGAAGGCTGAGCTTACACAGCTCAGCACGTCGGCTGGTGCAATCGCGTACTGTCGAGTCTCCGGATCTGTGGCATATGGCAAGCGTGATAATTCTGTGGGGTTTGAACTATGGATGCCTGAAGAGAAGACTTATAATGACCGCTTTATGGTTGTTGGTAAGCTTTTATATGATATCCATTAGGATCATTCATTGCGATCATTAATTCATTCGATGGTTAGGCAATGGCGGATTTGCCGGAATAATTGATACGGACAGTATGAGCAAGCAATTGGAACAAGGTTTTGCTGTGGCAGGGTATACTAATCCCCTAACACTTTTACTTCAAGTTACATGGTACTGACATTTTTATCAGAGGGGATTCGGGCCATCTAGAAGCTAACAACGGAAACGGAACGACATCGTCTGGACAGTATATTCCATTCTTGAATGATGTCGAGCAGACAAAGGCATGGATACATGACTCCATCGCCATCATAACCATGCCAACACGAGATATTGCTTCCAAGTTCTATGGTAGCTCTCCGAAGCACAGCTATTATAGTGGTTGCTCGACGGGTGGCGCACAAGGATTTGCGCTTGCTCAATACTATCCTCACCTCTTCGATGGAATATATGCCGGCTCGCCAGGTAACTGGTACTCCCATTTGATGCTATCATTTCTATGGAACAGGGAGTCCACGATGGTATTATCAATGAGTGAAGCTAAAAAAAAATATTGGCATGCTGATTAAGATCAAATCATAGGGCGATGCATATCTCGATCAAGCCACGCTCAACGCCACGACGAAGAAAATACTAGACGCTTGCGATGAAATAGATGGCGTGAAAGACGGGTTAATCGAAAACCCACTCCGCTGTAGTTTCGACCTCAACACATTAGCTTGTCCATCTGCGACCAGTGCGACTAACCAGACATGCCTGAGTCCAAAGCAAATCCAGTCTCTAAAGGCCATCTATGCCGGCCCAAGGAATTCCAGAACAAAGGCAAAAATTTATCCTGGATTTGAATTCGGCTCGGAGCGAGAGTTGATGTTGCAGGAAACATATCTATATCTAGACTTTGCTGCACCACTCTTACAAAACTTGGTTTTCCACAATCTTTCTTATGATGTTGACACGTTCAACTTTGACAAGGATGTTGCCAGGGTCAATAGTATGGCAAGCCCTCTTATTGACGGAATTGCACCAGATCTCGATGCTTTCCGGATGCGTGGGGGAAGGATGATTGTGACTCAAGGTAAGTGAGGAACTGCGCAGTTCATTGAACAACCTCACAAGGCTAACACTTTTACAGGTTGGACCGATCCGTTCAATGCTCCAACTTGGCCCATTGAGCACCTCAAACAGCTTGAGAAAGCTAGCCAGAATGGATCTGTTGGGGATTTCTTCAACCTATACATGGTACCCGGTAAGTTTAATGTTCTGATCAATAATTCTGGATATTGCTGATGCGAATACTCTAGGTGGTGGTCACTGTGGCGCAGCTGAGACCTATCCATCAGTACCGGCAACATACCACATCAATGAAGCACTTCTGGCGTGGGTCGAGAACGACACATTCCCCTCTTGGGTCCAGTCGTCGAATCCTCCGGATGGTTCGTCGCGAACACGCAAGCTCTGCCCTTGGCCCAAGACAGCAAAATTGCAAAACTTGACGAGACCTGAAATTTCAGAGAGTTATGATTGTGTTCAGGGTTAAGAATTCTATTACTGATACATAATTTCCTGGGATATGATGGAATTTCTTTCAGGGCAGATGTCCTGATCTTCAAGTTCTAATTAGGCCCAGTTCATATGTTTCTCTCGCTCTATTACCGAAACAATCATTTGAGTTTATTCCTTCCAATTTCATGAAGCTCTCTTTCCAAAACTTATGTGAGAGCAAGTAAACGCCTATTCATTCACTGATAAGCCACCTGCACATTTAAGAAGGTCATACCATCCGATCAAACAGCCACTTCAACTCCTTCCAAGGGTATATGCATTCACTATTCATTGAAAAAAAAAAACAGCTCGAGACTTGCATCGTGCCAGTTTGTCCTCAGTAATCATGATTATCAAGTAAATTAAACTGGATAGATATCAACGCGAGTCAATATCAAACTGAGACAAGTGTGCCCCACACGGCAGGGGCTCCGGTTGCCAAGCAAGGCTTAGATCGTCGTTCACCCAATTCACTCCTGATGTATGGAACGCGACCGAATCAAGTTTTCCGCCGAGCGTCTTCTAAGGTCTTGGAATGACTTGTTCTTTTAAGCTCGGAGAATTTCCATGCCGTAGTAATGCCGACTGGCGACAGGTGGATAGACCTAGGACATTCTCAAACAGGAGAGCCAGTCTTGAAATCCCAACAAGGCCATGATAGACAAGGTGGAGAATCGCTGGATGCCACGCGGTACTTCTGTTGGCTTACCGGCGATAATCAGTGCCCTTTCCATAGATCAGTCTCAAGGGGCAGTGACAGGGGGTCTTAACTGAGGGGCGGTCATCGTTGTTCCACCGTTTCAAGACCTTTGTTAGATTATAGAAACCTATGTACTTATAGTGAGGTTGCCCATCTCTGTCTCTCTCTCTCTATTGTCTTTCTCTCCAGTCTTTCTTTTCGTCTTCAAGAGCTAGTCTCCATATTTTACAATCTTTTCTGTCTGTTGACCAGACAATTCCTATCTTTTAGTACAAAATGCGCACTTCCGTCATCTCTGCGCTAGCGCTGTGCGCTGTTGCGTCCGCAGCACCTTCATCAATGGCCAAGAGGGGCAAGTGGTCCATGGCGACCCGTTCATCCTCTTCTTCGACATCCTGCACTTTTAACTCGGCTGCCAGTGCCAGCGCAAGTGCCTCTTCGTGCTCTACTATTGTTCTGGATAACATTGCGGTTCCTGCTGGTGAGACTTTAGACCTAGAAGATCTTCAATCCGGCGCCAAGGTAAGACTTAGCTCACTTCTCGGCTCAATGACTCACTGACTGATTCTCTACTCAGGTTATCTTCAGCGGCGAGACTACCTTCGGTTACAAGGAGTGGGACGGCCCGCTTATCCGAGTCTCTGGCTCCAACATTGCCGTTTCTGGAACGTCCAACCACACCATCAACGGTGGTGGAGAGAGATGGTGGGATGGCGAAGGTTCCAACGGTGGCAAGACCAAGCCCAAGTTCTTTTATGCCCATGACCTGGATGATTCAACTATCACCGGTCTGAACGTCAAGAACACTCCCATCCAGGCTTTCAGCGTCCAGTCCGACAATATCGTCCTCAGCAACATCAACATTGACAACTCTGATGGCGATGACAATGGCGGCCACAACACCGATGCTTTTGACGTCGGCGAGAGCAACGGTGTCACTATCCGTGGCGCAACCGTGAAGAACCAGGATGATTGCCTGGCTGTCAACTCTGGCTCTGTAAGTGCCCTTAATTCAACTGCTATATCAGCCAGCTAATGATTCAACTCAGAACATTGTCTTCACGGGCGGTACCTGCTCCGGTGGTCACGGTCTTTCCATCGGATCTGTCGGTGGCCGTGATAACAACTCCGTGAAGAATGTAACTATCTCCCACTCTACCGTTTCTAACTCGCAGAACGGCATCCGCATCAAGGCCAAGTCTGGCGAGACTGGCTCCGTTTCCGGCGTTACTTTCAGCAACATCCAGCTCTCTGGCATCACCGACTACGGCGTTGTCATTCAGCAGGACTACGATGACAAGGGAAACCCGACCACCGGCATCCCCATCACTGACCTTACTGTGCAACGCGTGGCTGGTACTGTTGAGAGTGACGCCATCCCCATCTACATCATGTGCGGTGACGGCAGCTGCTCGGACTGGACTTGGTCGGGTGTCAGTGTCAGCGGTGGTGAGAGCAGCGATGATTGCGAGAATGTGCCTTCTGGTGCTTCTTGCTAGGTGCTTCCAAGGCTAGAGATTGGCGAGGGCCGGACCTTGACCAATTATTGATCTTATTACAAGAGACAATACAACTTTGAGGGTGATTGTAACGAACCTGGTGGCCTCCACTCCGGCACCACTTGTATCTAGTAGTTCCTTCTGTCTCTTCATCTTCTTCTTCTCGATCTAATTGATTTCTCTTTCTGCTACCACAAGTTGCCTTATCTTCGTATATTGATCTGCGAATCTGCAAATGCCTGAATTCCTTACAGGGATTTGTACATTACTCCATCTCGTACCGAGTACTCAGTAGTTCTTCCCAGAAGAGTAAGCCTAGTCAAAGTCAGACTTTATAGAAGTGATGAATTTCAGCTTATATGCATGGGAGACTACCTTTGTGTTGTCAATATCTACTAGTAACCACTTAACCACTCCATCGCAGCTTCATCTCCTCTTATACAAACCAAACAGCGAAGAGATATGCGAGGTACACCTTAGTATTAGTGAGGATTGAGGGAAAGGCTCGTTAAGAACAATAAAGAAGACTCTCTTGTCACGTAGCCCAAGAATGGTCTAGTGGTATTGGCCCAGAACCGGACAGGGGAAGCGAGTAACCAGGCCTTTGAAATGCCGTGCTCTCTCGGTTTCCGTTTTTGCTTTTTTTCATTTTTTTTTGCAGGTCACGTAGTCACACAAGGTCGAAGGATCAAAGCCAGGCCAGGACAATTCTTTTGATCCGTTGGCTCCTTCGTTCTTTCCATTTTTGTTTTGTTCGTCGTGGTTTGTTGTTGCCCTTTCTGCCTAGTCGTGCCTTCCCTATGAGCCGCAACCAATGACGTCATCCACAGCTCCCAAAGGTCCCCCCCGCATTAACAGAGACACGCGCTGTACATTCCCTCAACTACGACACTTTCCACAACTGCCTCCAAGCTCCTCATTCCATCATGCAAGTCCTTCTTCTCGGTGGCCATGGCAAGATTGCCCTCAAACTCACGCCGCTCCTCCTCAACCGCGCCTGGAATGTCACCAGTGTCGTGCGCAACCCCGATCACGAGAGCGAGATTCTTGCACTCGGCCAGGGCCGCAAGGGCAAGCTGAACGTGCTGGTCTCCAGTCTGGAAGATGTCAAGAATGTAGCGGATGCCCAAAAGATTTTGGATGCTGTGACCCCAGACTACGTCGTCTGGTCGGCTGGTACACTCTTGCCCCTCCCCCACTTCGCGCGCCGGACCCATTGCCCGTACCAAACACAACTTTCTATCCCAACCCCCATCACCTTGATTTACTTTGCTTGTCTTGGTAGGGAGAATTTCCCATACTATCCGCTAACACCATGGATTGAACAGGCGCCGGTGGTAAGGGCGGACCCGCCAGCACAATTGCCATTGACCAAGAAGCAGCAAAGCACTTCATGACCGCCTCCTTCGCAACCTCCAAGGTCACAAAATTCCTGATGGTCTCTTACCTGGGCAGTCGCAAGAAGCAGCCTCACTGGATCCCCGACGACCAGTGGGCCGGTATTGTGCGCACCAACACCGAGATCCTCCCCACCTACGCAAAGGCCAAGCAAGAGGCCGACGAGTACATGACTGCCCTGGCAGCACTCCGCAAGAAGAACCCCGTAGGCGCTTTCCAAGCAATCAATCTGCGCCCTGGAATCCTGACCGATGAGCCTGCTACACGGAAGGTCGAGCTTGGTAAGACTCCCAAGGGTCGTGGTAGTGTTACTCGCGAAGATGTGGCTATCGTTGCGGACCAGTTGCTCGCACGGGACGATACCGAGGGCTGGATTGATTTGGTCAATGGTGATGTTCCGGTCGAGGAGGCTGTTGAGAAGGTTGCCAGTGAGAAGATTGATGCGGTTGAAGGTGAGGATGTTGAGGGTATGGTGAAGAGATTCTTTCCTTGAGCGCAAGCAAGCAACTTCTTCCGCGTCTCTCTTAAGTATTTCGGCATCAGAGACAGTGCACATGTTTAACGAGAAGATTTGAACTTATTTCGGGAGACCATTTTTATGAACACATTGAGACTTTTTCAATATTGCAGTCTATGTAAACCTTTATTTATTTCGTTATGATAAGAAGGAAGTTGAAGTTTACAGTTTGGCCTTGGGTCCCGCGAGCTCGCCCTTGAACTTTTGCTTCAGCACGCGTCGCAAAATCTTGCCGCTTGGGTTCTTGGGGATCTCATCAACAAAACGCACGCCACCTCGCAAGCGCTTGTGGTGCGCAACCTTGCTATCCAGCCATTTGACAATCTTAGCTCCCTCTTCCTCTGCACTCGCACCGGAGGACTTGCTCTTTGCGCTGCGAACAATGCACGCCAAGGGTACCTCAGATCCATGTGCCTCGCTCTCAATTCCAATCACAGCGACGTCGTCAATAGCGTCGTTATCGACCAAGATACCTTCCAATTCAGCAGGGGGAACTTGGAATCCCTTATATTTGATAAGCTCCTTCACACGATCTGTGATGAAAAAGTTGCCCTTGGCATCTTGGTAACCAACATCACCAGTTCGGAACCAGCCATCCTCGGAGAGACATTCCCTAGTGGCAGTTGGATTTTGGTGATATCCAAGGAAGACATTGGGACCGCGCAGATACAGCTCGCCAACCTCGCCAGTTGCGACCTCGGTGGACTCCGACCCATCCTCAGGCATGGTCATGTATTTGGCCTCCATGTTTGGCATCAATCGACCAACAGAGCCAATGAACTCCCGCCAGTCCTCCCATCGTTGCGAGTGTGTGGTAGGGCTAGTCTCGCTCAAGCCATAGCCCTGCTTGATTCCGACCTTAATACGCGAATACACAGCTT